TGAGTAGTATTACAAACTCGTTGATGGCTCCATTCTTATTAAGAGTTCCATCTGCGTTATAGACTGGAATAGGTCTTGGTATCTTTCTCATCTCATATTTTTTGTCTTTCACAAATTGGGAGTCGATGCAACTCCCCGTGCATCCACTGTCCAATAGTGCTTCGACTGTTTCTGTTTGGAGAGTGTCTAGTGTAGTAAGCTTACATTTTACGTTCATTTGATTGCCTTGGGTGCCCCTAATGTACTTTTTAGGGGAGGCAATCTCTATGATCGCTTGTATAGCTTCTATCTTTGGTAACTGGTTGATTTCATTTATCGTTTCCCGGGTTACTTCTCTAGTTCTCTTTTTGTGTGTCCAGGCACTTAGAATCCCAATGGATCTTTCTTCCTTTTGGTCTCTTAGCCTGTCTACCACCCACTCTGGGGTCCAAACTTCTGTTCTAGGTTTTTTAAAAGGGGTTCCTGACCTTTCTTCTACAGTCTCTGCTGCGTTTTCCTCCGTAGAGTTCGCCGCATCGGGTGTAGGAATTTTAGTATCTATCGTAAATGCTGCGCTTTTTAGTGATTCGCCCGCCGTCGGAACTGCGGATGTCTTATCACTCTGCGCCGCTCTTACTTTAGTTGCATCTTTTTCGTTTCTGATTTCTTTCTTTGTCTGGGTGGAAATAATTTTATTGTTATCCGCGCTAAAGCTGCAGCTTAACAATTCTGGTTCGTACGTATCTACAGTCAAAGGAAGAAATCGATTCAAAACATCTTTTTTAGGCTCAGTCGGTTGATGCGGTACCGCTGGCCTCTTTAAAAGCCCTCTAGGAGTTTTTCTCTCTCCTCTTTCGTCATCTTCTCTATAAATTCGCGGATTTTGAACTGTGGCTTCTTCTTTTGTGCGTCTTTGCACCCGAAGCTTCTATGTCCTTTCTCTCCGCATCGGTAGCATTGTCCCTCAGTGCGGAACTTTGCTTTATCTACCTCCATTCGTTCTCCGTTACCGGTATAAGTATACCCAGTTCCGTCTTTCTTCTTTTCTCCTTCTTTCTTTGGCTCTGAATAAGGTTTCCTTCCGGTTTCGGAACCTTTCTTCTCTTTTTCTCTTTCTCTCCAAATGTAGTCCATTCTGATGAGTTCTTTCTTCCATTCCTGGTAATCTTTAGGAATGTGTCCACCGTAGATCACCCTGTCTACTAGTGGTTTATTCATGTTTCTCCTTAACAGGGAGATTAAGAACTCTTCATTCATTTGGGTTGTATATCCCGCCCATCTTTTCTTTTCTTCAAACCTTTCAAAAAAGGCTTGGGTGGTTTCATTGCCTTGTCTTAAGGTCAATATTTCGTTTTTTGCAGTTTCTTTTTCAAAACTGTCTTTGAATCTTTCCTCCATTTTATCGGCAAAGTACGGCCAACTTCCGTATGTGCGCGTAATGTCAAACCCTAACTGTTGGGCATCGACCCTATTCTCTAGCCAATCGGTTCGAAAGGCCACGGCTTCTCCTTCTTTCATGAAAGACAGCACAAAGCTGATCTTTTTTCTGTCATCATTAAAATAGGCGGCATCGTCTTCGAAGTGCAGAAGTAAGGACTCCCTGAAGGCCCTGTACTTCTTCTTATCTCCGGAGAAATTCTCTGGTTTCTCTAATGCCGTCCTACTTCTTTCCACCCTTTCTGGAGATGGCGTTGCTTTCTTTTTGAGTCTTCTTTCTAAGACGCTCACTTCTTCGAGCGCCTCGTCGAGCTGGGATTGGTATAGAAGCCTCGTTTCTCTGATCGCTTTTTCTACTTCTTGTTTTACGTATGCTTCTAATGATGCTTCTTTCGGTGGGGGAGTTTCTATTCTGGGTAATGAGTCCATCATTTCCCTGGTAAAGGCACTGTCTGTGCTGTTGGATGGCTCGGGCAAATCTCAATATTCTAGGTTCGACATTGAATCTGAGTTGGGGAGGAGGGGGAGTTTCTGATTTGATCACGGGGGATGGGATTCTGATTTGTGTTATTTTTGGTAGAGGAAATTGTCCTCTAAATACGTAATCTCTGGAATAGACGCGTTGCTCTCCTATCCAGATATACAATTCTCTACTTAGCATAGAAAGGAATTCCCCAATGATAAGCTGGATCAATACACCTCTTTCTAAGCTCTAAGTAGTCTATCTTTCTCTTTTAATCAAGGTGGTCCTCTTCTGCCCACCACTGATTATGTACGTAACTAAGTAATGTGTGTCTAAAAAGGTAGGTAAAAGGTATTTGTAATAAATTGGGGTCCGAACGGTTGTCCCAATGTAACCCGCTTGTTAAGCTGTCGGTTCCTCTCCAACTGGCGGACACAAATGTGCGGCCTGGTTAGAGGTATGCGAAGTAGAAACTAGGTAAAAACGGGAAAATCCCTCTGGTTCCACACCAAAGGAATTATAGTGATATAAAATGTAGCTAGAGGGGAATTGTGATGAAGGAGTCTTGGGATGAGGAAGGTGATATGTTGGCTGGGAAGAAGGAGATGATGGTGTCGGGGCGAGCGGGAATGTGATTGAGTGGGATGGTAGGTTGGGTATGAGTTTTGTAAAAGATCTTTAGTAGGGTGAGGGTGATGACGACGACGATGATGATGATGATGATGATAGTTGCTGTTACGTTCATGAACGGTACTCGTTACCAGTTGTTGATTTTGTAAGATCCAATCCCTTTTGCCGAATTAACGGAGGGACAAGTTCTCAATCAACAAGTAGCGTTCAAGTAAAGTATATAGAAGTAATCAACAACTGAGGAAAAGTATGTACATGAGTGTTCAGTATATATATGTTTCTGAAGGTCAGCCATGAGGCGCTGACTGATGTTCTACGTCATGGTCTGGATTCTGTCACGTGATTGTCACGTGACTAGATATAACTAGGTATTTGTGTTATCCGCGCTAATAGCAGCAGCTTAACAACTTATGTCTGTCATGTGATCAGATATCAAAGAAAATGAAGAAAGAAATTAGCGCTTTAACTAGCGCTCTTGCTCAAGTCGTGACAAATGCCCTCCTAATGAGGACTGGAGACCTCACCAGCTCCAAGAAGTTATTTGATAAACTTGTCTCACTCCATCAGACGTCCAACATTGCCTCGGCCTTCTATTCATTCCAGCAACTCACCAAATTGTCCTGGGATGGGACATCACCTATCCAGGACCACATTGTGAAAATCCGGACAATTGATTCACACCTCTCCGGAATGAAACTAGGAGTTGATAGCAAACTCATGGCCTTTGCTCTTCTCCAATCTTTCCCATGCACTCCAAATATTTCAGTCATTGGTAATCAACACGATTGAAGAAAATAAACTTACCTTTGATGCAGTTGAGATCCGGATCACTGCAGAAGTTGCACGATAATCAGGAGGTTCCGAATCAGCACTCAAATCCGAGGAGAAGTGGTGTGACTTCCACAAAACCAAATCACACAACACCTTGGAGTGTTGAACACTTCAGTCAGCTGGAAAAGGTCAAAGGAAGAAGGGAAATGAAAGACACAAGGAATAAAGGAAAAAAGAAGGAAAAGGCAAATACGGCGGAGCAATCATCTGGATCTGACTCCAAGGAGGAACAGAGTCATATTGCATTGGAACATGTACATATTTCCAAGCCCCTTGCTAAATGCATTCAAGCTTACCTTGTGTCAGAACCCAATAAGACCAAAACAACAATTATTATTGACTCCGGAGCAACATCCCACATGGTCCCTCACCGCTCCTGGTTTGAGCCAGGAACATACCATGTTCTGCATCCTCTGAGGACAATCAGTTTTGGGGATGAATCCTCTGTAAATGCCATTGGCATTGAAACAGTAATCCTACAAGCAACTGTTGGCAAAAAGGACTACAATATTGCACTGTCAAATGTCTTACTTGTGCCAAACTTCACTTTAGCACTCGTCTCTGTCCACAAATTGTCTAAAACGGGGTTATCAACACTTTTTCCAGCAGGGTCAAACACTTGTGAAGTTTGGAAAAAGGAGGAACTTATCCTCACTGCCTTACACAAGCAAGGACTTTATCACATCCAAGCAAAACCCAAAATCAAAAAATCAACCCGGAGTCAGCTTTTGCAGCAGTAGATGTAAATGTATTGCACAGGAAATTGTTACACACAAAGTGCTTAACAAAGTCTGAGGGTTCGTTGAGGTTTCTAGGAGACTTATCCAAAGACAAGTTTGAGAATGTAGTTCTGAGTAGAGTTCTTCCAACAAGCGTTGGTCTTTTTCTGAGTAGAAGTCTGATCTTAGGAGTCTAGCTTTGTAAGCGTAAACTGTGTAGAATCATATTAAAGAATACTACTACTGTTACATGTGTATATATAGTGAAAAGAACCGGTGATAGGAGTTAGGTCCTATCTAGGGCAGGTCCGTCCGTTGAGGACTAAGTACTATACTTGGTAACGTGACTTCGAGAGGAACAGAAATGTACGTGAAGGAGATGAGTCATTGGTCCGATGGTATAACCAATGAGTAAAGAGAAATGAATAGTCCGTAATATTTGTCCAATAGAAACCGTAACATTACCCCCTTATTTGCTTCGAATTTCACCAAAATTCAGTACCTTCGCCGTCAATATTGTAACTGTCGTCGTGTTACGATAACACAATTTTCGGACCTTTCCTTTATTTTCATTCTCCGCTCTAACCTTGTACTTTAGCTTTCACACATGGTGCCACGCGGCACTTCCCCTTTTGTCCAAACTCCTCTTTCTCGTGCCGCGTTGCCTTTCTTCTTATTTTAGACACAACTCTCTCACACAGTGGAGCTGGCCATGCGGGCTAGGCCCCATGACATTATCAGCCACTGTCTCTATCAACTGTATAGTACACATGTACAAACAACCCTGTAGTAGTATATATACCCGAATAGATCCAGGAGACTCCTCAGCGAGTCCTCCTGTTGTATACCAACTAACTCTCTGCATTCTAAGGGGTAACCACTTCCTCATCATCTTCTTTATAGTGTGTTCTGTGTGTGCCGGAGTAACTAACTCTTGGTTGTTACACGTCGTAGCTGACGTCTCCATGTAATCCTTCCATCAGAATCCTATCCTCGTCTTCCCTACGGATGGGGCACCAGTTGAAACTATGTCCTGGTGCACAACAGTCACAGTCGGGGCAATAGTAGGCTTCACAATAGTATGTGCAATGATTGCTCCAACCGCAGATTTGGTAGTATGGAGCGTTGTTACAAATGCCTTCATGGTATTTTTGTCGGGTGTTGGATGAGGTGTCAGATTGGGGGGTGGTTGGATCGTCGTCTCCTAGATTGTACATTCCTGCGTACAACTGATCAATCATGGCTGCATTGTCATCTACGTTTATTGGATTGGAGGGAGAGCCAGTCTCAGGCCTGCGCGTTGCGCCAGGCGGACTGCCTTTCTGACTCCTTGACGTGCAAGATTGACGCTTTGATGGAGTTCTTACAGCGGGGATCTGGAGTATTGTCTCTTGATGGCCGCGCCAAGTGCCTCGTTGGTTCGTCAGGTGACAGGTTTGGGCGTTTTGTACCGGTCGAGGTGGAGGTGATTGGGATGGTGGTGGTTTTGGGCTCGACAAAGTGGAATGGGGGGGGGAGAGGTTCAACTGGTGACCGGCTGGGCTGGTTGGGGCGGTGGAAATATATTTCCCCCCCGGCGGGATGGGTGAAGGCCGACGGGTGATGATGTGGTAAGTGCGCTCCGGGGTAACACTGGTCCAATCTAGGTACAACCGGGACTGGTGGGACAAACCGGGTGGAGGAGTAGTCGTACAACCGTCTCGCTCTATCCGCGTGTGCGCTTTGGTTAGCAATATCCTCCCGCCTGATTCCAAATATTCCCTTGCCGCATCCGTCTGCCCATTCAAGGAGCTCATCCTCAAGCGTCGTTCCAAAGATTCCAAAACTAACTTTTCCATCCGGAGTGCCCAACAGATACTCGAGTCCTGACTGTTGAGCCACGAATGCTCGTTTTCCAATGAACGTATTGAGTCTATGGCTTTTAGGAGTTTGTCAGCTATGAGGTCTATGGCAAGAAAGGTATGCATGGAAGAAAGAGCCTGATACACATGGGGGCAGTGTTTTTTGGTCCCGTAAAAGAAATAGGTATAGGCGTCTTTTGCTGACATTAACTCTATGGCGTCAGTGACATCGGCTTGGTTGTTTTGTTTCCCGCGGGCAAATGACACTCATTCGTCGGCTAGCAAGTTGGCATCACCGGGTATCGAGTAGGTGGTGATAGGGAAACCGGTGGAGTTAGAAGTGGACATATTTGCGTTAAGGGTTTAGAGGACAGGTGGAGGTGGGTGTGGTTGTCCTTTTTCAGCGCAGTTTGTGGTCCTTCTTATAGGCTTCCAGTATCTCTGTAAGATTCCTATCCCCTATACCGAGTTAACGGAGGGACAAGTCTCAAAGATCAACAAGTAGCGTCAAGTACTAGATTAAGAAGTAATCAACAACTGAAGAAAGTATGTACATGGGTATTGGTATATATACGTTTCTGAAGGTCAGCCATGAGGTGCTGACTGATACGACATGCAGTAGCCATGAGGCGCTGACTAATGTCTTACATAATGTTCTAGGCTTTGTCACGTGACTAACTACTGATCTTGTGTTCTTGTCACGTGTTTGTTACGTGATCAGATATAAAAGAAAAATGAAAGAAAATGAAAAAGGAAACTAGCGCTCTGACTAGCGCTCTGACTCAAGTCGTGACAATCTCCGCAGCATTGGTGAAGTGTTCTTCTGGTTCCCATGAGTTTTTGGAATGAGGGTAATGGCGCCATTTGATCAGGTAGCGGCGCCCGTGTTGTCATGCACCAAAGTTGATTGGTAGCATGGACAGGTGTCAATAACAAAGCAAATATTCAAAAAGACTCGCCTTTGCGCCACACAGGCACAGTGCCACGTGAAATAGTAATTAATATTGCCTGTTTCGAACTTGTGGCTGATCAGCACCACCTCTATTAGGCAATCCAGTCACGCTCACCTTTGCTTTTCCATTCGGTACTTTCCGTGTTTCGGCATTTTGGCAAACTTTCGCGTCGCCACTGGCTACACATTGCATTGCGCCCTCGCTTTTGTCATTTCCCTTACTCCCCTTCCTTTGCCTAGCCCCACCATGGGCCCCTTCCTCTCCTTTTTATTCTCACCTGACGGTCGTTTCTGGATCCCCATTCTAATCCACTTTTCCGTCACCTCCACCCTCCTCCTCCTCATCTTATTTGCACCCCCACCATTTCTGATGTCACCACTTCCTATCTGCTTCCGTCGCCGATCCCTTGACTACCATGTGCCACTGCTGATATCAGCAAAGCCCCGGCGGCCGGTCCAAATAGGGCAACAGGTCCATCTTCATGACGTCGATCTGCCATCATATACTATCAAAACATCGGTCGCTCGTCTTGCCTGGTTGGAGCGTGGGTGGGTAGTTTTTGAGCTGGAGAAGGTCCATCCCCTTGCGTCTCCCATGTTCATCGCTGTCCCATTCACTTGGGTACACTTATCTTTTGTCCATTGTCTTCGCTACAGCTACACCTACCACACGCTGCCTGGGACTCACTTGTTCCAAATTGGAACTACTCCTCTCCCTCCCTCATTTGATCAGGTGGTCCAACACAACCAGTCCATTGGTAAGGCCATGGAACTGTCGGATTTGGACTAGGTGGTGGACCGGTGGCTCCAGTTTCTTTTTTTTCAGCAGAACATTCATTTACAGTGCGATTATTTTTGATTTTTGAATCATTTTTATGGACACATATTTTTTAGAATGCCTGACTGACAATAAAGGAACTGTGTTGATACTGATAGTGTTTTGCCTTGCCCTTTTTTTACTGCATCTTCCCATGACATCATGATTTTCTTGCTCTCTTTTTGCTATTGGACTTTACTTTATGGCTGTACAAACCTGTGACATTACTCACAGCATTTATTGTTCTATCCCTTTATTTTCCTTTTTTTGACAATCTTATCCTGTACTACCTATGCAGGATTTGTCAGCATACATTCCTTCCTTCATGTTCTTTCTCATTCTTTTTGCACAGCTATACTGTGCATAGCCTACTTTTCTTTTACTATATAAACCCCTGTATTTTACCTTGTAAATAAAAACAAGAACTCGATTCCAGACTTCTTCTCTAAATCTCAAGTTCACTACTCACTACTGCTTGTGATCCAGTGTGGTCACAACACTTCCCACTGCTACCAGTGTCAACTACTGTCATCGTCACTTCCCACTTTTGAAGTCATTGTCATCCCTTTCGATTAGAGTCCTTCTGAGCACTACAGTTTGTGCGTCAGGAGCCTGCTATCACTGGGAACCTTGTCACCTTGTCATCCTCGTCGTTCTCAAACCTACCTTGTGCTACAATTAGCAAGGTAGTGCTCGTCTATACTTGCCACAAAGCCCCTATCTTTCTATATTCTAACTATCCCTCCTCCTCAAAACCCACACCCATACATCTCTGGGTTTTACTTTGAAGGATCCTCATACATACCACCCCACCAACAACCAGAGCACCCACTGTTCTAGGAGGCAAAGCCCATAAACAAGTTCTGTGGAATCTGGGAGGATTGTGTGTTAGTTTGTTTTTGTGTGTGGTTTTCTAACAACAGTTCTCATCATCGACAACGGATGGACCTGCCCTAGATAGGACCTAACTCCTATCACCAGTTCTCTTCACTATATATACACGTGTAACAGTAGTAGTATTCTTTAATACAATTCTACGCTGTTTACGCTTACAAAGCTAGACTCCTAAGATCAGACTTCTACTCAGAAGAAGACCAACTCTTGTTGGAAGAACTCTACTCAGAACTACATTCTCAAACTTGTCTTCGGATAAGTCTCCTAGGAACCTCGACGAACCCTCAGACTTTGTTAAGCACTTTGTGCGTAACAGGGGCATGTGAAGCATATTTGAAGATAGAAGTTCTTGCTAATGATTAAAGTGACAAAACCGGATAAACCCAGTCTCTGCTAAAGTGGCCATTGTTCTCCATAGAGCATAGCCACCACTCCATGGAGTTGCCATTGTACTCCTAAGAGTCTTTATACCTTAGTGAGTGGCACCTCTGACTGTAAGTAGTAGGTGGTTTAATATAGGAATACCTCGGTTATTTCTATAGCCCCTTGGGCAGCTGAGTTTCTCTTAGATTTATTGTAAAGTGTCTCAGATATATCACAAAAATGTACTACTCCCCCTAGCATCCATGCCAGTGCAATGCTGTTGAGATAACTCACAGCTCACACCTCCATAACTGAAGCAGAAGCATGATTTAGACACAGCTGGGTCCAGGTCTGCCCCAGGGGGCCATAGTACGAAAACAGCAATGATTTCATTGATTGTACCTGGTAGTTTATAGTGCTTAAGTATGATAAAGGCTGAACAAGCGGTATTTGAGTATGAATAAGCTGTTGCACACTTTACTGATGTATTTTGAGCTGATCCCCTGAAAATATCTAATTTTTCATGCCAGGGAGCCGTTTGATGAATATATGCAATATATACATTCGGAAAATAATGACAAGTGAAAGAGAGGACGGCTATTCAATAAAAAAAGATATTTCAACATCAGATCCATGGTAAATTGATAGTTGCGTATTAAGATACCCCAAATGTCATATCTGCGTAATGGTCCTGCATTCAACCTCAATTTCTTCACCACTTGATCGTCCACGAGCTTCTTCAAGATCAGTCGTTGGCCTATCTCCCGAATGTCCTGTGTCAACTTCGTGTCCCCGTATCCGCTCGTTGATATTTGTAGCGGATTGTAGCTGAGGTAACAGTGCATTGATCTGATTATCGATTTCCTTGCTTAGTCGACTCTGTGTTGCCTCTGTCGACTGTGCACCAATTTTTCGAAGTCTGATTGCGAGACGCTGACCAGTCACACTAATAAGTGTGAGGGTGAATCTGACAAGAAAAATTATTTGGTTAAGTCTGGTGAGCAAAGAAAAGTAGATGGTGCCATACACGCTCCCCATGAAACCTCGTGGTCTCTAAAAATGAATTTTAGCTTCTTATGAGCGAAACAGAAACTAGGACTTACATCTGGAAATTTGACCCTGCAAGACATGAGGTTGTGCTTTCGATGAAATATTGTTTGTGAACTCACCAAAGGATTAGATTGAGTGTATTACCAAAAATATTGGCCTTTATAGAGCTGCTGAGCGCATGCGTATATCAGCAGTGACTACTATTACTTACCATTATAAAGATCACAGCTGTTACTGTCAGCACTAGCGCTTACGCAGTTACGAACTTGAAGACTTACAGTCTCTGTATAGCTCACGCACAAGGGGGGATAGTTTATGATTACCACCATGATGTTTATGATATTGGGTATATAGGCTTGTTATTGTGACCGCGAAAGCTATGAGTTCCAGGACCAATCTGGAAAGAGAGTCAATAGTCATATAGCGAGAGCTCTGGGGAATAAAAATACCCGCTGAACCAGAGCAACCACTGATGAATCGCATTAAGTTGATATAACACAATACTAAAAATATGCCTTACTTCAATATCTATGCAATATTTACATCAGTGTCGACCATAGACGATTCTCAACCTGACCCAACATACTTGGTAGTCTTCTGGTACAAGCTCCTCCAATAAATATAAATCTGTCTGCCCTGCAAGCATCAGATTATGACTTATTCTGGGATCATCAAAAGGCTTACGCCTATTGTGGACTAATCCACGAGTAAATAGGCCAATGCACAATGCAATGTAGACGGCAAACAAAGCGGAGAGACCAAAAGCTAATTTCCTTGAACGCCTATGAATCGCCCATGCTCTCAAAAGGACCATAGCTAAAAATAATACCATGAGCACATTTTGGCATAATGATAGCCATAAAAGACTGTACCATGGGCCGAAGCAAACGAAAGGCTCTGGTAGATACCTTGAGATAAGATGAAGCAAAAACAAAACTTGAATTTCATCAGATAGTAGTGGCGGTTGCTGGACATACAAAACTTACCGAACATAGAGATGGGAAGGCTGACTGGAATGATGACGAATGCTGAGCAAGCGCAAGCGCTTGAAACGCCAAGTTTCCGTATCTATTCGCGAGAAATAGGACCTTGAAATATGAACGGGGGCTTCGCCAGATATAGTGAACCTTTCCGAAATACCAAGCTTGAATATGTCGTTGCGTAACCCACGTTCTGACTAACCTCATCCTGCAAAGTTAAAAGGTAATCCCATGAAAGCAGAGCGTAGCTGGATATGTTCATCGAACTGGAAAGGTGATGAGCTACATTGTATTCTTCATACCAAGCGATGTTAGAAGCTCACCGCACAAGGCGCACATCATTGAGGATCTGTGCAGACATTTACTGTGGCTGCATCAGTATCACAGTTTTGGGCCGCAGTGATACCGATGTGGTACAGGTATTGATGAGAAGTGTCTTGTTCAACTTTCCAACTTGAAGGATAGCTAAAGAGTACCCAGTTCGGACGTGAATCCAAGCCAGGAGGTGAGCCCTGGACCGTTGATAGGTACAAAGGGAAAGGACCACATATAAATACATACTGTTAGAGTACAAAAGACTCATTCTTACGTTGTTTCCTTCTTTAGCCTGTCACATGCACCTCATTGGCACCAGTTACTAATCAATTGACCGCTTGAGCTTTACTTAGGTAAAAAATGAGTGAACCTCTAACTGAAAAAGCAGGACAGGTCAAATACCTGTAAGTAAGACAAAGTTTAATAAGTTTGAATTACCATGATTCTGCAGAAACCCGGACACTGAACCGGATGAGTCAAGTAAAACACGGGCTGCAGGGGTTATCCTTCCAGACCTAGGTTCCTGATGAGTCACTGTATCCTTCAAAGAGCCTGATTTGACTAACCTGAGACGCCTAATGAACGACCAGTATCATTTTAATCGAAGTGAGCACCTGAAAAGTGTGCCGATATCTCGGACGCTGTATGAAAAGGCGCCCCGGAAAGTGCCAATGTCTCCGAGAGGCCAGGGGGAAAACCTCCGTGTGAGAGATGCTCAAATAACATAGCTTTTCTGTAGAAGGGTAGATGGCGGCTGCGGCTGAGATATCACAGATGTTCGCATTAGGAAAGATTGCTCTGACCGGCAATCTTATCTCGGTGGATATTCTTTGACTAAAACGCAAAAGGCTCAGTAAGTAGCGGTGGGTGAAGGAATGCAAGAGAATAAAAGGGGCGGAGTACACGTGCACAAGTTGGCAAAATATATCCGGGACATGCCAAGCATAAAAATGATCCCACATTCCAGCTTAAATTATGCAAAGGCTAATAAATTTATCTTGAATTTGAGCCAACATGCTCACCTGATTATGGAAGGGAGGGCTTGACAGTCATTAGAACGTGAAGATTATTTGCACCTATTCAGATTCGGACATACTATGACAGGCAGCTGACCACCCAATAACCTGACTCTTTCTCCAACCTTGCTACCGTCGCTGGCAGACCTGTTTACGGCGCGAACACTCAACTCGCGACTAGATCGCCTGTCCCAACCGTACCGTTGTCGGAGTTATGGAGTAATTTGGCTTGGAAAAGCTGGAGAAATAACGGAGAAATAACATGTAAGGCTGTTTGTTTTCTGGAAAGAAATTCAGGACAGATCAAAGATAAAACACAAGAATAATACTCCTGTGAATGTTATTGGGTGTCAGACTCCGTAATGGTGGGGGGAACCAGATGAGTGTGAAGGGCTGGGTGCGGCCACACAGATGCAGAATAATGACGCGAAACGCGAGCAATGCGTCTCCTGGTGACGAGTAGCGCTATACCGGCTTCAAAAGTTGAAACCATGGTCAAGTATAGGGGCGGCCGACAGACATCTCCTATTCCGGCAAGCCAAATAAAATTAGGTCAATTCGGGAATGTACGGAGGGTAACGCACGATTTGCATTGAATCAGTTGATTCCACGAAATTCTGTGCAAGTAAGTTTATGCCTTCTATATACATACAATTAACCTTCCTTCGCAGACCCTAGAGCAGGCGCCAGATACATGGCAAGGAATGTAGTTTCGTGACAGCCTCCATCCTTGATATGCCAGGTGGGGGGGTGCTGGAGGCCCTGATACAGGCCACTGAGACCGAGTGATAAGGTGGTTCCTGAAACGTGGGCTTCCTGCGGTCCGGCATTCTAAAGTTATTTCGTCCTTCAGAAATGCCGTGAAAACTAGACCCTTACACGTATCCTGTATCGACCCCCGAGCAAACGAATCGAAACAGAAAACAGTATAAACGGTAAACGAGAATATGAGAGTGAAGGTGAACTTTTGGGATTGCCTCCGTATACACCATGCCCTGATGAGTAGCAAAGCTACAAGAAATCACGACGTGAGCTATAAAGCACTGTTTGAAACGAAATATATCGTCCTTACCGTGAACAGAAGCGAAGGCGATCATTTCATAAAAGGCGTGGAACAAGACTACTTAGGAACAATACTAAACTCGTTGTCAGAATATGCGATAGGGAATACATCCAAAAGATAGGCGAATCCTTTGTAAATATGCAAATAGAGATAATTTGACATATCAAATTTCCATGGCGATTTGCGAGAAATATGTCTTTGAAGCACGACCAAGGACTCGACCAAATATACTGCACCTGAAGTCAACTGAATTTCAGCGCCAGCTATAGCAAGACCAACTGACTTCATCTTCCAACGTCGCTATATAGTCCCATACCAGCAACGCAAAACTGGACATGGCCATAGTCCTGGATGCGTGATAGACATATAGTATAGGCACGGTCCTTGCAAAACTCATCATTATAAGAGACTCACCGACCGTACAGTACAATGATCCCTGATTTTCCGATCAAGGGGACACATCAACGCAAGTTGTGACTCTTCACTAGTAGTCTTAACCTATGGTTGATTCCAGATGAAGCGAGCTTGATGAAGAACTTGAGCACTGGGATATCGATATAAAGAGTGAATAGTATAGTAAAGTGAGTATAGGTTGAGTATAGTTGAGTTTCGCCGGTATCAGGTCCGAGCACAATAATAACACCCCGCTCATGTGCAGGGCCTTGACTTTCTCATACCTGTCGGTATATATGTTACCTGTCAGTGATCTGACAGCGAACACTTACACTTCATCAGGAAGGGTACTTACGTTTTAATTGCTTCTCCCGGGAATAGTTTGAGCCTGCATCACTGGACCAAACAGGCTACCGTCGGGAGTGCGTTGCGAAGAGCGAGCGAGGCAATTTAATATACCGCATAAGATTAACACGACTCGTAAGCTTCAAATCATTTAACTGAGAATCTGATTGTGGCCAAACGCACAAAGCTAGCGGTTGAAACAATGTAGTTGGTCAGCAAGACTCTAACCGTCAACTCAACGCGTCGCAATTTTCCGGTTACAACCGAAGATAAAGCAGGAACGTTAACGACAGGCACACACCCACAGCTTGAGAGGAGCACTGCGCGGACGCCTTAGTGGGTTAGAATACACAGGCTTTCACCGTAGCCAATGACAGTGATGCTGAAACAAACATATTAAAGTTCATACTCAAGGTTGTGTCGCTTTAGCTATCGAGGAGACGTGGATTAAAAGATACCTTGATCGGCGAAGCGAATCTCAACTTTCATTCAACCGCATCACCAAGTTGATAATTTACATCAAGCTTAAGTAGAACTTGGTCTCGATGAGTCACTTAGACCAGATCGTAACGGAGTCTAATCAAAATACAATGGTAATTTCTTGATACAAGCCACACGTTACATCGTATTTAATGTACCCGGCTTGATATTTGTACAATCTCGCGGATCAACCACTGCAAGTGGGAGCATTACTCGTCCAAGTGGCCATGACCCGGGCGGTAAACCCTGAGGAAGTGAAACACGGATTTCTTGAGGACATCCGGTTTAGCGTTCGAAGGAATCGAAGTGACATCAAGCTGCAAGCAACGTTTCCCGATTAGCTTTTTTCTTAACCACGTTGTGAGACTTGCCTCAGTGTACTTGTTTCCATTGGGTAAGGTCCAGGCGCCAGTCTGAGATGTAGATGAGATGCTGTACATTTATTAGCGCATGCGAAATATTGACAGATGGGTAGGAGTCTCACGTATAACCATCGTATTCCGACTTATACTCCAAGCCCCAGGTCTCTCCAGAAGTAGGAGGGAAAACAACTCCAACAAGCTTCTTGCTTTTCGGAGAAGTACCTAATCCACCGCTGATGAGGTTATAACGACCTCCACCGAGGTTCTTAACTTGAACCTTGAAGGATAGGTTTTTAAAAAAACGACTATCAGATCGAAAAACCCAGTAACTTACCACTTCAGGGTCTGGCGAGGCTGGCCATGAGACTACATTCCTGGGAGTGATGCCTGAAGCCCTAGGGCCACTCTTCTCGACGCCTATGCTACCACCCGGGAAAGCGATGCTGCTGATGACATATACACCAGTTTCGAGTCCTTGAGCTGCACTAGTTTCCAGTTCTTGAGACATTGTATGAAAGTTGGGGTTTGAGATGATCTGGTTCTTGAGTGCATATCCAAAGGTCTTTTATACCGCACAGAACGTCGTTTTTCCAGAAGGGGGATGGTGAGGCTAAACATAGCTGAATGGAAGTGCATGTCAGTTTAGCACAGGGTGAGTGAGTGGCGCCCGAACAGTGTTAAATGGAAGTGGGGGATATTGATTTGATGCTCCCTTTCGGAGGTAAAATGAAGTAACTTGACAAAACTTTACATACTTCGAGCAACGTATTCAAGACATCGCTTGTACTCAACTGAGTACAATGTCTAAAAACGTCCATATCCTGACCCGAACAGCCAAAGACAAACACAGCTGTCCAAGTGCTGTAAGCCATTTGAAATTTCCAAGCAGTACCGAGAAGCAAGTACCAAGTCTGGCCCGAAAAATGAGCTGCCATTGCGAATGTATGATGCCATACGATGCGATTGAACCGGGGAACATTGTCAAGCACTCCACGACGAGGACTCATCCTCAGGAAATACTGTTGCTGAGTTAGTCTCCCTCACACCTCATACCATTTAGGAAAAAGGTAGTCGTTCCTTCTAATATACAAAGTTGACACACGTTAGAGCTGGCTGCGGAATACACAGAAAGTAGCAGGATCAGGATCCGCTAGAAGAGCGCCATCACGTTTGCGAGAACAAGTGAGTAAGATGGCACGAGGTAGCGGCGAAGAATGCGTCGAATGTAGCCGATACAGAAGTAGTACACGTGTGGAGACAAAGGGAGCAGCGTTACGTGAAAAAAAAAATTATGCGTCATATCCAGGAGGCATATCCGTGTAGGTCGATGAACCTCCCTCAGCAGAAGAAGAATAAACGGCTACACAGGAAGAACAATAATAAGCCACATGGGACGAGATATAATGGTTCAGTTTAGTTCAACATACGTAAATTCTCGTCCTCTCCCATAGCCGTTTGTCTCCTCATATATATGGTCCTTTCACGGGTTTTGTCGAGAACACCCACGAATTGGAAAATGCCTTGATCGCTGAACCGAATTTCGACTTTCGTTCCATCAGTAAGTCCTCCTTCTGGAGATGGATCCACATCTAGCGTGAGGAAGTTGGCCGCAAACAGTGGCTGTTCGAACTTCGTAGACAGTATAGAATGTAATGGTATGGAAAGCGAGTCAAAGGAGGGCTTGGAGCCTCCAGTAGTAGGTGTGGTGAATATCAGCTGAAGAAGCAAAGTCATCGGATACCACAGTAGGATATGACAATAAAGAAACCTCAAGTCAATATCGGGATATCGTCATTAAAACGGGTGCGCACTCGTTTATCTGTAAGCCAGAGTCTACCTGCCTCCTTCATCTTCTTCGTATCCGGAGATCCACCCGCGATGGCAGAGCCCGATGGTGGAATCTTTGGGATTATAACAGTATACTCCACTTTAGAGTCTACAGTCAAGATAGTCTGCTCATGCGGCAGGGGTATTGGGACACGCGTAGCAGGATCCAGCATCGTCCAGTTCAAAGCCATCTTGTTGTAAGTTCGCGATGCTTGACGAGTGTAATGTATGTAAAGCGACACAGTGGTAAGGGGTCAGATTGGTCAGTTCGAACATGATAGAACGCCACGGATAAGGCTGAGGAGCCTCGAGGCTGTGAGGAACAAGGGTTTCACGACAGTAAAAGATGCCACATGAATCTTGCAAAAAATGTTTTTGTATGGCTACCTAGCGCAATGGTAGCGCGTTTGGCTTCGATGCCTCACGGATACCAAAAGGTTGCAGGTTCGAGTCCTGCGGTGGTCATTCTTTTGTTTTCATTTTCCTTGTCACGAATAATATTAAGTTACCTCACTATAGTGGGCGAGACACGTGATCGTCCACTTTAGGTTTGTTTGTCGGGCGGCGTGATGTTGCTGCTTGACTAAGCATTTTTACTGAGTGGAGTGACTGTGCAGTATTGGCAGTGCAGTAGCGTCCTTTCACCCTGACTGTATAAGAATGCCAACAAAATCGCCAGCGGAAACGTTATTGGAGAAGGCAAACAAGAAGGCAAGCTCTTCCGCTGGATGGTTCTCTTCCTCCTCCTCCAAATTTGAAGAAGCTGGCGACCTCTTTCAACAAGCGGCCAACTCCTTCAAGATCGACAAGCTATTCAGAGAAGCAGGTGATGCTTTCTCAAGGGAGGCAGAGTGCAGAGAGAAATGCAAAGAAGCCAACGAAGCATCGAACGCATGGTGGAATGCCGCAAAGGCTTACAAGAGAGGATATCCTGACCGTGAGTTCCGTATCTTCGTCATTAAGTGGAGAGCGAAGTACTGAGCCCATTCCAACAGTGGCTATCCAGGCCTTGACGCAAACTATAACGCTGCTAACTCAAAGTGGTCGATTCCGTCAAGCTGCAGATAGGGAAAAGGAAGTTGCGCAGATATACCGACAAGAATTGAGCGACATACGCAAGGCATGCGAAAGCCTTGTCCGTGCAGGCGATTGGTACGCCCAAGAGGACGCTACAGCGTACGTATTGTATATTACCGGGGGTTTTGTGACTGCATTCTAATATGCTCCTTACACAGTACGGCGAATGCATGCTTCAAAGATGCTGCTGATATCCATGCCGAGTTGGAGGAGTACCCTCAAGCCATCGCCCGATACGAACAAGTCGCAGACCACTCTCTCACTTCTGCCCTCACAAAGTACAGTGTTAAGGAGTATTGGCTAAGAGCCTCTCTGTGTGCTCTTGCCATGAAAGTAAGTACCGTACACAATAGACTTTTGCCGTTTCAACCCTGACGTTCCCATGTACTAGGACACTATCACCGCTAAACGAAACATGACGAAGTACTCTTCACAAGATACAACCTTCAGCTCTACTCGAGAAGCTAAATTTATCAAGGGTCTTATCGATGCCATCGAATCAGGGGATCATGAGATGTTTACGGGGACTGTTGTGGAGTTCGACCAGGTCGTTAAACTAGACAACTGGAAGACTGCCATTCTGTTGAAGATTAAACGGGGCATCCAGGATGAACCGGGTATCTTGTGATGACATTCTGTTCTTTCCATTGATCTTTCACGACTCTTTTTGTATATACTGTACCATGAGTAACTTAAGATGGACTGCGATCATTCAGATAACCGTAGCTTAATCACATATTCATGGATTAGATGAAATGTTTCCTGAGACCACTGCACTAGCAGCGCGCATGGAAGAATCGGTAGTGATTTCTATATTCAGAAGGACAACGAACTTTGTCTGTCAGTTATTTGGTCAACGATTTACTTTCTCGATTCTTTCGTTGGTTACGTCTTTTATTAATCGTAGAAAGTCTACGTGCTAAAGTAGAGTAGTGTTACATTTGTGCCCATTAGCCTTTTGCATGTCTTCTACAGGTGCTGCTCGATGCTTTCGCAAGAAACTTTCAGGCTTTCCCCTGTTTCCCCTCACATCGTGCAACCAAAATCCTGTCTGTGGAACTCACAAGGCCACCGCCCAATCGCAATGCCCTCTCCAGCCACCAACCTCTTCACTTTTTCCTCACCATCCACATTCACCATCACACAAGGTTCCTCCGTAACGTCATCCAGGAAATGCCACTCTGCACATGCGCCTTGGCCAAAAGGGTGAGGGAAAAACTCGTCATCTTCGGGCTCTGAAGGGTCCGCAAGGAAGGGATGATATAAAGCGCTACGTGGCGTTATGCGCCGCGTCGACTCTGGTTGCATAAGTTCAGCAAGAAGCGAAAAAGCAGCTTCGATATCTGCCCTATGTTCGTTGCGCGTTGGAGGTGCGGGTGAGCCGTTCCCTGGAGATGATGAGCGAGAATATGACGAAGCAGAATGATTTTCATACGTCGAACATGATGATGAAGATGGTGGGAGTGAAAGGTGGGAATCGTGAAATTGAGGATGAGAGTGGGGGTTTAGATGGGAGTAGGCAGAATTGTAAGGGTAATAACGAGGGTTCGGTTTTGGGGGATCGAATATCTCAGGGTTTTGCCTCTCGACAAAATCCCGCCATGATATTCCTTCGTGCGCCAGTGAAGGAATATTTGTCGCAAATGTCCGACCTTTGTGTACGTGACATTAGTGTTCCAACAGAATAGCTGTGGTACTTACTATGTAACATAGCTACTCTTTCCATTTTTTGTCGACCGATGATGACAGCAACTTCCATGAGAGCCTCGACATCGTCGCTGGATTGGAAAAGTGGGAACTTGCCAGTAAGGAAGAAAAGCAATATCATCCCAGCAGACCAAACATCGATTGCTGATTTATCGACTCAGCAAAGAGAGAAGGAAGTAGCCAGATTTACACATACCACCCGACTGCTGACTACACTTTAGCAGGACTTCTGGTGCACGAAACCCGCGAGTTCCGGCTCTGTTAGCTTTCGAGTGAGCACTGAAACGCAATAAAGTTTAGCATACAGTTGTTGCGCACTCCTAGGAGACATGATAAGTCGGCTTTACCGAGTGTCCTTGTCAGGGTAACCGACCCTATCACTAGGCCAAGAGCTTTTCTGCCGTGCTTCCTTCTGCATCTTTTTCAAGTGATCCAGGTCATACTCACTACGTTGTCGGATCCGGCCATGAGGATTTTCACGTGAAGGAGCGGTGTGCAGGCATGCATTATGACTAGGTGCTGTACCCTCCATACGCTTAAGATACAAGCGTTAGAAAAGCGACCGATATAACCCTGTAACACTATGGATGCTTACACTTGCAAGACCAAAGTCACACAATGTACCAATTCCGGTACGAGGGTCAAACAAGAAATTAGCAGGCTTCACGTCACGATGTATAATGCCCCTGGCATGTATGTCGCGTAGTGCACGAAACATACAGCGAAAATACGACTTTATACCAGCCATTGGCAGGTCACGGTAGAAATCCTGTACGAGGTTTAGTATCATTACTATCTCGAAGCACATACACTCACCCGGAAATCCTCATTGCGGTGGTAGGGCATGATGGCAACAACTTGATCTTCATGACGAAAAGCGGTTATTAATTGGGATATATGCCGACAACCTCTACAATCTTCCATAATAGATATTTCATTCCGTATGCGTTCGGGATTGCTAGTGACGTATATTCGCTTGATAGCAACGAACACCTTGCTCTCTGTTGCACGCTCCACAGACTGATAGTATGCAGATGAAGTTGACGGATGATGGCCATGCCAAGGATTGTTATCCCATTTATCGTGGTAGCCCAAATCTATCGCTTTATAAACGGAAGAGAATGTGCCTGTACCAAGTCTGTCGACGATCTTGTAGTCCTCGCGAAGCAGAGGGACTGCATCTTCCAGACTAGCAATCTCTCGTTCAATCTCCTGTCGTTCTTCTGGTGGCTTGAGACAGATAGTGTTTTCATCATCCGTTTCACCCTGTGCATCATCGTCATTGTCTTGGTCGTCATCCCTATCATTTCCATCTTCATCTCCTCCAGTGGTTATATTGAGCTCATCACCGCTTTCCATGTCATCGTCCAAATCAACCATCACGGGTCTCCCTTTGGCGCGGGGTGTTTGTCCCAACTTTTGTGCTGGATATATCTGTGAAAGATGCTGGTGGTACTCCTCGACCTCTGGCTTGACGAAGCCGTGGCTTATATCCCCTGACGACAAATAAGCCTCTCCGCATGTCTTTCTAGCGTCCATGTAGCTGCGGAGGTAGGCTTTGTTGCGTGCGTCTGAGGAGGGCACCTCAAGAGGATTTGAGGAGTGTTGTGAGAGCAACATGGTAGCCATCAGTGAAAAGGGGGCCAAAGAAAAAGAAAGGTGGCCTCCTTGTTATACGCGAAGTTATTATGCACAAAGGAGGCGAGCCTCGAAACAGAGTGGTGCACTAACAACAAAGTCCGCAAAGGACATGTAAGATGGTTGTAATATGAATGTCTGGTCGCGCTCAGTCGCGCCCAACTGGGGAGGTCACGTGAGAGTTAGGTAAAGTGGCAAGAAAGTAATAGCAAAAAGATGACCACCGCAGGACTCGAACCTGCAACCTTTTGGTATCCGTGAGGCATCGAAGCCAAACGCGCTACCATTGCGCTAGGTAGCCATACTTTATGATTAATAATGGCAATGATACTCGCCATCGAGGTGGCTACGTATGCCAGACATGGGTTATTGTGTTTTTCCACTTGAATGCGAGACTTGCTCATGTCTTTGGCCCAACCTTGAAGGTATTCGACCGTTACATATGCACATTCTAGGGGAGTATCGTAGTTTTTGCCTCAACGTGCTCAAGGACCCTCTATTTCAACAAGCTCTTCCATTTGTCACTTTATTCGTCGTTCTGCCGTTAGTTGTCCTCGTTTGCGCCAAGGTCATCCGTACCAATTACTTCTTGTGGTGTTTCACCATGGTCTTCGAAGTGTTGGACTCACTTCTTCACTGGAGCTGGTCTTATGGTTCCTCGACATCCACCTCGTCTCACGAGTCCAAAAAGCTCAAGAAAAAACATGTTCGCTCTCGTGCTGAACAAATTGCGTTGAACGGATATGCCAAACCAGGTGGGTAACTTTTACTCCGGTCTGACAACATCGTTATCTCATGCCTGCAAAGGCTCCACGAATGGCGAGGAGCATGTCGAAGGACATTATCCAGGATTAGTCAATATCTCGGGCACCTACTGCTTCATGAATTCGACATTACAGGTTCGTGTGTACTGACCACCAATACCGGTGTACTTATTCATGTCTTTCAACACCAGGCAATGGCATCATTATCGTATTTGCAGCCCTATATAGATGCTGTCCATGCCAAAGCTGAAGCACTAGATGTTCCTTCACCCGTCATAGACGCCCTGCAAGATCTGCTCCGCGGTAAGCATATTGTCATATCAGTGGAGCTGCCAACGAATATGACATATCTCCAGATCTGAACTCTCCCCAATCTTCTTATAATTCCATACGGCCTATGGCTATTATCTCTGCGCTGGCGGATCACTCCTCTGGAAAACACAATTCTCTCTTCTCGTCTCGTGAGCACCAAGATGCTCAAGAGCTCTTTCAACTTGTATCAGAGTGTATAAAGAAGGAAGTTCTGGCAACCGACAAAGAAGAATATCGTGACCGTGGATTCGGTGGCCTTTCGCGGATGGGAGAAGCCAATAGAGAGATTGGTAAAAGTGTATTCGACGGACTTACAGCAAACCGAAGAAGCTGCATGGAGTGCGGATACACAGAGGCTGTCATGCACTTTGCTTTTGACAGTTGGCAGCTAGCGGTACCTCGTATGGCTGTACGTTAATAGCCTTTTGTCAGCGCACATTCACTAATGATATCTTACAGGCTAGCTGCGGACTCGAAGAATGCCTTGCAGAATATACTAAGCTGGAGTTACTGACTGACTGTATCTGTCGCAAATGCTCTATGGTAGCTACCCATCACAGGCTTGTACAAGAAGCAGATAGACTCGCAGATGTGGTGAACGCAGACCCTGATGCATCCTCGTCGAAGAAGCGACGAGCGAAGGATGCGAGAAAGTTGGAATTGAAAGTGAAGGCGGCCCTAGACCAAGGCCGGATCGAAGATGATATAAAGGGGGTCAAGATGGAAAAGGTGTTCAGTAGAGCTTCTACAAAGCAAGCCATGATTGCCAGGGTAAGAGCATTCAACTTAATCTCTGCTGGATCACGCATAATGTCCCATTTCAGCCTCCTCCCGTTCTTGCATTGCATCTCAATCGCTCATTGCACTACGGTCAGTATGCAGCCAAGAACACAATTCGCATCGTCTTCCCAGAGATCCTTGACCTCACCCCGTTCAGCACCTCCGGTAACTTATCAACAGCCCCATCTGTCCCCATATCCTCGCCTCCACCTGCCTTACCTCGTTCTACAACCCCGACGCCTGCCACCTATGCCACATCGCGCACTCTCTACCGCCTATCGGCAGTGGTCTGTCACTATGGACAACACTCGTTTGGTCATTACGTCTGTTACCGACGAAAACCACGACCAACGTCAGTACAACCACGCTATACGCCACCAAAGCAGGTGGATCCTCTCGACTGCGAGTGTGCCAAGTGCCAACGGTTGGGGCCTATTAGGGACGACGACGACGCCCTTGATTCCATATATCGACCGGGACACGGATGGCTACGTATAAGTGACGACTCTGTTAGAGAATGTGGGATAGAGTCCGTCTTGCAAGAGGGTGCCGGTGCGTTCATGTTGTACTACGAGCGCGTGATTTCGTCCCGTCCCGGTATACTTCCCCTGCACGACTCTCCTAGGAGCTCAGAGGAAACACTGAAAGCACAGAGCCCTATTCCTGTTCGCCTGGATATCAATCGATCAACATTGTCGTTGAGCAGCCTTAGGCCGGACGGAATGGACGAAAGGTCGATGCTAGGCGCAAGAATTGTTCGTAGCGTGGCCGCTGGGCGAGGTAGAAGTCAATCTGCTACTCCTTCTGAACGCAACACCACAGTTGAACCTTCTGAGAACGGCCACGCTACACCTTTCCGAGCACCAACAGCCAACGGGGACGCGACCTCGCACATACCTAACCAGGTCAAAGCATCTCCCTCCAAGTCCTCATCATTAACTTCGAGCTCATCTTCTAAATCACCCAAATCACCACCACAGATGGACTCTTTGCACAGTTGCTCAACGTCCTCGTCTCATTCGCGACATCATCCCTTGTCCTCCAAATCACATCGAATACAAAGTCCACAGTCGTCAACCGTAATAGGCCTCACCGCATAATTATTATCCCTCTGATTATATCATTTTATTTTGAACTTGTATCTTTAGCCTCTGAGTTCGATGGCTCTCTGCTCACTTTTATCTACATACACCATGCTATCAATGATCCTTTTTAGACATTTGAGCAGTTATAGTGGATAGTGCAGAGCAATCATTGCATTTCCTATCGTGACAAGACATGCAAGAAGCGTGATACAAAAAGTTTCTGCTACTCAAACAGATCTAGCACCACTCCCCAGTCCCAGTAAAACCAAGCAAACTTTGCTCCCATTCGTACATCTTGTGCAATAGTGAACGTCCACGATCAACGTCGTCCACCAAGTAATGAGTCCTGATGGACTCGGCGGGCAATGGCCCTCGAGGGAAGTATAAAGGTTATCCAACACAAAAAATGATATCCAAGCAATAAAGAAAGAACAGACGAAGACCCTAGGGCGCTTCACCAATAAATTCTGCGCTCGACAGTTCTTTGTTTTATGGTAGGACGGGTGGCGTATGACACGGTGCGCTTGACGCGGGTGACGGTGGGGTACCTGTGAAACCAAGTCCAGAGATAGATTTGTGTAGAGACTGTAGAAATTACCAGGCAGCGTAAACTTCATTTGGTTCGAGCTGAACCTCGAGAATGGTTCGACCCTATATCCCACACGTTAAACAAGGTATGAGAAACGCAAGCATTTGCCACCCACAGCATAGTCAACGTAGGAGCCCACTACCATTCCTTCTCTGCGGCCGTAACGGTCATGGTTGACAGCCACGAAGTCACCCATCTAAATTGGCGCTCAGCCACTCAGCGTCGTACGTGCCAGCGAGCGTGGAGAATACGCACAATAATTTCCTCGACACTTGCCATGGTGGACGTTGAAGGGGGAGAAGAGTGGAAAAGATAATCAGGAGGGGATGTCGCTGGGAAGATGAAAAAAGCATGGAGGGTTTTTATAGATTAGATGGAACCTGGGCCGCCATTCACAAAAAGCGAGGCAAGCCACGAGGCAGAATGTCGCCGTGGAAATTTAGCCCAATCGCGAATTTTCTTTGTCCGAGTAGGGGCAGTCCGTCGGTCTTTCACGTAAACATCCGCACAATAAATAACGTTACCATTGTCTCTCTGCGCTTTATTACACGCGTTGTACTCAGGTTTACCATCAACTCCCGCTTGTACTCAAAGCAGCTCGATAAGTGTGTTTATGGTTGAGCACGGATGCATATGAAGCTGCTTACATGCCTCCATATTCCGAAGCCTCGCGGCATCAAATGCCAGGGAAATATTCGGCTATCGTATCATTCAGGGCTCGTGTCTACAGAAGAGCGAGCGGTGGGGGATACACAATAATATCAGCGACGAACAAGATGATGGGGCTACAAATGCGGATTCTAGGACGGATGAAAGATTATGAATATATACCTGCCTGAAAACTCCTACACCACGAGCTGACATACATGAGGAACGTCCAGCCAAGATCATCGCCATGGCCTTCCTATTAGCTTGGTCAGCCAACCTCGAATCACATCCCGAAGTTTCAATGGGAGCCCGTAATCTCCAATTGTAGTATCACTGCCAACTTTCGCAGATGATCTGACCCCGGAACGTGGAAGCGTAGACTGCCAACTGATATTTTCGTTCGTTCTCCTCGAAATCCCACGAAGAATATCTTCCCCGCATTCTTCGTATACTTTGGCCAGTTCAGCGCTACGCTCGTAGTATGGACGGCGGACTGCATACGGCGCCAGTCCATTATATTTACGGACTAATGAGTTCAGTTCCGTTATCGCCGTATCATGATACGATCGTTCACGCTCTTCCCATTCGTCATCTCGCAAAGAGGTGATATCAGCGAGAGCCAACGATGGAAGGTAAGTCGCAGGCTGCGACACCGTGAGCATCCTGACCGCACGCCTCGTCCAGGACTGTCGAAGCATTTCTCTAAAAGAGTTGATAGCAGATTCTAGTTCTACTCAATAATTAGTTTCACCTATCGTAAGAACCCTATGTCTGACAAACCTAGTTGAACCTCTACCCATGGTGGAGATGCACCATTCCGTTGCACGATACGGTTCATTAAGAACTCTTCTCGTGCGATAAATGGATTGCGTTCATCGCTTTGTCGCACCAACGGCTGACCTCTACCCTTGACTTTATCAAATTGACCCGCAAGTCGTGCTTTCTGAGACAGTCAGAAATGAGCAACGAAACGACAGCAGAACAAAAGAGATACCTCAATCTTATCCTCAATCATACTCTGCCATCCCCTCATGCTAACAGGATTAGCTCGAACGGAAGGTCTATTCTCACCATGGCCACTCTTGATTCCAAGCCGATAGTCCAAGGTAGACTCCCTCGCCCGAGTCAACCGACCAGCTTGCTCCTTCCGCTTCTGCAACTCCCTCTCCGTCTTCCGAGTTCGCTCATCCGTAGCGGAAGACTTCGTAGATGTCCGGGCGGACACCAGAGGGAACGTGCCCAACTTGATAGACGCAGTTGCGTGCGAAGGCGCTTTGAAAGTCGTATGCCACGGTTTATGGCCTTCGACCGCTGGGAGCAAAGGTTCATTCGCTACTTCCTCCCAATTCCGTGATGCCCTCTCCGTCTCAGATATGGAAGCAGCGTCCGAGTGTATGCGCGGTGGAACCTGCTTCAACTTTTCCTCTGCCGTCCTGATAGGACCGCCCCGCAACGGCTTGTACTTGTCCACAAGCATACGCAGAACAGCATCCTGCATCGACTCTTCCCCCGTCCAGTTCTCATTTTGGTTCTCTAGAAGAGTAATATTGCTGGGCCTCTTTGGTGAGGGGGATTCCGCTTCTTCCGCCTCCTCGCGAGCAGCATCTGCGAATAATTTTGCGCTGGCACTTCGCTCATCACTTGATTTAGCTATATTACCCTTATGTATGCTCCTAGATGCAAGCCATGCCCTAGGTGCAGGCGCCAAAGGGTTTTGGAGAATCTGGGATGAACGGAAGCTGCTGGTCAAGCGCACAGTCATGCAATTATTTGGCTATGTTGATGCAAGGCGGCACACAAAAATTATCGCAAATAGAAACCCCCTGATTGGCAGAAAATACATATGCTACACTGGTGCTACACATATAGCTGCTTTCCTTTCTTCCGCTACCTTTAGTTTTTGTTATAACAGTACAGCAAAAAGAAATAACGTGTTTTTCTCTTAGGCAACAGTGTCGGGTTTCCTCAGATCAAATTCGAAGGGTACTGGAAGTCCTCCAAGCCCACAAAATTCTCCTTGATGCTGCGTGCAGAGACGAATCGGTAGAAAATGCTGATACTTCCGGCTTTGTCGTTCGTACCGCTCGCGCGTGCTCCACCGAAGGGCTGTTGGCCTACAACAGCACCAGTACATTTCTCGTTGTAGTACACGTTACCAGAGGAGTTGCGAAGCTTGTTGGTGGCGAGCACGAGAGCCTTGCGGTCAGCCGCGAAACTAATTAGTTGGAGGACAGTGAGTAACAAAAAAAACAAAAGAAATGATGATTGTATGCGCGTACATGGAACCTGTCAGAGCGTAAGGTGAAGTGCTGTCGATGAGCTCGAGGGTCTTCTCAAAGTCTGCATCATCGTAAACGTAAACCTTGACCAGGCGGCTTCAGCAATAGTTGGAAAAGTGGTGACTACGATACTCACAGTAACGACAGGACCGAAAATTTCCTCAGCCATGGTGACGGAACGCGGGTCTTTGGTCAGAATGACGGTGGGTTGGATGAAATAACCCTTGGAATCATCACCTAATGAGAGTTTGTTAGCTACGCCTCCTTGGATCATACAAGCCGACTCACCAGTTCCACCGATGAGAACTTCTCCTCCAGCAGCCTTCCCTTTGCCGATGTAATCAACAATTTTATCGAAAGCTGGCTTTCCTCTATGCACAAGATCATAACATTCAGCACTAAGACCTCGAGAGATAAGGCAATATCGTACATCACAGGTCCCATGAAGTTGCTAAAGTCCTGGGGTACTCCAACCTTGATCTTTGCAATCTCTCCCAGGAACTGATCTTTGAAACCCGAATTCCAGAGGGACGATGAAACATACATACGCGAAAGAGCAGAACACTTTTGTCCTGTTATTTAGAACCCGAATTAACCAAAATCGCTCTGACTGATGTTACAACCTTACCTTGATACTCAAACGCGCCTCGCACACTCTGCAACACCGCGTTCCGTACATCCGCCGATTTATGAATAACATGGAAGTTCTTGCCACCAGTCTCACCCACGATCCTTGGGTATCCCTTGTATTTGTCCAAGTTGGCAGCGATATCTTTCCACAGCTTCTTGAACACGAATGTGCTACCCGTGAAGTGGAGCGCAGAGAAAGCGGGATGGTCAATTGCTTGTGCGACTACTTCTGGGGGAGGTCCAGGGACGAATTGGATAACACCGGGGGGAACACCTGCTTCAGCAAGGATTTGGTACACGAGGTAGTTAGAGTAGGTAGCAGCTGGCGATGGTTTCCACGCCACGACATTGCCTACGAGGGCAGGTGCTGCAAGATGGCTAAATTAGATCGAAGCTAAATGCCGATTACAAGAGACGCGCGGACGTACTTCCAGGGAGGTTACCACCGATAGCGGTGAAATTGAATGGCGAAACGGCAAGGACAAAGCCTTCAAGCGCGCGGTACTCGACGCGGCTAAGGTCGTGCGTTAGCCGTCAATTTGGTTAAGGGTCGTGGTGCGGGTCGTGGTGCGGTACTTACTTCCATGTGCCCGCAGCATTTTTGGGCGGCTGTTGAATATACAGCTCTTCCACGTATTTCACACCAAATCGGAAGAAATCGGTAAGCTGCAAACCAGTATCAGTATAAGTGGCTCATATGGATTTACTTTTATGATTCCTTACCTCTGCCGCAGCATCAATCTCGGCCTGCCATGCATTTTTGCCTTGGCCCAACATCGTAGCTGCCATCAACTGATAGCGATACTTCCCACTAACGAGTTCCGCAGCTCTCAAGAAGATAGCAGCCCTATCGTTCCAAGGCATGCCCTCCCACTCAGCCTTTGCCGCAAGAGCACCATCTATCGCACTCGCCACAGTGGCCTGATCAGCTTCGTGATACGAGCAAAGATGTCTAGCGTGGTCTGATGGTATGATCTGTTTTGCCAATTTCCCAGTTTTGACCTGTAATGCGATTGGGCAAATGGGGTATGGATTACATCGATTGTTTCACTGCTTTTGATCGCACTTGCTTACTGGTTTACCATTCACGATACAAGGGACTTCGAAGGGGAGCTCCTGCTCCATCTTGACGATTGCTGCTTCTAGAGCTTTACGCTCTGATGAGCCAACCGCATAGCCTCTCTAGATCACGATCTTTGCGTGAGTCCTTCCATAATCTTACGAGACAAGGGACTAAGATAGCGCACCATGGGCTCATTGTCGACAATGGGGACCTTGAAAGACGCAAGCTGTGGGTTTGCCATAATGTGTGAGAGATACAGGTGAAAGATACGGGGTTAAAATGCAGTTATATGGTGTCTAGCAAGTAAGAAGCAAGCGTGAAGAAGGTCAGACCGCTTCATGTGTGGATACACTTTCGGATCTCAGATAGGACGACTGGCTACCTTTCCGGATCATCAACAAATCAAAAGGGTGCGATAATGTACCGCCATATCAGATTAGATAATGCCATCGGCGGATGCCGTTCACAGTAGCATGGTTCACTGGACTTCAACTAACTCCAAAGATGCCGCTGACCCACAAAATCCGCCATAATAATTGTCATAATTACAACCGGAACACCTGGTATGTCTCGTTAACACAAAAAGCCAGTACAAATACAGGAGCAAAATTGTATATAGAGTAGGTAAGTGTATTTATTATATACAAATGATCAATCAAATCACCCATTACCGCTACTACTACTAGTACATTATATTAGCACGAGGGCGAGTCCCATAAAAGAAAGTTCCAAAGATCGTAGTAAAGCTAAAAAGAACGTAACACGTCCGACTTGGATCATATCGTAGCAGGAAGCTCGTCGATCTGCTTCTTCAAAGCGTCCAAGAATCTATATGAGCAGATGATGCTGGCAGCACATCTCGGGCATCCACAAGTTTCGACGACCTGCGCCAAGAATGCCATCCCAAATATCACATCCGTAGTCGGCCGCTCAGCCAGTTCCTGCTTCGCCAACCTCTCAAACTCTTTCCACCACTTTGGGGGACAAAAATTCCCGTACGTGGACCCGTTGCACTGCATGCACTTGACGTCTTCTGGGAGCTTTAGAAGCCGCTGCGCAGCGGCAGCGCGTCTTCTGTGAAGATCCAAGAGGCGATGATAGGAGTATGCTGTGATGTATTTGAGATCATCGGATAATGGACAGTCAAGAACGTTGACAGAAAGCGTGTACTGTGATGCGATTTTTGCCTCATACTCCAAGTCATATCGACTGGCAATTGCAAAGACACGCGTTGGGGAGTCATGGAGGAAATTTGGTGATATCAAGACCTTCCTAAGACTAGATATGACGCCCACAAAGTCATATTTGACTGCGGCACCTATGACGAACCCTAGGTCATCCAAGGACGTGATAACGGGGTCTGGTACAGGATACACGTAGTGCAAAAGGGTGTCCAAGGTAGATGTATGTTCCGACATGGGAATGACAGGAAGCTGCCTGTCCTCTGGCAAGTCTGCGTAGGTGGAGATGGGTTGCGGCAAGGTGAACATGTGCTTGAAGAATGGCGAAGCTGCTGCGAGTATGCATTTGTGGACACGGAATTCGTCTTCTTCGCTGGAGAGAAGTAAGATATCAGCGTCTGGAGCGTTGAATTCGCAGTCCGTAGGTGTCGTGGTCATGGTGGTCATGGTGGTTATGGTGTGAAGATAAGTTTAGAATGAACGTGTGGGCCTCCACAGGCTTTATACGATGGGCCTAAAGCAGGGAGGTTGCGCCACATGCCTACAGCGCCGTATCCGGAGAAAGGCAGAAGACACTTGCCATTCGGAAGAAGACTGGCGGTCCAAGCATGCAATCTCAATAAGATATCTAAGCATACGTCAACAGGGGCAGGCACATTTTTGAACATTCTCCCATACACGTACAAATAAACAACGGAGTCTACCGGTAACGCTCCCCATAACGTCGGTCTCTGCTCCGGCGCCGCTCCCTTTCGCTTGGTGCTGGCACCGGTGATCGTGACCGTCGACGCCGCCGGTCACGCGGGGATTGGTCTCTTTCACGTTCGTGTCCTCTGCTTCTGCTCCGCTTGCCCCGCCGTCCGGACTCCCTACCCCCCGGGACTTCGAATACCATTCCATAGCCATCCCGATCGTGCTCTCCACCTGCTCTGTACCGCCGGGTCTCCTCCAGATCTTCTCTTCCGGCGAATCCCCCCTTCGCCTGCTTTCGTCGTGGCCCAATCTTGGGATCATTCGACCAAGAGGTATTAAGCCGTGCCACCGATTGCGAGCTAAACCACACATATTTAGAAATAATGTTGCACATTTCAGCGCCCGTCACAAAGTTCACTCACAAGTCAACCCATATCCGTCGATCGTCCACTAGAACGTTTTGCATTTTGAAGTAAGCCTGTCAATGGCGTCAGCCCCGCATCGTTCGCATATAGATCAAGTAACCTTGCCTGCTCTGCGTCTTCGCGTTTATCAAATTCTATAAACGCATACTGCAACGAGTCTCCCGTTCTCTTATCTCTTAGAACCTGGCAGCTCATAATGATACCAAACCTAGAAAAGATTAGCTCCAAATCCTCGTCGCGCGTGACGGGGTTCAGCTTGCATACGAAGAGCACGTTTTCCGGTGGTCGGACGTTTGCAAATGGGAGATCTCCCACCATCTCCAACGTCAGAGCCGATGCCGCAGCGGCTTGTTTCCTGCGTTCACGCTCTTCCTCTTCTTCTGGCAGTGTCGCAAGTGGATCCTCATCTTCAGCAATCCTAGTGGAGTTGTCTGGGGGGCGTATCGGGGAGGAGGGAGGCTGGATCAGACCTTCAGGATCGGGAAACGGATCATCTACCCGAACCAACTCAACAAAATATGTAGGTGGGTTAGAATGGAATGCATACCGAGGACGATGACGTGCCGGATGCGCACATCTTTAAACGGTCTTCCGTCTTGGTCGGTAAAAATGTCATTGAGTTTATCCAATGTCTCTAGTCCCTCCACAACGTGCCCAAAAACAGCATGCTTGCCGTCGAGGTAATCAATGTTGTCACCGAGCGTAATAAAAAACTGGCTTCCGCAGCCACCTTTGTCACCATTTAGAGAAGGCGCTATGGCCATTGACAAGGTCCCTTTATGCGTATGCTTCAGTCTAGGGACAACTTCGGGAGTAAAGTATCGAGAAGCAGACTGTCCGTCACGTTGAGATGCAATGTACGACCACACGGATTCTCCACCTGTTCCGCTCGCACTAGGATCACCGGTTTGAGCTAGGAAATCTTTGGAGACTGGGAAAAACAATCAAGTCACTATGGCGCTTCTGCCAATCTGGAGTACTCACCGTTGAAAAAGGCATTGAGGTTGTAATAATAGACTTTACAAAGCTTGAGGAAGTTCTCGCATGTTTTGGGGCACAGATCTACCTCTAGGTCCATCACGATATCTCCGAGGGACGTTTCGAATAGAACAGACATGCCAGGGTAGATGATGCGGTTTGGCGTTCTCCTCCACTAAGTATTGTTTGGGCGTTTGATACTAGGCCTTCTTCAAATTCAGCACTGGCCAATGTGATGCCGGAAGCAAACTTCGACTAGAGAAATATGAGGAACCGCAGCATAAAACAGAGAACGTGGAAAGTCGATGAATACCGCAGAGAAGTCTATGCGATGACAAAAACCAAGAAACCAAGCCGCAAGAGTCGCGAGTCGCAGTTGGAAATGAAGAGAGACAGTGCCTGCGGCACTGCAAAAAGCTGCAAAAACAAATGACCACCGCAGGGGTCGAACCTGCAATCTCCTGATCGCCGACTTAATCGTAGTCAGACGCGATGCCATTTCGCCAGGCGGCCATTATGTTTGGATCCTTACGGCATCCTAACACACGCGGCACTGACTCTTGGGCAATGGGGCGCCAGAGACTCGGAACCACTTGCATCATCCCTACCTCCAAATCATACCCCATGTTCTTTTTCTTCGCCTTGTACTTTCCGCATTCTCTGTCAGAACTGGTCTCACATCGATCTTGAATGACATACAACAATGTGGACCAATAACCAATCATTTTGGGACGCTGCGGGTCGCAGCAATCATAGGTGCGGGATAACTTCCGAATAGTTTGCTGGCTGTTAACGGAGGAACTTGGGCCCGGGACTAATTTCATATTCTCCACGAGAACTAGCCTGCTTTGCACAAGCCATCACACTAAGTATCTGAACGCCTTTGAAAATTTGAACTTTGGAGCTACACTGTCAATGGCCCGCCGCGGCGCCGCCACATCCATCTGTCAACCCCACTTCACATCTGCCAACCGGCACCTGGCCGAAAACGATAACAGAGACCTTTATAGGTTTCAGTTATAACATCTGCCCAAGTTATTTATTTACCCTTTTTTCTCAACGACTAGGTCAAGTCATTGCCCTTTTCACAGGAAAGCATACCGCTTCGTACCCCTCATTACGCCCTACAGTAGGGCCTAAAGAACTCATAACCGGAAGGTTCTGACAGCGACTCTTTCCTTATAATGTCTACAGGGCCATGACGTCCTCACAGAAAGCGAACATAACGGCCGCCTGGCGAAATGGCATCGCGTCTGACTACGATTAAGTCGGCGATCAGGAGATTGCAGGTTCGACCCCTGCGGTGGTCATATGTTTTTGCTATGTTTTTTATCATTCTATTTTGGCTCTTATCACAGTTTGCGATGTGTATCATGGCTATCTTTTGCATTTCAATTTTGACTTATCGTATGGCAAGACGGCAAGACGCAATTGCATTTTATACAGATGCCATCTAATATTATCATACAGAGACACTAGGTTCTATCTCTCCCAACAACATCGTTCCATCCTTGCTACCAGTGAGAACTATGGTTTATTCGTTAGTATTAACCATGAATGAGAATCGACTATGAACATACTGATAGGTTCCTTGGGATGGAAGTCAACAGAAGTTACAGTACCCTTATGACCAGGCAACTATCGGCAAACCGTGAACAAACCAATATCATAGAGGAAGGAAGGAAAACACATACCTTGTACAGGATCCTCCCACTCTCAACGTCCCATATACACACCATCCGGTCTGCACCACCAACGGCAACACGTCTGCCTTCATCATCTTTACTCCATGCTCCCTTCAACAGCGTGTTTTCGAAACCTGCCGGAGCGCCTTGAAGAACGCGGTGTATCCTCGCAGGGGAAGGCGAGAATGGACGAACGTCGTAGATGAATGTTTGAGAGGAGAAGGATGGGGCGAGCAGGTAGGAACCGTTGGGGGAGAGCGAAAGGGAGGTGGGCGTGTCTGTATGTCCAGAGAGCGTATACACCTGCTCGTTCTTGCGCATATCATACACCTATAATAAAAAAGAACACCAACAAGCTATCAGACAACCATTCCAAACAAAAAGCAAGAGCACAATTATCCAGTCATCCGGATAAAAACTCCACGCACATGAATCTCGTTATCAAGAGCACCGATATACACACTCTGTCCGTCTGCGCTCCAGCAAACAGACGTGACAGGACATCCTACTTCGAATACGGCAACTGACTGCCTGCTGCCCTCGTCCCCACCCTCCCATACTCTCACCGTACCATCATCCGAAGCGGTGGCTAGAAGCTCGATGCCTGCGCCCCCTGCCATCGTCCGGTCAAGCGCATTGATGATCCCGCGGTGAGCGCGTATTTTCCGTGCCCGCTTGCCAGTGGTGACATCCGTCATGAAGAGGAAGTGGTCGGCGGAGACGGTGTAGAGGAGGGGAGAGAATAGCGACCACTGGAGGTCGAGGATGGGTGCTTTATGGTGGTTGGAGAGGAGGCCGTAGTTAGTATTTGGGGGGTAGGTTCTCCATAATGCTTAATTCGAGTTGGTAATGAGGAAGTGAGGTAGAGGGGAGAGAAGAAGGGGAACGTACAAACGCTCCTGTCCGTTGAGCATGCAGCGATGTTTTGTCCTGTTGGGTCGAATCTACAGCTCAATATCTCGGCCTATATATTCGAAATTTAAGTATTATGAACAGAAAGAAAAGGTAGGAAGATACGTACTGAATGAGCCCCGCTTAAGCTAATAATCGGAGCCTCGAGACTACTCGTCCGTTTGATGGTTCGTATAAGACCTTTTTGGCGATCGTCGTTGCCAGAGGAAATGACCATTTGGCTTGTGACTGGTGAGCCCGACCGTGCCCTTTTGATGAGTGCACCCTCTGGAGGTGGTGAAGCACCTCTTTTCGACATTTTTGAGTAGCCCGAGGTCTGCAGGTAGGGTTTTAGCTTGGAAGAGGAAATCAAAGTGACGGCGAGGAAACACTCAAAGGCGGGCACGTGATCGATCTTTTCTTGACGACCTTCCTGTAGTAACACGTTCTTAGTGTTTGCAAGTAATACGACGCTTAGCAATATCCAGTATAATGTCCGTAGCATCACGAGCAATTACAAGTAACTATTAACAAACTTGTATGATACATCACCATCACTTTTAGCAAGTCTCGTAAGGTCATAAAAATCAGCACCTCTCCCTCCAGTTCTCAGCCCTACCCAGAACTCACCAGCTCACTCACTCCAGTACTCTTCCCACTAGCACCCTTATTCTCCTGCGCCTCCGCCTCGCTCCTCACCCCCGCCGCCCACCTTACAGCATCCCTCCTGCCCTTCGTCACGTCCACTCCAAACCAGATCACGATCGACGCCGCCGTGCAGAGCGCGAAGAGGAAGGGAAAGCCTTTCCAATTGTCGCCTGTGTTGTTGATGATGGCTTGGATGACGTTGGGTCCGACCATGGAGGATGCGCGGTTGGAGAGGCCGAAGAGGCCGAAGAACTGTGGGCGTGGGTGAGTGCAGGTGGGTGTGAGGGAGCGCGAGTGGGCGAGAATGGGCGTGAGTAGGTGTGAATGGGCACGAGTGGGTGCGGGTAGGCGTGAGTTGGCGTAAGTGAGCATGAGTTGGCATAAATGGGAATGTGTATAAGCAACAGTGGGCGCGAGTACGCATAAATGGGAATATCATGTGTGGGTGCAAGTAGGCGTAGGTGAGCGTGAGTGGGCGAGCGTTGACAAAGTGTGTGTGCGTACCATGTTATCAAACCCAGGTGGACTGAGCTCTGCCATCATGGTCTGTGAGAACGCATAATATGGCGCTTGGAAGATGCCAAAGACGACGTTGTAGGCCCAGAACTCCCATACGTTGTGGAAACTACAGGTTTGCTCGTGAGTGGACAGTCGCGAGGTGGTAAAGGATGTAAGAGGAATGAACATACCCGAACTTGGTCGTCCAGATCCCGATCATTCCCCAGAGCGGTATGAGGATCGTTACAACGTTAGTGACGACAAACTATCATAGCACAAGCACAGGAGTGTGAGTCTAGGGATAACAACAACTCGAGAAGGGCGGAGATGATAGGCGTGACGAACCATCTTCTTAGTACTGATCTTCCACCATTTCTGGATATACCAAAACCCAAGCGTGCTCATGGTGGATGTGACGGCTTGGGCGAGGCCGAGGTATGTGTTCTGCAGGAATGAGAACTGGAATTTGTCGTTTTGACAGATTGAGATCAGAGTTCCAGTGGTGTTTAGTCCCTGTATATCGAGATTAATGAAGGAAGCGGTGAGGAGGAAGGTTGAGGGAAACGTACATCAGCGAGGAGGAAGAATGAAAAGAGGTAGATGAAAGTGTATGGAAGCTGTTTGTAAGTCTTCAGGGCTGCCCATATCTTCACGGTACGGGATAAGTCCACATATGAGAACTTGCACGTCGTCTGAACATACCTGTTTCCAGCCTATTGTGATATAGTGTTCTCCCTTTGGTAGAGGGGGGCCAGGCCGGGGCTGTTGGAATATAACTGCATGATATTGTTCTTAGAAATGAGCGCTGCAAGAGTAAAATAGAACGAGGATGGTACGTACACCACCATATACCCAGTACCACCCAGTACGCGTTGGTACTGCACGTCACGTTCGTGAAAGAGTAAAAAATAAGATAAGACGCGAAAAAGAATGAGCGTGAGGGACATACAGGACCAGTGTGTAGTTATCCACAAGCGGGTTGTTAGCGAGAGGGAGGAGGAGTGAGAGATTGAGCGCGAGGGTGAAGATGTAACCGATGTTACTGTGCATCTACACAAAACAAGGAATATGGATGAGTTCAAGTAGATGCGGTTCCAGGTACTCTCAAGTCGGGATGGGAGAGAAAGAGAAAAGGCAACTCACGGTACTGATGTTACTGATCCTGTTTTTCTCGAGACTCTCTTCGACCTCATATACCTCTGGTGATATCTCTCCATTCTCGTATTCATCTCTGAGCTTGCGAGCGTGGGGAGTGTTTCTGGCGAGACGGGGAAATAAGGCTGCGTAGAATACGAGGGTTGCACCGTAGGTGATGAATCCAATCATAAACAGCGCCATCGCCGCTGGCCACCGTTCAGGAGCTATCAACCATTCAGCAATATAAGTTACAGCCAAAACCCTGACACCAAGACAAAACCAATCCTACTTACTCGTAAGACTCATACTAGCAAATTGACTCGCCCAACAGATAACAGTGACGACAAACAGGAGCCACCGCCCGAACGTGCCGTAGTCTGCTGCAGAGCCGATGGTGGTGAAGATGGCGGTCATGGCGGCGAAGCTGACCCCATTTGCGACGAGGACGACGCTCGAGACTGCCTTGGTGCCGCTTCCCCATGGGAGGACGCACTGGCCAGAAGAAGTAGCAGCAGTGCAGGATGAGCCGGGTCCTGCGATAGGGTCGTACCCTGCAGAAGTCGCGAGAGATTGGAAGAGGGTCATGAGGTAGTTGAGAGGACCGACGCCCTGTACGAGGAAGGAATATGAACCCATATATATACACTGGATTAGAGTTGGAACATACGTTATCGCCATTGTAATACACTTGAACGCCGCGTGTCAATGAGCAATTGATAGTGTAAGGTGGAAAGCAAGCAAAAGAAACGTACGGTAGTAGCTCCAAAGTTCCCTCCTTGTTACGATAGGTTCATCCTTGTTAATGGATGAGATGAACACATGTTTCTTGCGTCCTTGAGGGAGAGCTACATCAGCCTGAGAGGCGTCGCTGCCCAGCTTATCGTCCACATAGTCCACATCAGCCAAATCTGCATGTGGGACAGGGTTTTCTGGAGCAGGGATTTTTGACATGACTTGACAGAGTGTACGCGTCGGGGGTTAGTGTGCAATCCGTCGTCGTCTTTGCTGAAAAGCCTTGCGTCAATACCGCAACGAAATAGACCTGAACCTTGCAAGGGACGGTTACGGACCGTGATCGAGTTGCCCGACAGATATAAGTACCAAAAGTGGAGTGCTTTTATGGTGCCTGCGTCTTATCAGAAGGTCACAAGGCACGAATTTTTATCTGGGAGCGGCAAGATATGGCCTACAAAATTTCAAAACTAGCATAAGTAAGTGTCGTAACAAAGGCTGTTATCTGAACGCATGGTGGAACGTATAAGGATGCAAGGATACTCACTACAGTTGCACTACAGCGCATAAAGCGGACGGACAAGCATGAGTTCGGTTTAGAGCTCTATCAGTCCGGGGAACCAATTTGCAAAACATTCGATCAGCAGATTCACTCGTTCGCGTGGTCAGTTTCAGTGGCGGTGCCTACCACTTCGGCATTACCCGGCCAACACTCTTTGCAGTAAACCACCATGTCGCTCCACACTATGCACATCACATGAATCTCAACCATTGAGCATTATACTGGCAACGAGAAACGAAGTGGAAAATTTGCAAATGCGAAGGATATATCGGTAAGTCTGACTTCTACGATCTATGTTTTCTTTTGTCCGACGTAAAGATGAGAATAAGCACTCACTTGACAGCGCATGGCGCTGTTTTCGCTGCGTTTATGCCGTGTATCCTTAGTGGTTCAGGCAAGTAACCGCTGAAACGCGTCCATAGAATAGCTGGGTGACAGTTGTAATTTGCAAGCAGAACGTCTAGAAATTGTCACAACACACCCTTTATCAGCTGCTGACCTTTTCTTTCAACTTTTTGACAGGCGATGAATTGTTTTGTACCTTCGCCGTTCGTCGCATGATCCTTGTGTGATAAAATCGAGCCGCCGTACAACGCACCTGGCCCTTTCATTATCATCCATCCCAATTGAACAATGGTTCGACTGGCCCAGCCTGCCCTTAAGGGCATCTGATAGTCCGATTTACGGCTCAAGCCTCAACGTCCTAACTTTCGCTGTCCCACCGTACATCTCGAACCTATGAGCAAAGCTTGTTTACATTTCGCTCGATCTCATCCTGGTAATCTCTGGAGTATTCACACACGGAAGTAGACCACCATCCGAACTTGTTACCGGTGAATTTCAAAGCTCACCTCTTTCTTTTTGGTACTCTCGAAAGTTGACATTTACTTCTATTTGTGCAAGAATTCATCGTATTAGTGTAATACCACATTTTGAGCGCATATTTTTCCTATTTTCCGGTGATAGCACGTAGTCTGTTTATGATGGCAGTACTGATTCAAGTTGTATTGACATTGATTGCAAAAGCCCCTAGCTATAAGATATCAGAGAAGTGAATAGAAGTGGATATATGCTGTAATTCGGTTATGTACGACTTGAGCTAGATTTGTCCCCAAGTTGCCCTGTCTTTTAGTCATACTCCAGGTTGTGCCAAAACAAGTTCATGTCCGTTCCATTTGCCTTTGTCCCCAGAAAAGTAGCAAGACCAGCCAAGACCCAAGGCCATTCCCTTTCCAGCTCTGCCAAACCCCCCATCCCAGCGCCCACACACAATGTTGAACCCCCATTAAACTCAAGAGACAAGGGCAAAGCAAAAGCGACTGAAGCCCCAAACACCAACCGCTCAGAAGAAGACCACGCCATTCTCGTCCTTCTAGCCCTATCAGACTACACCATCTGGCTCGACTCTGACTTTCGACGCGCACTCGAACAATCCCTAGACAAAGACGCGCAGGATGCTGGATGTACGTCTTTCCTTTTTCTCTCCTTATCACCCAGAGGAAAACGAGACTTATGCGAGTCTTTGCATCGTGACAAGTTATCCCTCTCAGCTACCTCCTCCGCCGTTCTCGATCTCGTCTCCCATCTCGACAGTCAAGAGGTCCCCCGGAGAGCGGGGTGGTAAGAGCTTTGCGATCATATGCTGCCGACTTTTTGGAGGTTAGGATGTTAGTTTCTGCCCCGTCGAGTTCTGTGTGGGATCCACAGGGAAACGCTACTCATCCAAGCCAGAGGGAAGTCGGTGGGTATGAAGTTCGGAGGAAAGATTGGCACAGCATGCTCGAGCATCCCACAAGGAGTTTTGGCAGGGATCAATGGGAGAAAAGGACTGTATATTTGGTACGCATATAGTCAACTTCAAGTTGAGGTTTACAGGACTTATGATGACGCTGGATGGCTGTCATGATGTCGTATAGGAAAATATACCGCTACAATACCGCACCGTCCCGGGAATCGCTAGGTTCACTTCAAGCCTTCTCGGCTCGAGCTCCATCATGCATATCCAAAACATTGTCCTTCCACCTCACCACCTCGATAAACCAGGCGACACGCCAAAGTGTAAAGGATTCGCGCTCGTCACGCTGTCTCATACCGAGGACCGCGACGCGCTTTTAGCAGAGTGGCCCTGGAAGCGTAGCTGGGCGGTGGGCGCGAGGGGCGGCAAGGACAAGGATTCCGCGTACAAAGTGGAGCAAGAGAAAGGGAGAGAGGTAGAGCAGACAGTGGAATTTCGAGAAGCGGTCAAGTTCGGTCTGCGGTGCTTGACGAAGGAGCGCTGGGATAGGTTGAATGAGGAGTATGTCGCGTATGGGCAGAGACTCTTGAATGAGCTGGTGGAAAGCGACGAGGATACTATGGCCATCAGCGATGCCCAGCTCGAACTTGAACCTGGAGGGAACGAGGACCCTCGTGTTGCTCAAGAAACTGACGTTCCTCCCGTACAACCAAGTCATCACGCTCCCAGTCGTCCTATCACGACGATATCTTCACCCTACCCTCTCGATTGTCTCGTCTTCGTCAGGAATGTTCATCCAGACACCAACAAGACTACTCTACGCTCACTTTTGTCCGTACCGTTTCAAGGTGACTCTGCAAAAGGTTCAAAGCAAACCGAGGGCATCGATTACGTCGACTTCAGTAAGGGAATGGACTCTGTAAGCTCCTCTTCCCGGACTTCCATATCAATACTTTCTCTGACCTTTGAATCTCACCCAGTGTTTTCTGAGACTTTCAACACCAGAACATACGCATATCATGACAGAACATTTTTTAATTAATCCGACAACACAATTTCAAGGGTTAGACGATAAAGGCAGAACTCCGGGCCCCACAGACAAGACTATCATAGTCGAAGTCGTACAAGGGAGAAAAGAAGAGCTATACTGGGAGAAAGTACCCGAAAAAGTTAGGCGACAGGCCGTGCAAAAGGCTGTATGCGCTCAGAGTTCCAAGGAGGAGGCTGCGAACGACCAGGTACCACCTTTCGAAACGTCCGATAACTCGAAGAACCGTAAAAAGAGGAAGCGTGATAAGTAGAGTACTTTCGTCGAGTGGGGTGTTAATTCAAAACATGGGGTAAAAGTATTTTATACTAGATAATGCAAGACAGGACAGCAGTAAACACAGATGAACATGAAGGAAGAGGTAACCGAATGTTCAACGAGAAGAGTGAAATGGGCTTGGGACTATATACCGTATCCCTCCGCGCGTAGTTTATCCCTGACGCGTACCAGGGCTTTTCCAAGTTCATTGGCACCGTCGCCCAGAGGTCCCTCACCCCAATATGTGTGGGCGTCTGCATATACAAGATCTGCAATACCTGTATTTAGGAGTAGACTGCGCAGATCTGGATGTTGCTTGAATTTATGATAGAGTACTTCTTCCGTCTGACAAAAGCCACACTCAACATCAGCACAGTAGATCGTCACCAAATGTAATTGATACACAACTTACCACCTTCAGAAATACATTCCCCCAGTCCGAGCGTACATGTTCTTGCATACCAGCAGACAGGGTGTATACTTCGTTGACATCTTTACACTTTCGTATTCGCTCTGCGAGATCTGGGTGTTGGTGCTTGAATTTTAGGGCTTCGAGGAGATGCAGTGCGGTGGGGTATATTTTTTGCTCGTACATGACTCTGTGCGTTGAGTGGTTGAGGAATCCCCTGAGCTCGTTACGATGGTCAAATTTTATCGCGGTTAGCTGTTGTGTTGCGGAGGTCCCCGCGGAGGGTGATAAGATGGAGGGTCCTGGGGTGGGAGCACGACCAGGTCGCACTCTTGGTGTATGCATCGTAGGGCCGATGCCGGTGTTATGAGGTGTAGCTTCAGACGCAGGAACGACAAAAGCTGGCACCGTATTTGATCGCTGATGTCCAGGTCTATTGAGCAGTTCGTTAAACGAATTGGGCAGAGTATCAATCTTGGACGACGACGAGGTGCTAAACGATCGGAACAGGCCCTTTCGCGTCTTCTTATTCTTGTTCAAGAAAGACCCAAAGAGGCCACCTTTGCGTGAGGTGGAGGCGGGTGGCGGCGGTGGGTCGATGGGAGTGACGCCAATGCCCCCAGCTGGATCCCTAGAGTTTGGGAATAGCGTTCGATCGGAAGGGAGGTTGTGTAGTAGATTACGATACGGGCTACTCTCCCAGAGGTCAGCTGGCGGTGCGGGAAGAGGATTGCGCGTGGGCTCAGGGTTGTGCATCGGTTCTCTTTGGGGTGGGCCCGCAGGAGCATAAAAGTTGGTGAAGCTGGGCCGACGATGGTTTTCTGGACGATGTCCGTTGGGTTCTTGAGATGGGAAGGTGGGATTGGGAGGTGGGATGACGGGATCAGATTGAGGATCGGGATAGGAGGGTATCACCCCGGGATTGTCTCCATACGGCTCTGGCATGCGCGCGCCTCCTGATGGAGGAGGTGCTGGCATATCGCCCATGGACTGGGGCATCGGCGTCGATTGAACAGGCCTGGAATTGTTCCCATACGGCTCTGGCATGCGCAGACCCCCAGATGGAGGAGGCTGGCTTGTATTTGGAGTGGGCATACGGGCGACTGGTGGGGGCATTGAACTGGACTGAGGAGGTGCAGGTTGAGCTGGCATTTGGGAGGACGGCTGGGGCATGGTCGCTGCAGGTGGAGCGTGTGTTCTCTGTGGTTGCGAAGCTGGGCGTGGGTATACAGGCTGCTGCATCGTCGCTGGTGCTATAGGGTAAAAAGCAGGAGGGTATGGGTTATATTGCGGCAGGGTGTATACCGGCTGCATGTGTGGGTCTAGGTTGTGGCTTTTCAGAGTAAGCAAATAAAAATCGCGGTATGACACGCACAATATTGGGGTCCGTACGCGATGTATGGTGCAGGTGCAGGTGCGGCGGCTATGGGGTAGCCTGGCGGGAGATAATAGTTTTCATAGCGCTCTTTTCCCTTCCTGCTCTTCCCGCCAATTGTCCATTTGCTCTGGGGTATGTCGTAGTACGCTTGAGCAGTTCCTGGAGCGGGAAGAGGATAGGCGGAATGTTTAGATGAACTTGAACCCATGTGTGTTTTATTAAAGGTGATATATCGATATCGGCGAAACGTAGGTGTGGCAGGTGGACCCTAGATGACCAGAAGGTATAGGAAGGAGAACGTTAATGCAGTGTCGAGAACGTGAACGTGCAATCGCGAAGCAAAATGCTATGCGAATTCGTGAATCGTTATAGATTTGTATGATTATCTTTGGACATGAGGAGAACACGAGGTCGTTTCAGATGCAGGAATACTTCGGATGGTATCACTGGCAGTGTGTTAAGAAAAGAACCTGAGAGACCTTTGGACGAGTTTTCAGAAAACCAACACTCAGACTCTGATTAGCCGAGATCACGTTAGGACTGCAGACATGTCAGGTTTCTGCTTGCAACATAGCCTTATTCAACTTGTAAATACATGAACAACGAGAATATGTCCAATTGCGAAAACATTTCATTGGCAACACTGGCACATATACAATATCATGATTTCTACAGTGTGGGATTAACTACCTTATAACGGTAATAGCAATGGTGGTTAAGAGGACGAACTCCCACCAGCCACCAGGTCATCTGTATCAGCTCTGGAAAGTTCCATTGCACAAGATATCAAGCTCGCAATTGTCAAACATATTATTCAGTCATATCTGGACCCTTTTCGCCTTACCGGACTTCGTGAGCGTGAATACGATGGAGATCGCCTCGTCCCTCGACCACCTCGATCTCTGTCTCCCCATCCTCCTCCGCGATGAGGAGGTGAATCGCGCCTTGGAGGAGGGGGACGCCTCTCGCCGTCTCTCGGCCTATCTAAATCACGGTCTCTCCCTGAAAAATCTCCGCCTCGTCCTCCACGTCCACGAGGTCCCGAAGGTCCTGGATTCGACTCTCCTCTCCAGTGTCCGCCTCCCCTTCCAGCCGGTGCGCTAGGTGGCGGCGCAGTACCACTCCATCCTCCATCTCCAACTCTCGCCGTACCACCTGACCTCCAACCGTTAGCTGGAGGAGCCGCTCCCACACTCGATCCTTTGATCGCTACTTCTCCAGACGCGGCTGCCGCCGTAACACTTTTTGGGAGGATGATGGAGATGCAAAGGTAGTCCCCAGGCACGAATCTCAGTTCTTCGAGAGTACGTGCCTCTCTTTCTCGCTCGCTCGGTTCCCTGGCCTCTCCATCCGTATCTTCGAGTAATCGGGGTGCAGGAGAATCGATAGTTCCCGGTTCACCTAGGATATCACGAGAGTAGACTATGCCAAGTTCTTTTTGGGCAAAACGACCTCTGTTTGCAGAGTCTGCATAGATAGCACGGAAAGAGTATCGTGCGAGAGGGTGACGGAACTCAGGCGTTGGAGGAGCAGTATTGCGGAGAGTAGTTAACACCTCGCGCAGAGTAGCATCCTTCCTGTAAAGTCCAACGTATAATCAGAACGTATGAAAGAATAAATCAAAATTCGTTATATACCAAGTGAAAATTTGCTGTTCGTCAGTTGTAGGCAAGCTTCCTTCCTCAAACAACGCAAGTCGATGGAATCCTCCAGTTTTGACAAACGCCCGTATCAAAAAGGGAGCTGTCTATAAATCTAAGCCTGTTAAACATTATAAAGTGAATAGCTGAACGTCCTTGCCTTTTCCCTGGATACTATGGGCTGTCCTGCTGGTGTTGTTGCTGTCTCCATGTCGAGGGCAAGAGCGATGAACGCTCACCCACGAACAGAAATTCGTTCATTCTTTTGCTATTATGTCAGCTTTCCTTTTCGGGATAAGATATTAATACATAGGCCTCTTTCTGTAGAAATTAAGGCCTGAGAGTCGCGCTCTTTGCTATCTATCATCACTATCTGCCATGAAAGATAGGCGTGCAAGTCCCAGCCCCCACTCTTCAGAGAGCGTTGACAATTTTTCTGCACGTAAAAGGTTGACAGCACGTCGACTTGGCCTATTTTTCGTGCTTGTCCTTGTCATTGCGACGTTTTCAGTCGTTCACATTCATCCTACATCCTTATCTGCAGACTGGGACACAGGGCGTCTATCTAGTGAAGAGGACACTGTGTATGATAGCGATGTCAAGGCTTGTATAGCTAGTGGACCTCCCCCTGCTCTCGCCCCAGCACCAATCAACCCATGGGCCTCATTAACGTTGGAAGAAACGGTAGAAATCCAGAGGTGGCTCGAGGACCCAGAACGAAACCTGAATCTAACTCGTGGAGATATAGCCCGGTTATCCGATAATTCCATATACATGATAGAAGTGTTCTATCCTCCAAAGGCAGAAGTACTTGCCTACTTGACATCTCCATCTACAGCTGCGATTCCGAGTAGAAACGCTCGCGTTACCATTAAGCACGGTAGCCTTGCTGAACCAGTGGTCGTTGATTACCTGGTTGGCCCACTTCCAGTGGGATCCAGCACGGAAATGACGAAACTTGTGGACATTTACCACCGTGATACTATTCCTTTTAATTCACGCGGGCCTGACGCGGGTTATGATTGGAATGTCCCGCAGTTCTTCACCAAGATGGTAGCCCCTATGGTAGGAGTGATGCAGGTCAGCTGCTAAATCCTATCGGCTATAGTGAGAATGAAGTTCTTGACCAAGTAAATTATAGGAGCTCCTTGGTGGAACTGGCGCTGGATTACCGAACGACACACTCGTAACAGCAGGCAGTGGTCCGTTCAGTTTTGACGGCTCCTTTAGACGATTATGGATTGGGTGGCGACGCAACACTGCAGGCCGTTATCTACACCCCCTCAATCTCTTTCAATATATAGATATCAGCGGGACTGATCCTTCCCAATGGAAATTATTGAAAGTATGTACGACTTACTTGGACATATAATATTGATCCAAATACATTCCATATCGCAAGGTCGTCTACAACCACCAGATATTTGAAACCGTCGAATCATTCCTAGAGTCATTTTACAATGGCACACTCAAGCGTATCCCGCCTATCAAGGACGAAGACGTAGACCTGTCCTTCAGTACTAGAAAAAGAGTGGGTCCTCAACGGGACCTTGATGACCTCCCAGGACCTCGATCTTTGTCTTTCGCAGGGTTGAGGTACAGAGTCAACAGAGAATTACAGTTCGTCAGCTGGATGGGCTGGGGCTTGTACCTCGGATTCGATAGAGACATGGGGCTCAGCTTGTGGGATATAAGATTCCTCGGCGAACGAATCATTTATCAGGTAGGTAGATCAATAGGCAATCGGGCACCAATACATCTTGATTTTTGCAATATAGCTTGCGCCCCAAGAAGCACTGGCACAATACGGTAAGAAATATGTTTGATTACACCAACCGTCAGGGACCTAACAAAATGGTTCAGCTGGTAATGACCCATTCCAGTCAACAACAGCTTGGTTAGATCGATACTTCGGAATGGGGAAATCTGTTCGTGATTTGCTTCCAGGATATGATTGTCCCGATGAAGCTACCTTCCTCCCTGCCTCGACGTTTACGGCAACAGGTACCTTCACCAGAGAAAAAGGAATATGCATATTTGAGCATGATACCGGACGTCCACTTACCAGGCACTTGGGCTACGACGAAGCAGAGTTTGGAGCCGTCAAAGGTTATGAACTCGTGATCAGATCTATCAGTACCGTCGGAAAGTAAGTTATCTCAACATGATGACGTTGTGTGCAACTACTGAGTTTTTTCATTTGAAGCTACGATTATCGTAAGTGGTCGTTATCCTGACAGTGAATTGTGGAATCTTACAGGGTTTTGACATTGTAACACCCTCACAGTGGTAAGTTGCGTCGTCATTGTATATATGCTGTGGCTAATCCGTGATATCAAGTTTGATTATATATTCCATTTAGATGGTACGATTGAAGTTCGCCTATCGGCCTCAGGATATCTTCAGGCAGCCTTCCACGACCCGACACAAGGAGGCTATGGAAACAGAATATGGGAAACAACAAGTCAGAAATTTTTCATCTCATAAATAGGCACTTCTGACCTTCAGCTTGTTAGTGGGAAGTTTACATGATCATGTCATAAACTACAAGGTATGCATCTGTAGTTTACTGAAGAAAAATTTACCTACGCAAACATGCCACATCTAGGTGGACCTCGACATCGCCGGATTATCCAATTCACTACTGAAAACGGAATTGAGCCAAGAAGAGATTACACAGCCCTGGTTCAACGAAGACTGGGGTAACACAGTCATCCAGCAAAGAGTAACACGAGAATATATCAGCAACGAGAGCGATGCTATGCTCAATTTCCCAGTAAATTTCCAAGGCGGTTACGCGATTGTAAATCAAGAAGAGACGAACAAGTGGGGAACTCCTCGTGGATACGCCATACATCCGGGTTACTCTCCGATTCACAATGTAATCGCGTGCATTGAATCCTCGAAATGAATGTTCAACTGAGAGTTTGTTCGTAGACTGTTGTAGGATCGAAAAGGCTTCTAAATAACGCGAACTGGGCGCGTTATAACCTCGCGGTATCGCGTCAAAAGGATTCCGAGCCGTCTTCCAGTAGCATTTGGAACTTCAATCTTCCAAAGGAGCCGGCGGTAGATTTCCACAGGTTCTTCGACGGTGAAAATATCACCCAAGAGGATCTGGTGGCCTGGGTTAATGTCGGAATGCATCATCTTGTAAGTTAATCGGCTCTATGGTCATGAGAGTTGTTGCTCAAGGGCTGCTGTACAGCCACAATCGGAAGATGCACCAAACACCCGGACAAACACAGCCACCTCCAGGTTCGGTTCCGCTAAAAAATTAGAGTCCTGACCTTGGCTTATCCTCTGCTTTTTTGTTTTGTAGCTTTTTCTTGACACCTCTAAACTATTTCGACTACGATGTCTCGATTGACTCCACCAACGCTATACTACTGAAAAATCCTGCACGACCAGGTGATCCATTTACTTATGATAACTATGGTGTCGAGCCAGCGTACTGTGTACCGCCGGCACCAGCACCTTTCGAGTACTCACCGGTTCAAATATTTGACTTGGATGGCAAACTTTCACCGCCTGCGACGATAGAGGAAATGCGAAAGGAGGCAGAGGGATATCATCGTATCAAGCTGGAGTTGTAAACTGACACACCAAAGTTGGTAGATACTTGCTCGAATTGCTTTGTACGCTATGCATGTCACATTATATGTACTGTTACACAAGGAGTTGAAAATCATGGAGTCTAGCTGACACACGGTGTATGCTTAGTCAATGTGAGACGTAGTGGCCTTGTCCTTCTCAGTCTCGTTGATAGGCTCTTCATTCTGTATTTCATGCTCAATCCGCCTTGTTTGTTCTGTGCGATTGTCTTTCTCGTACACTGTACAAAGCACAATTAGGATAATCATGATTACGAGGAGAAGAATAACATACTGAAAGTTAACTCTTCTAGAGTTCTCTTGGAAGTCTCGGGGAAGAGGAAGTATACAAAGAGAACTTCGAACACAAGCCATACGCAGTAGCTTGAGCAATGACCCATCAACCTATGAAGTCGAGGACTCGATGGGGTGACTCACCTGATATAGTATTTCCACCCTATTTTAGGTGAATGATGTGTGAGCCCGAGCACACGGAGTGTAATGGGTAGGGACGTACCTGCATTGTCAATACCAATGGGATTGACGAACTGATTGAAGAATCCAGCAACCCGACCCCACCATTGGAAGATAGTAATCCCCCGAGCACGTACATGGAAGGGAAATAATTCAACCAGGAATGCTGAATTGGAACTGATCAACAACCAAATATCGTATGTCCCTATGGTAGCTACTTACTGTATGTCAAAGCATTATAGCCGATGTTGTATGCGGGACTATACAAGAAAATGAACCTATGAAGTGATCTTAGTCAGGGGGCATTTAAAATACAGTACGTTAGCGTACGCAAGTACTGCCCGCGAGGAGGCCTGGCTTCCCGTACGCGTATATTCTGCACTGGCAATCGTCCAAGAGGTGAAAACAAGTAAAAGAGAAATAGTGCATGCCTTGAAGATTGCTTCAGGAATGCAATAAGTGACCTGAACAAGAAAAGAGACCTACCATATACATAACCCTACGCGGAAATCTGGAAGCCGTCAATGCGAGGATGATGGCGTTTACAAAGCTCCAGCATGTCAATGACAAGTTTACCAAATTCTTCGTCCTGTTGTCGTGTATGCCGATGTTGTCCAATATAGGCGCTAGATAATATCTGCACAAAACTTCAGGAAATGTAGATTGTTACACTTCAGAGACACGTACGAAGTCAGACCATTTCCGCTCCACTGTGTGAAAAGGCCTAGGAAGGAACCAATCAAAACACGCTTCCGCATTCCTGGAGTAGCAACAGTCTCCCTCCAGCTCATCTTCGAACTATTCAACTCGAGTTCCAAGGTCTTTTCGATTTGAGTGTATTCAGCCTTGACAAACTCGGAGTTGAAGTCCCCTTCCGCGTGGTACTGTGCTAGAATGGCATAGGCTTCTTCCCCTCTGCCTTTGGATATAAGCCAACGTGGAGACTCTGGAAGGAACCATATGAAGGTGACCTGCAGCAAACTTGGAACAATCTGGAGCAAGGAAGGGATGCGCCAGGCCCAGTTATTCGGCATATTGAATGTACCTAGGGTCACACCTGCAGCCACGATCGAGCCTGGTATGTATAATGTAGTATTCGAAACAACCAGAGTTACATCCTTACTTACCTATGAAGTAGCATGAGTTGAATAAGGAGCCTAGAATTGCGCGCTCTTTGGGATGAGATAGTTCTGAATTCAAGTGTGATGTTAGAACTCAATGATGTATCCTCGTGAATGTCAGGCTACCTCCAATCAATGATGGTGCCGCGACTATGGCAAAGACTATCCCTAATCCCAAGAAAAAGCGGGCTACAATGAACATGGCCACTTCCAACGCATTTACTGTGTTAGTGAAATTGTAGGTTTTAAAAGCATAGCTTACAATCTTGAGCAGCTGCTTGTAAGATAGCCCCAATAATCATCAAAATACTGCCGAAGAAGATCGCACGTCGTCGACCGAACCTGTCAGTGACAACCGGAACGAGAGGGACAGCACAAATAGCACCAAGGGAGTACATGGCCGAAATCAAACCCAATAAGGCAGAACGGGGGTGATTGTAGACTGATATTTAATTGAACAGCTTGTATTGCAGGATATCGAAACCAAGAGCTTACAATCTAGCCACGAAGTTACTGCTTGCAAACCATTCAACATAGAGGAGTCAAATCTAGATGAACGTTTATCTTGTTGCCATAGAAGATAGCTTGAGAGCCATACCCACTGGTCATTTCGACACCAAGACAGGTAGGGAACATGACCAAGTATAACATCCTTAGATTAGGTTTACGATACCAAGGAACTTTGTCCTGCTGTGCGAGACGCGAAACTATAGCGTCATAAGATTGAACTGGGGGAACGGAGGGACTGTCATCTCCTGAGACACCCATAGCACTGATAGGGAGGGGTAGACACGGAGAAGAGGAATGTTTGGACCTCTACCTTTAGTGATGTTAAGATATATCTTTGGAATGCTGTTAACCATACTTATCCCACGAAATCTCCGCCTTCTTGGCTCTGGCAAACAGGAGACAGCAGGTATGAGCGCCCACCGAGTGGGAGAATAGATCACTATTACTGGTGGAGACACTTCTGATCAATAGGAAGAGGAAGTCGGGCCTGTTCATGGTTCTTTCAAGATTTCTTTTCTCGTAAGCCATTTACAGCACTCACAGAAAGATCGGGGATCGCAACGGCGTGCCTTTAGTATCCCCTCGTGATTACAAGAGATTGTGGAGTATGCAACTCGGGATATCTGAACAAACATGCTGATATTAGCCTTGCCACCGCCGACTTCTGTTTGTATCAGCAACATGAAAGCCTGACGCCCAAATTGCGGCAGATTCCCGGAAGGACGCGAAACGGTAGTGTCAGTTGTAATTCTTGGCAAGCGCATGACCTTTACGAACCTGATACCAAGACACTCATCATAAAAAATCCAAAATAGTCAGCAGCATCCGTAAAGAAAAAGTTGATTGGAAGATTCATCAGATTGAGGTGAGCACGTGTGGTGTTCAAGATAGCGCCCTTGGTTGGAAAAAAGGTTGTATATCGGGAGAGTGAAGGATACTGAGCTTAAGAACTGTGTACAATTCTAGTCAAATATGAGAAACCGAGAGGAACTTGAAACTGCCGCAAGATAGCCCCCAGCACGACACAAAACCGCGAGAAAATTCTATTGATTGCCTTGAGCACTGCCCTTCGACTTCTTCAATGTCGGACTGGGCTGCTTAACTGTCACCGTACGTGGACGTTTCTTGCGACTGGTATCGACTCGGTGAACTTTCAAGGGATTGGGTAGTTTCGTCCGGACTTCAGTCAGCACGTCTGAAAACTTCTGATATGCGTCCTCCCTAAATACCTTCTTATCCCATATTGGGTGACCGGTCAGAACAGAAGAACTTCGGGTAGTTCAGTAATTACAGTCACTGTGGTAGCTATCCTCATTACCTTTATGGAAGTCAAATTCGGCGGAAACACAGGCAAAACTTCGCTCGAATCGTCACATCCGCGTCTGCTGTTTCTCAATCGTGAGTCCATTTACAAAGCGGCGACAGGGTTGAACAACAACTCCGTTGCACCATCACATGTTAATAATTTATATTCGTTCTATGCCAAGTGTTTATGAGTAGTAAACTGAAGAGTCAACACAAGCGCTTACATTGTACCTCTCCTTACCGTCTGTGCCATTCAATTTCACTTCGACGATCATAGCTACATCAGAGATATCCATCCGTATATCATTGAAAGTCTCATTGTATAATATGGGTGGTTTTTCGGCAATACAATCGCTCCTACGACGAGCAAAAGTCAGGTCAGTAAGGGAGTTGAGCCCTGATGTCTGGCTTCCACGGAAACGCAATTTTGATAAACCTCTGGTTTGGATCGTTCCTAATCACAGTGGTCAGCTTAGCATCTGGTTTGAGTTGCTTTACCGCTTGTCTAATGTCTTCAGCAATAGATTGAATAACCGCGAACGCCTCGTTTTCGGTCTCCTCTTTGGCTTTGATTTGCGTCCATCCCGACTCTCCCAGGCATTTCCTTTGCAGCCAAAATGTCCTCTAGAATTCGATTACCCCAGTTGCAGTGCGGTCCAGCGTGGCGCGTACCGTCCAAACCAAGTATCAACAGGGCATGTGATAAGGCTCGGCGTCATTGCATCTCTGACGATATCACGCGCTTCCTCCAAATTCTGGGCATCACGAATCCTTTGGCAGGTCGACATCGACGAGGAGGTTGACAGTTATTTTCAGAATGGTAGACCTACTGAATTGGCATCCAGGTCGAACTTAAAATTAGTAGTACTAGGCAAAAGGCAAAAAGAAAATCATTTGGATGTGTTTTGACTGTGGCGTAAGTTGGGTGAGTCTTAGCCAGTACTATCAAGTCTAGCGGCTCCACTGGCTCCCTTACGATTAAACTGGAACGTGCACGATATCTATCCATCGTACCCTTGCAGAAAGCTTTCGGCTCTTCCTTGGCTTGAACGAAAAGCAGCAGCAAAATCGTACTATGCACTGAATGCTGTAGGTTATATCGTGATAGTGTAAAGTGGAACACCCACAGAACAATGAAAACATTCTACGCAATAATCGTGATGACATTCTAAATAATCTATATGATAAAGATAGGCGCCAACGAGCTTTTCAAACCTTCGCCTTCAATGGTGCCGATTGTGCTCGCTTCCGACGTCCAAGGACGATTCTCATCGCGATTAATAAGCAGCATCCACTAAGGGACATTATCTAGAAGAAGATCGGATCAGAAAAAAATATGAGGTATACAGCTTCGGAGCCCTTACACCGCAGAACAGAGCAGGTCTCCACCAGATATAGTCATTGGTTAGCAGAGCACCTGCGATTGGTTGACCTGTTGACACATCCCGGCTATTAGGTTGATGTCCTTTGACAGGTAACGAGAAATCGAATTACCAATTAGCCCTCCAAGTCCTGGGATAATATTGTCAGTGAGAGCTATATGGAACGTTTCCGTCGAGTCATGTGCGCACCTGTGATAGCAAAAGCAATGCCCATGCGTGCCCTGTTGCTATCTCAGTAATGTGATAAACGGACAAAGTAATTGAAATATACCCCAGCTCAGAGAAATCATCAGTCAAAACTGTTATTAGTGGAGCCATCAAAGCAATGTCTGGAGAATAATGAATGATAAGCTTGATAAGTTAAGCACCAGTCGGTGGGGAAGTTGACTTACAGACTCCAGCAAACCATCCATAGATGATACCAAGGATGACAACGCTGGCAAGGCTACTGAGCCCTATCATTCCTAATATTGAAACGGCCCCGCCGAACATTGAAACTATAACCATGTTCGGAACGCCAAAATAGTCGGCGAGGAATCCGGAGGAAATCCGACCTACAAGGCTCGATGCATTAAGGATGACCAACTAGACGTTAATTGGTAAATTTCCGATTCAAAGCAGCAGATGTGTTTTAATACGCAACTGAGTAGAACGAGAACGTCTGGTTAAGGCCATGCGTGATGGAATCCAACTGGATATAGAAGAGCGGAAAATAGTAACCCATAGTAAATAAAGGCATCCTGCAAAAGAGTCATGAGCGAAATCTACATAAATGGGGGCCGAAACAGACACTCACCCTAATGTAGCCAAAACGAAAGCCGAATCATGCGAGAACTTCTTAGCAGCTAGGAGATAATTCGTCCTTGTTGCTGGTGGGGGGAGACGAGGGCGCATTGTGAGACAAGAAACTACTAATAAACCGCTGATGAGACCAGCACTAGCCCGCACGCTATTTCCAAACCCAAGAGGCCCATTAAGAGTGTTGTTGAGCATGATAGGATGTAATATGGATCCCAGAGATGAGCCTGACGCGACTAGTGTCATAACGAGTGATCTCCGTCTCTGGAAATAATGCGATACAACAGCTATGCTCGGTATATAGATCATTCCTGCACCAATACCAGCTCCCAAGGATTGACTGAGAAAAATCTTTGCACATGTACGTCAGACTTAAAGATCACAGGAGGTTTTGCTTTGCCTTACTTGGTAATATTGATTAGGCTTAGCCAAAGATAGCATAAAAAGAGAAAACGAGTATAGCAGTGCACCGCCTATCGCTAGTGAGTAACTTAATCATGGATAGTCAGTGATTGTTGAATCGATCAAAGAATCGGCGAGACTCACAAATACCCTCTATCGTACAACCTTCCTACAACCAATCCACTTGCAATAACCAAAAAGGCATTCACACTACCAATCCAACTAAGACAGATGATGCATTTGTCAGTATCAGTTCTGGAACATGAATGCTTTTACACTTACGAGATCGCTGAAGAAGACTCGCTGGCCAAGTACGTTTGAGTGTAAAAGTCTAGACACAGGGGTAGTGTTGAGTACAGTCGTTCCTATATATTATTACTCCCGTAGTACACATGCTTTACCTTGATAAACACCAAATGAACCTGTATATCTGAGACCAGTTGAAGAACATAAGCAGACATAATAGAACTAAAAGGTTGGACCATACCCAAAGCCACAAAACTGTACCCAAAAACTAGAGACGTTATCTGAGCTGAAGTTTCAATTTATAACATCGATTTTGATTGCTTACGCTCCGAAAACTGTTGCCCAGCCCCTGAAACCTCCCTCAGGAAACTCCAGTGGTTGCCCTTGTCCAGATCCTGGACCTATCTCTGGCTGGTCAGGTGTAGCTTGATTTAACTCTTTCCCCTCTTTCGATTTCTCATTTTGGATATCATCATGATGGAGTCCATTCTCTTCTGTAGACGAACCAGCAATTCCGGCCAACTCTGTGGAGGATACGTGCGTCTGGGTCGAAAATGACATCAATGGTGTGGTCACGTCAGAAGCTGCAGCCAGTTTGATTACCTGCCAGTGAGAAGAGTGAATTTTTATTCCAAAATGCAGGTTCCCTTCCGAAGAAAGCGGCAGATGTGCCGGGACTCCTGACGGGTAGAAGATGACACGGTGCCACTGATCTTCCGCATGATTATAAAGTGATTATAAAGGATCACTTGCAGCGCTTAAATATAGGAATTCGGAACATGTGGGAAACACAGCCCGATGTATCGCATTCAGCCCATCGCTGGAATGAACATCGCACATGAATCCTCTCAGGGGAGAAAACCTAGCGCCAGTAGTATGCAAGAGTCATGAAAGGGTGAAACGTCTCCGCTGAAAGGATCACGAAAAGAGCCATAAACCCATAAAGAAAATTCCTGACAGTTGGGGAGATAGTCGAAGGTAGTGAACGAGCGCTGAACACCAGCCCTCCAGGATTCAGAGTTGTCGCGAATCTCCCTACATAGTGCATATTCTGCTATTGGGACTGCCCCGAGATATGGACAAAAAATTGGCATGTCACATCTGTGTGTTAAAAATATGTACTTACAGGTTAGGATACTCATATAGGGTCTAGGTCGAATGTCAGCATGCTAAAGCCATGTTTTCCGATGCTGAACATTGTGTCGAATTGCGAGTTTTACCATGCAGATAGAGCAGAAGCATTGCAAGGATGCTGCAACTGAAAGGTAAAAAGAGAACCTGGGGAGAAAGTTTCGCGGGCTTCCGAGTCTGGCAAAGTACCAATTAGAAGTCCGTCAGCCTGTTAGGACGGCTCTTGCCCTTGCACTTCCGAGCACTTGTCTGCATTTCTTCAGTTGCACCGATACATTCATTTAATATGCTCATTAAAGTTAAGGCGAGTCTCCAAGGTTTGTTGATGTCAATATTCCCAGCTCATGGTTACGTTTGCAGACACTCACCGGTAAAGAGGTGCTTACACGACTCGACCACGAGACTATCGCTTTTAACATATCTCATTATTTGTTCAGATCGAACTGGATATAGATCTCGAAGACAAGGTGCGCTATTCCGAGTGGGAGGAATAGCAGAGTTTAATGTGTGTTACCCACGACAGATTACTCGTATCAAGGAGAAGGTCGAGGAACAATCCGGCGTACCGCCACAGCAACAAAGGTTGATCTTTAGTGGAAGACAAATGTAAGTCTGATCATCGACTTGGCGTGAATTACACCGACATGCGCTTATGGTTTATACAGGCCTGACGATAAGACCGCCAAGGACTTTAATATCACAGCTGGATCAGTGCTTCATCTTGTCCTCGCCCTTCGTGGTGGCCAATGAGGGCCGATCCCTGTATTCTTATTTGCGATCAGTAGACGGTGGAAGATGAATGAACGGCAGAAGTTAATGGATTGTATAGGTGTAAATTCACTCGTGCGTTACTAGATGTGATTCAATACGCATTTGCTGTCGCATTGCTTTCATTTTGACCACCTTGAGTTTATAATCTTCTGCAGGTCAGAGTCATACATTTGAATTATCGCACTGATTTGTTCTAGATGTTTGAATGTGGCTTGATCCTTGCTGATCTGGTCTTCCAACTATATCTGCCCCAGGCAATAGCCACCTAAGTGTAATGCTCAATCTCGTCCCTCTCGCAATCCATTCCGCCTCACTGTCTGTTCCCTCTTCGCTCTCCACCAGGTCCTCTTGTCTTCCCTCTATCCCGTGTTTCCAACTATATCTCGCATCTTCTGTCATAACAATGATGCTTCTCTCTGGAAGGAACAGTTCCCATCGTTCTTTCCCCACATCATCCATATCTTTATGCTCGCTATGTTTCTCGAAATTCATGACACATCCGCTCCCCATACTGATACCTATGATACCGTCTCCGAATCTATTCAACAAGTCCACATGTGAAGAAATGCCTTCTCCGGGATTGTAAAGGTTCAAGATGGCCTGTCTCGCTCTGGGAGGAGCTGTTTTCGGAGGGAAGAGAAGTGTGTGTGTAGGTGGAGGGAGTACGGGGCGCAACAGCTCCTCCAGTGTGGAAATCAACGAAATCAGGAATGCAGGTAGTCCGCTGCTTGTTTGCACCTCTCCATTATCAGATTGGGAGTTCACACGCCCGAAGAGCATCACCTGATTGACGTTGGTGTCGCGGAAATACAGTCGCAGAGCTTGCTGCATGATATCGTCCGCGAGCTCTGAAGGCAGACGAATCGTGGGCAAGAACAGCCCAGGGATGGGAGGGGCTGATCGTATAGCCATCCTCGTATTAGGATCGTGTCGAGGTTCATCGAAAAGCGAATCATGGTCTGAATCGTCATTCATAGGTTCCAAGGCGGTAGTTGCGGTAGGAGATCGGCATGGATTCAATTCATCGCTAGGCGCCATATTAGTCATACCTCACTCTGCCGGATGTGTGCAGTTTGCAACAACGGTGGCGGGGGTGGCGAATTTCTACGATGAGTTTCTGCCAGCCAAAGACTACAGACCTCCTGTAGCCATTCGAGAACACCGAAGCGTAATAATGGTGCTCAGAGAGTGGAACCTTGGAACGGATATACGGTACGTAATAACGTATAGCTTCCATCATAACCGGCGCTTACATTCGGCCACCATGATAATCTTACTACTTCCTAGCCGCCGTGGGGGCCAAGCTTCTTTGACCACCATGCCTGCACTGACCTTTGTTCCACGCTCCAATTGACTCAAAATGACTCGGATCAATATAGAACCTGAACAGGCCACAACCTCGACTTCATGTCGAAGTTTGGTCCCGTGTTACGTTTTTGAGGCTCTTCTTATTTTCTAGAATGATGGGCCATGCATTTGATGTCCTCGGAGAGGTAACTGCTATGTTTTGTCCCAGAATTTTACCGGTAGGTCCATATAGATTTATATGCAAAATTTTGCTCACCGTTATGTCACCTCTCATAGGGCATTTTCGTGCTGGACATCAACTTCCACCTTCGAGCCTTGTCATCAAGCTGGCGAGTGTTGCGGGCAGCATAATGACTGTTATCTCTGCCTTGTTATCGATACAAACTTCACTCTGATAGAAGAACTCTGGGATGGCAGTTTATCCACCCCCTGCGGAGAAGCATAGGAATTGTGGGTCCAAGGTTTGAGGGCTTGTTAAATGCGCACGCCCATGCCTGGCATACCATAATTCTGATGGAAGGTTCTGTCAACTATTTACTTTCACGCGTGGTGGCTAACACTTTCGCCGAGATATGGTCGCAGAAATTTGTATACCATGCCTTGATTTTGGGAATAACTTATCTTGAGGACTGGTCATACATTCTTAAAGTGGCATATTCAAGTGAGTCGGACCAATTGTGGATTTTTTGGAATACGTTGATTGAATAATGCATTCACTGAAATAGTTTCATTTTATGAAGAAGAAAAGGACTCGTGTTCATTAGTAACATCGACTACCCTTGCTTCCTGGTTCTGTACTGGCTTATCAAGTCCATCGATTATCTGGAATGTAAACGGCGCGTTTTCGTATATCTAGGGTCATTGGATCGACTTGGGATTTCTATAAAATCTGCAAGCTCTTTAGACGTACCGCAAGAAATACAAATCACCCCCATATCGAAATAATCCTTATGTCGTCTCAAACTCATACTACACTCAACAGCAGCCCAAAAGTTGATACTCTCGCTGCAGTGCTCAACACTGTTGCTCAGGAATCAGAGCAGTCGGGTCTATGGAAAGCAACCTACAACAAGGCAAACATCGCAGCACATGAGGCAGTCTTGAATGCCTCAAACGGTGGGAAAAGTGACGACAGAAAGGTTTCTAAGACAGAAGAACAGCAGACTCATTTTCTCAAACGGTGGCAAATCCGGTGTGGACCAATACATTTCTATCGTTGAATGCAGGCTCACATCATTTGATAGGGACAAAACCAACGAGAGATGGATTCCATATGATCGCTCTTCTGTTAAACCGCTACCTCCTCCCAAAGTCGACCTTGACAATTACTTCTACGTGAACTATAGGTATCAAGACGAAGATGATACAGAGCCAGATCTATTTCTCGACCATTTCAGCCAGAATCTGACCCATCTTCTCCGGTCTGTGTTTATTCCGATTGCACATATCTATACTCATTCATGCTTCATTTCCTAGAGTATCAGTCGGATGTCAATTCTTCGATCCAGATCCCGTGTGGTCCATTGATCAGATCTTGCCTGATATGTACAATCTGTTGGGTTATCTGTCGGATGCGTGTTCAGCTTTATCTCCCGATGTTACCAGCGAACACTTGCGCAAGACAGCGAAAGAATTGGGGTGTGTTGATGCTTTGAACGGTACGTACCGATTTTTCTTCATGAGAGGGGCGATCATTGATGTCCTTCTTATCCTTGCAGAAAACCAAACAGACGGCTGTGTACGGGGATATTTGCTGGATTTGTCGGTTCATCTGGGTGTTTTGCTACGTTTCTTGGAAGAACAGTACAAGCCCATGTGCGTGTGTTTCGCTACATCTATGAATGTAGCTGACGTGATAATAGCGAGGAGGAACTTGCGCTCCAAGTGTCATATGGTCATATCTCCTATAATCTCCTCGCATACTACTTCAAAAAAGGAGAAACATATTACATCAAGGACGAACATGGGGATCTAGTAAGTCGTCTGATAGGTGGATACGGCATAGGATAATTAGTTGTCAATAGCAAGCTTTTGTTTTGACGACAGTACAGTATAAGGAAGAGTATGTCCCTTGTTCATCCAGCTTGAAGGTAATCTGATACCTAAGGGAAGCGTGTCAGGATCATCTCTTTTCATACTGGGTAGAGCCATACAGTGGAATGGAAAGGTGTACAACGAGGTCAATGTCAACCACACGATTTCCTTCTTTGCGGTGCGTGCTTGCGTATAACACTTGAAGGTCTGGCTTCCTGACACAGTATGTAGGAAACAAAGGGATTGTCGGATTTAAGATGTTATCCCCTGACAAGGGACGTAGAAAAGCAACTGAAAGGTGCGGCAGATATTCACCGTCTACCTTTACTTTTCACGACTTGATATAGATAGGGGGAGCATTTACATTTCTTTGTCTGGTGTTCATTATAGAACATGTAAGTCGTTTTTGCTGACATGTGTTATCCTAATCTTCGAAGGGCTGACTTTGTTGCAGATGGTGGGGTAAGGTTTAACATGCACCCCCGATTGAGAATGGCGCAGTAACCTGTAGTACAGAATAGAATAATTGTCGATCGCATGGCCTATGATAATCAGGCTGGCTATGCTCGTTCTGCGTATGTTCTTTTCTTCAAGTCTTATTAACCGACACCGGACTGACAGGCGGTCAAGAAACCAAGTTATACCCGATCTGGAAAAAGAGAAGTTGCATCTATTGCCAGGGAGGGTATATGGTTTTGATCTAACAGAAAAGGTACGTTGTTATTTGGACATGGAGATTTCAGCTAGTGAAAAATGCTAGGCATGGAAAATATTCAATGTCATGGAGGTAAAACCGGTCATCTTTGACGATCAAGCTTGGGACCACCTGGTTCTCGATGGCGATACTAAGGTTAATTCAATTATGCAGCATAAAACCGCATAACTCAAGCTCTTTTAGGCTCTTATCAAAGCATTGGTGCGAGTGACGATAAAGACATCCACACATACATCGGTTATTCTCAATGATGTTATAGCAGGAAAGGGTGGGGGATTGGTATGTCTCATATTGCTAAGTTGATATTCTACTACGAATCGTCTCTCCACCGTATATAGATCGCACTTCTCCACGGTTGTCCCGGGACCGGTAAGACTCTGACGGCTGAAGCTATTGCCGAACATCTTCAGAGGCCATTGTACATGGTCAGTTCTGCTGAACTATCGACACAGGCCGTTGGTTTAGAACGGAATTTAATCAGAATTCTGAGGGTAGAGTGTCTTTCTCGTTTGTACATATGTATCGTAGCTGAACTACACATCTAGCTAGCTACTGTGTGGGACGCGATCATACTGATCGATGAAGCTGATGTGAGTAGCTGCAATTCTGTAGCTCAAATGATTGTATTGAAATAACTTGCTATCCACAGGTATATCTAGAACAGAGAAGTTTCCACCAGGTATTTAATCCCAATACATTCGAGCCGCATCAGCGTCTAACATGTAGTAGGTGGAACGGAACGCTTTGGTTTCTGTTGCCCTGCGTCTCTTAGAATATCACCGCGGAGTGGTGTTCCTGACTACCAACAGGATAAAATGCTTTGACGATGCGTTCCTGTCGCGTTTTTCTATTGGTACGGTGATCTCTATTTATATAGTAGCTTACCGTCAACGAGTTGTATTTCTTATAGCAATAAAGTATCCGAACCTCGAGGCTCCGGCGCGCCTTCTAATCTGGCAGAATTTCTTCCGTTTAGCGGGATGTGTAGTCCGTCACAAAGACGACTTGGAGCATAGAAGCGACTCTCCTGATAGTTTCGTCGAGGTCAATGAGATACCGAAACGTGAAGTGTCGTTCTCAGATCTAGAAGATTTGTCTAAGAAACCATTTAACGGTCAGTCTCCAATTGCTAAAGATTGTATCATCCTGATACTGTCTTCAGGTCGAACAATCAAGAATCTCGTTCGCACTGCTCAAGCCCTGGCTGTTGCATCGTGAGCATCGTGTTTCTTCTGTGCAGGTACACTGTAGTTACCGTCCCTTCACAGGGAGGAACCTTTGTCTATAGAGCACGTCAAGATCGTCGTCCATGCCCAGGAGAAATTCTTCACAGAATTTGCTTCATGAAACTAGTTTTCCGCAGTTTGGCATCGCTTTGACTCGGAGTTGATGTGCCAATAGTAGCCTACAACTGCTAAAATTCAAAATGCATGTATTGATCGTTGAATACAGTATGCTGGAATCATCGTGAATGCTGTATAAAATTATAAACGTAGGTATGGCCGAAGTGGCCGGGGTCCTTATTTTCGGCTATTACATAGCTTCAAGTTTATGTTGTGCTACTAGTACTAGTAACTTCCAAGTCAATCTTGAAATGTGCCAACACGGGATTTCTAGTATGGTTCCAGTTTTCCAGATCTCGCATGCATCTATTCTGGATCCAGGCTGCAGTTATCCCATCGTGATTAGTGGCTGTCGTAAATCATTTTTTCTGACTTGTTATGACTCGGTGTGACAGCCCCTAGACCTTTCGTTTTATCTATACTAGTAGGTTTCTTATTTGCCTCGTGTAAGTACGCGTCCTGTTTTCATTTCCGGTGTAGTTAATACGGCACTATCAAGGTTCAAATCCTATTCAATTCTGGGCGCAATGATAAACCTATTGAAGCCTCTGCGCTAATCAGATGCATGACACTGAGCGCCCTGCGATAGGAGCTTAAGGGGTATAAAAAGTATACATGTACTCGTGAGTTTTCCGTACTCGCTCCAATATTCCCCCTTCCTTCCATGTGTCAGGTCATACACACCGCAGCCCATCCGGCTCTCGGAGCGGCGGTGGTTAGTGGGGAACATGAAAGCTCGGACGAGTTTCAAGAATCAGTTAATAATAATGAAGTCGAGGATGATAGCAGTGATGCAAGTAGCGATGCAAGTGGCTCTTTCGAGAATAAGGAAGGAAGCGATTCGGATACAGAGGTAAAGATAATCAGAATCTTGCCTCCTAGTTCAACAACAGAAGAGCATGGAAACCATTTCCTCAAAAGGTTTCAAATTTGGTACGTGTTTTATGCCAGGACAAACTCGCGATGTAACCAACAAAGTTATCCTACAGGGATATTAAGACCTTTGGATGGATTCCCTTTGATCCTTCCGTTCGTACTCCCCCAGCGCCTCCTAGAAGTGACTTCCATAACTACTTCTACGTGAACCTGCGATATAACAACTCTAAGGATATTCCCCTTTCAACAACACCAGAAGAAAAAGAAAAACCAAAGGTCGTGCTGAGCCATTTTAGCCAGACCTTGATACATTACTTCCGGTCTGATTTATATTCTAACTGTTTTGTGACACTCTAATTTACTCAATAATGGCTGTAGGTCTACGATCGGCGACAGTTTCTTCGACGACAATCCGGAATATGATCTAGTGACTTTGTTCTCCGAAATCACCTTGCTGAGAACCGACTTATCAACTACGCGGTCTCTACTGTCTTCAAATTATGGTCGCGAAGAGCTACAAGAAAAGGCGAAATCGTTGGGTTTCCAGTTCTCGTGGGGTGGTACGCTGATTCGATATCAATTTTGGGTGACTCACAAAGACAATAAGATTCCCAGGCTCTGAGTCGGACAACTCTGCCCGTGAATACGTAGTATCTCTGGTTGATCATCTGAGCATTATCACTGAGTTTGTGGAAGAAGAATTCAAGCCTATGTGTGTTCCTTTTTTTCAAGGAATTGTAACAAATAGCTAACTTCTTGTCAGAGCTGAGAGGCTAGCGCTCTTGACATCATATGGGCACATCGAGCATGACTTACTCGTGTATCATTTCCGGAAGGACCAGAAATACTACACTAAGAGAGGTGACGGTAGCATAATGGTTTGTTATTATACTTCAATCATGTTACATCGTTGAAAGCATATGATTCAAGATGGCCTTTGTCTTAACAAGCTCACGTTACCATTACAGTCCCAGGTGGGTCCTACAGAATTCCATGACGCTGTCCTCTGAACTTAGTCAATTATCAAAGCGGCTCTCCTGTAGTCACTATATACGGGGAGGGTGTTGCTTGGGATGGACACGGCTATCCTTGGTACACAGTGAGCGAAACATTCAATCACTTCAAAGTAAAGCTGCTATGTCGTTTATGATTACAAAGGTTTACTAACGCTTTATTAGGGGACAAAAGAGCTCTCGGAGTTGCATATCCAATCACTGACACCTGATGTGGAAGAAAAGTTGGCAGGTATGTCAAAATTGGCCAAACTTACAATTTGTGTATAACCAATTCAACTCTGTAGCACGAGGCAGACTTTACACCGCTTTGGCAGGTGTTCATTACAGGTCTTGTAAGCAATTGGTTTTTGCTTTTATGAAACTGAAATTAAGTCCCACGCAGATCAAGAAGCTGGGGTGAACATGACTCCGTCGACTAGTGATATAAGCTTATATAATTTTATAGCTTCCCTCTCAAAGGATAATTATTGATCGCATTGGATCGGATAATCAAGATGGTTATGATCGTTCTTCGTATGTTTCTTCCATAAAGATGCACTACAAATACCTGAGAATTCTGAATAGAGATGAGCATCCTGCGGATTTGGAAGATGAATATTTATGTCTTTTACCATCTCATGTAAATGGATTCAATATGACCACCAAGGTATGTCCCTTCGTTTTTCCATCTGGTAACTTTACCCTGATTTTCCTAACAGACTTGGGATTCCTTCGACGTTGAGAAAATCGGTCCTGTGACCTTTGACGATAAGGCCTGGGATCACTTGGTCCTCGATGATAACACTAAAGTCGGTCTATATCCAGTGTTGCTATAGAATTACTCTTCATGTTATCCCCAGAATCTCGTCAAGGCACTCGTCCACGTCACTCGACACTCTATTACCAATAATATTATTAACGATGTGATCACTGGAAAAGGTGGAGGCTTGGTATGCTTTTACACACTGGTGTGGTATTATATCATTCTAAGAAAGGCTCTGGTGTCTATGATGCTAGATCGCAGTCCTGCACGGTCCTCCAGGAACTGGCAAGACGCTGACCGCTGAAGCGTTGTCCGAGCATCTTCAGAGGCCGCTATACAATGTCGGCTCTGCAGAACTGTCTACAGAACCCTCGGGCTTAGAAAACGATCTCTCAAGGATTCTTAAGGTAAGCTGTTATAGCAGCGTGTTATAATAGATCATCGTCATCATACTTGCCCTTCCAGTTAGCTACAGCCTGGGATGCTATTGTTTTGATTGATGAAGCGGATGTAAGTGATTCATTATCAGGAGTTTTACTAGTGCTTATGCGTCGATCGACGACAGGTATTCTTAGAGAAAAGGAGTCTACACGAGGTACGTCACATTGGGTCAATAGTTGTTTTGTATAGACACTGACGAGTCTATTAGATTGAACGAAATGCCTTGGTTTCTGTCGCTTTGCGTTTACTTGAGTATCATCGTGGCGTGTTATTCCTCACCACAAACAGGATCAAATCTTTCGATGAAGCGTTCCTTTCACGTTTCTCGATTGGTGAGCATTGCGACGGTGGATTGCTCCGTATTACTGACCAAAATTCTAGCAATCAAATATCCTGAACTCAATATCCCAGCACGTCTTGCTATCTGGTGCAAGTTTTTCGAGATGGCAGGATATATTCTCGAAAAGCCAGATTCTCGAAGCAGCACGCCTGATAGCTTTATCGATGTGGAAGAAATGCCAAAGCGTTCCGTAATGCTATCAGACCTTGAGGAGTTGTCCTTGAAGCCATTCAATGGTAGCTACCACCTATTTAATTAACATGAATCATTTCATTTTACCTTTTCGTACAGGTCGGACGATCAAAAACCTAGTCAGGACCGCTCAAGCTCTTGCGATTGCTTCGTGAGTAGAAATTATTTACTTTTGGAGACTAACTTATCAGAGTTTATGCAGAAATGAACCATTGGCTGTCAGTCATATTCAGATCGTCGTACAGGCGCAAGAGAAATTCTTAACAGAATTTGCTCAAACACGCGATTCTTGATACTCTCTTTGGTGCGAGCTGTAAATCAGTACTTTCCGTGTACACTAGCACATCTGTATTTTGTATTTCTTCGAACATGTAACTTCCTAGTCTCGGGGGCCTTGTTAAATCTTGCTTTCATCATAGTCCCCACGACATATCAGGGCATTGAGTCTGTTGTCAAATTTGTTCCTTTGATGACAATAGGTATGTAGCCTGTACATTGTTATCAGAATCGGACCAAAACGGCATTGAAAAAGTCAAAATATACCTCCTGTAGCTAGTCTGTAAGACCAATGATTTGTGACCCGCAAAATCGCACCGATGAAACCACCATGGGCAGTGATAGATATAACTAGACGTGGTTCAGCGTATAGAACTCGAGAGACCATGTTTTACAGTAGAAACTTACATTGCTTCTCGCCGTCCTCGAAAACATTGTCCAAGACTGTTCGTGCTCTGGCATCTAATTCTGTCTTTGTCTCCCTTGCGTTTGCGTCCCACAGCTCGTCTTCCTCGGTGAATCCCTCTTCTAATAGAAGCTGAGGGTATGTACTCTTGATAAAGGAGCGCGATCTTCGCTTATCGCATGTATGAACTCCATTCTCTTCTCGACAGTTCTAAGTATGAGATTTAGACCATGAACCACGAAAGTACTCTGGAAACATACTTCAACAATCGTTGTTTTACGAGTATCATCTGTGATGACGCCTTCAAACGTCAGTATATTTGTTCTTATCGCACGTGTAAGAGGGCTGCAGTAAAGCTTCTCGGGTAGGGGAATCCCAAATGGCAGCTCTGCCTTCCAGAGCTCTCGAGCAGCAATAGCTTGATCCACGCCCAATGGAGTAAGATCAGGGTCAGCTACATAGAAAGAAGTCAGTACATGGCTTTCTCTAATGCATAGGTGAAATAAGACTGACGTCCCCAAACTAACTCGCCATCACCATTCAATTTGGACCAATAACTTTAGCGTTTAGTCAAGTATTGTCGTGACCACCTCTTCAATCAATGTCAAGACACGCACTCGTCCCAAGCCTGTGCAAAAGGTTAGATATCTAGAATTGATGCCTTCATGGAACCAAATATACTTGTGTACCATATTTTGCTTCTGCAACGTTGTCTATTATATGCCAGTGAGAAGACGGAAATAGCAAGTTCAGAGGAAAGTGCTAACGATATCCTTCACCATGTCTGCCAAAGAATATGACCTTGTAGGAGGTATTTTCAGGTGCATTGGCATTCAACTGACTGATGGCCAGTCGAAATGTAGTCCACCGCTCTGCAGAGCCATCTAACAAACCAAATCGCGAGGGTAGCTGTGAAGTTATAAACATCAGGTTTCACTGTATATCGACAAAATCGATTATCTAAAACTTACAGAGATGGATGAGGATTTAATGTGAAGGTCTTTATCGTACTGGTCTTGCAAGAAGAATCCGTGGACTGCCTATAGAACATATCTTCGTCAGCGAATGAGCAATAGTTTATGCATAGGACGAGAAGTTTGAACCTGGTAGAGTCTCTGGACCATATCTATGACCACCTTTACACGTCTTGGTAGATATTGTACTCAAGATTTCTAAGTACTAGTTGGTGAGCGTCTGAATACTACTAGTAGTAGAAGCACTGCCAGTGATCAACTTGAAAGTCCGTTGACGCCCCGTCGGTAAAATATCGGTCGTTAGACGTGACGGGAGACGCAAAGAATAGCAGATCGGCACGACACGATAACATGTCTCTACCCAGGAAGCAACGAAAACAAGACACTTCGAGCAGAGATAAAGCACGGACACGTTAATATATAGGCTACAAGCAAGCAGACCGAGTAAAGATGCAGACTCGATACAAAATGAGACAAGTGCGCTTTGGAATATGATATACAGTACAGTCCAAGAAGAGCGTACGAGAACATGCATAAGTGTAAGGAAGTTAAAGCGGTGATACAGTTATAGAATTGGTCCAAAATGTGATTTTTAGGAGTGGGGGAGCGAGCGAGTGTTAGCAACTACACTGACTAATGTCAGTGAAGCCAAAATGCGACTCGTTGAGTCTAGCACGAAGCCGATCTCATTTCGTCGATAGGTCGATTGGAGAGTATTCCGATTGACGACGCAAAACTAAAGATGCGTCCCAAGCTGGTGGAGGTGGTGAGATTGGAGAGGAGAACTGCGAAAACATCATCGGGTCGATGGTGTGATAAGATGGGATGATACCTCGAGATCTGCAAGACGAGGCCGTCATGGTAGAAAGGTTGGGGAGCGTATCACTTGAGCTAAATTGCGTGTAAGAGCCAGGGGAGAAGGGGGAGAAGGGAGGAAGTGATAACCGCTTCAGACGAGGTGACTGAACGGTTTGAATGGGGGAAGAGTCGATTGAATGGGGTGAAAGAGTGTGTAATTCTTCAAAGGATAGATTATCTAAAAAAGGAGGCAGTGTCCCATATGTAGAATGCGTTGGATGAGCAGTGTAAACTGGAAGTATCGACTGTCTTTCACGTGAGCTGTAGGTACAGCGTTTATGGCGGTAGACATCAATTCTATATCAGGTATCACAGTCAGCGGCATGGTACCATGCACAGCCCATATTGTTCATACCTTGTCGAGACCATCGAGCTAGGTGTGCTTGGCACATAGCCGAAAACTCGTACTACAGCATAGAAAGCAAGACTGTAGTTCTTCCTTGCCTCCTTCGCAAGTCCAAAGAAGGCAAAGAAGGCAAAAGCACATAAGACCAATAGCCAACGTGTCAACTCCACCCTGACGACAAACTGGGGATCCATTTGCCAAAGAACGACAGGGATCTGCCCCACATAGGAAAAATCATAATGCACATTCTCCCAAGATATGTAGGGAGCAACGTTGTCCCCAGAAGCATCAATGATCAGAGAGTATAGGCCAAGCGGGACCGTACACAATATCTCCAGTGTAGACAGTGCCATTAGACGCCGGTATATACTGGGATTGATATTCCTGTGGGCTTGAAATAGTTGATCCATCCGTGCTTTCCGTTTTATTATGGTACGTATGGTCAGGCCTAACAAATATGGGAGTAATGTTAGAGTGTGAAGAGATATATAGACCACAATCCACCGAGCATACCTGCATATACGGATGATACTAGCCCAATCGCCACGGGCCAAATGAGGATTATTGGATAGGCAGCAGGTGTGTCGTAGACTGCAGGATAGCAACCTATCTCTTCATAGATATTGAAACGGTGACCTTGAACAATATATTCTACAATCGCGGGTGTGAATCACCACCTCCAGCAAACCAAAATGAGGGACTTACCCAGCACCATGACCAACACTGGTAATCCAACTCCTATGGAAAGTTCGAGCATTAATTCACGCTTCTTCTAAGATAATGATTAAGGAATCGTTAGTCGCTAGAAAAAAACATTGATGTCTAACGCACATGTTTGACAATGTTCATCACTGCGATATGGTATAAACGCCGACTTATACATAGCGACGAGGCTGGAATGGCGACACTAGCGCCAATAATTAAACGAGAGGCTATTATAGAATATGGACACTGAGAGTAAAGGGCAAGGATAGAAAAGTTACGGACATATATCACACCATACCGGTGCCCAATTAATAGCATTGTTGTTCCACACAACTGAGTTTATGAACTGGCTCAAGCAAGACAAACTTGTCCATATCATGTACAAGCACGTCCCTGTGTTCCAAGCTGTTTCGAATAATTATCAGCATTGCTTTATCGACGGAGAAACAATACACGGACACTCAAGATGCCATGCCAGTGGTATGCTAACGAGAACAAATCCGATGAACGAAAATGCGGAAAAAACTTGATTGGAAGGGACCATGTCTGTCAACCCCGCCTGCGGTAGAGAACCTAAAGAAAGAAATTTGAAAGAGGGAAAAGAATAGCATTTGCTCTTCCAGCGATCCAACTTATAAAGGTTCGGGGTGGTTGCAAACGGACGTGCTTACGTTACATCGTTTAGCTTGTTATCACATACTGACTTGACACAGAAGAACACGCGTGCAGTAGTGGGTTGTGTATTGCTTCTAAGACAGACTCAGGCTGCCGCATATCCGAGTCGGAGCGGTTCCCAAGACTAGCGTTATACCAAATAGTTAGTACTAGTGGACGACATACAAGGTCACCACGATGTCAAGCTGCACGCTGCGGCCCAGGATGGGGCCGAAATGAACACATCAATGCGATTCGATGCGGGAGGGTGATTAACGAAAGGGTGCAGGTTATCACGCTTCTGAGGATAGTACAAGGGCAGCATCACCATGGAGAGCAGCTTCGACAAGGGTTCCCCGTTCAGTGCCTGCGGCAGGTGAGGTAATACCTCAGGAACAGAAATTGTAGAAGACTTCCACGAACTGATTTCGCTACGCACGAACCCTATGTCCTTGAGCTGGAGGCTTTGGAGCTTCCAGGGTCTTCAAGTTATAATTCCAAAAATTGAGGTTTGCGTCGAGAACGCCACGGTTGCTGAAAAAATACATACAAAGTCCGACGATCACGACCATTATCATTTCAATCACCGCGGCACTGTTCAAACTTATCCACCAGGGCCAGGGCAACGCAGGCTCCACAACCGACATCATAATAATTAACGAGCGACTGTCAAATGTTTGATGTATCTTGCAGTCAAACACACGGTTTGACATGGCCAGTGATGGCTGGAGTTTTTACAGCTTTTGTTTTCAACCAGAATCAGCCTTGAAAATCGACAGCGGGAAGTCGTTTTCTCGATCCTTTCTTTCTTTACTTTTGCATTATGTCGGCAATCCCAACTAATTTCGAAGTGGATGTTTCCCTTATCCCTGGAAATGCTCCCCCTAAATTGAAAGCCTTGGTCTTACACGCTCTACGAAAGAGGACAACAGATGGACCCAATTTCAAAGGGTTCGAGCCAGAAATATCTGACCGGCTGGCCTGGAAGGAAATTTCAGTGCTGCAGAAATTAGAGGAGCCTGAGAAGCTCGAGGGGAGAGTAGTAATGGAGATTACTGTTGATAAAGGTAAGTTTGAAAGATACTCTTCGCAGAAATGCCTCCCCGCCTTATTAGTGGACTCATCGACTCAGATATGATCAACGCCAATGGCGTCTTACATGGAGGTTGCACAGGGTACATCCTATCCAAGTACGTCTCGTTATCATACTCTCTAGCATGTGGTTTTGCTAATCGATGACTCCCAGTTGCTCCACTCTTCCTATTCTTGTTCTAGGTCTGGCAACCGGCGGAAAGGGCGAGCTCGGCGTATCCCAATTCATCGACATTTTGTACCATTCCCCCGCGACGCTGTACGTATTTAATCTATCACATACCCGTGCTATCCGATTATGATTATTACGTGCTGTCAGTGGTGATAAACTTCGCATAGTCAGCAGTACGTTGGCCTTGGGTGGTCGAGCGATGACGGCCCGTTGCGAGGTATGGCATAACCAACTACATTGTTGTCTTCCCCTCTTTTTTTACCGAGACTGAATTGTAGATATGGAGCGAAACCCATCACCGGCTAGTAGCTTCCGCCGTACACAGCAGGTTCAACGCAACGAAGGCCAAACTATAAAAAGTTCGCTCTACACTACATTGTTACATCCCCCTGGATCTCGACACCTCGACAGCGAGGTGCGAGAAGTATATCGTTTCATATTATTAACTTAGTATTTATAGTTACCTCCTGCCACACATTCATTCTCAATAATATATCCATCACACTCGCTACTTGTACACTGATATCTGCCTTTTTATTCCAAGTAATGAAAGACAAATGCACAAAAAAATATAAGTAAGTTGTAGAAACGGGTATCCGAACCCAACAGTACTAGATGTAAGGAACGACGATCATTAGATATTCAAAAGGAGTGTCATCTTTCAGGAGTGTCCCCAGTAGTCACAAAACAGAGGAGGGAAACAGGGAAACAGATGAAAAACAGTAAGGAAAGTTAAGGACAGTGGGAAGTAATACACTTATTCATTCTCAAAATATCACATCTTCCATGGCAAACCAACGGGGGCCATGAAGGCACCGGCCTGGACTGCTGTTCCGTAACCAAAGTCGATGGCTTTACGCTTATCCTCCCACAACTTCAATGCTTTAAGGAGTTGGATAATCTTGTCTCGTTTCCCTTGTCGCACGTCGTTGATGCTCACACTACCCATCTTAACATCGTGATCAAGCAGGAAGTCAAAGAGCCGGAAGAGTCCATCAAGCTTATCGTCGTTAGGCCCAGATGGGAAGGCAGAATCGGGAACAGGGGGTGATGAGGCTTTTCCCTTAATAGATTCTGCGAGACGTAGAAGGGCAAGCCCATCACACAGCGAACCGGAGGTATCCGTTATTCGCAGCGATGCTGGCAATCGGGAATTTGCCCACTCAATAAGACTTGGGTCAACTGGTCCACTCTATACATAGACACAACAGACAGCGTGAGCTCCTTAGAATTTCCAGAAGACAACTATATACTGACAATCTCGCTTCCCTGTGTGCTTAGCCGACGTAATTCTCGGGAGGGTCTGGGTGGAGCACCTTTCTGTGCTCTCGGCGTTGGCGGGCTAGCTGCGATCTCATTCGCACCAGTAGAAACAGGGGCATTTGCGAAGAATGAGTCTAATCTCCCTCTTTCATTATCTTGCGCATCCTGCGTGCGTGCACCGCCTTCTGGCGATGGGAGTCCCATGAGTATTCGTGCATCTCGGGTTGATAACTGATTAGGATTCTCTCGTCGAAGCGCCTTCTGTGTAGCATCGCGGGCTGTAGGAGATGGAGGCCTTGGAGCCGGGTTCATAGCTTGCGCGACGGTGAGAGGTATCGTAGGGATATTAACAGAGGATACGACGGGTTCTAAAGGATAATTTCGTGTGAGAAAGTCCTTGTGAAAAAGCACAAAGCTACTCACTGCTGTAGTCTCTACCAATGGTTGCCTTCATGATCGCCTTCATCCATTCGCGAATAACAAGTTGCTCTTCAGAGCTGAAGTAGTATGTCTTATCAGTATCGTGGACAAGTCTGAAGCCATATCGCCCAGGATCAATATTTTCGTCGGCGATGACTTTGTAGCCAACAATGTGAATGTAGCCTTTGATCTTCGTCTCCTGTTGTCACAGTCAACATTATCCTTGTAACAAGAATGATAAGAACTTACAGCCTTGTTATTGCTTCGCAAAATGTAGAGATGGGGGCCTTTGATGATGAAATAACGGAGTTTCCAAGAATTATAGTGTTCACCCTTCTTGCGCATCCAACCATTATGGTCAGGGACCCCAATTTGCTCGATGATACTTTTACCGGGCTTCAGAGAAGTGGGCCCACGAGAAGTAGATCGAGGTTCTTGTTGAGGCGACTTGCGAAGGGTTGCTATTTCCCTCGCCTTTTCTTTAGGGGCCTCTTTATCCTTATCAGTAGTCTTCAGTTTCTCTTTCGCCTTTGATTTTTCCTTCTCTTTCGCCTTTTCTTTGGCAGCATCTTTGAATGGATGACTTGCGTCTTTCGACAGTCCATCAGAGGTTGACGGTCGACCTGAATGCTTGCGTCCACCATAGAGCCTGGAGAGGCTGATGCTTGAGTGCTTTTCCTTTTCGGTCGAAGGCTCGGCATTGTCCAACAAACTCCTGTATAAAACCATCAGCATGTGCAATAATAGGGGCCGCCAGCAACACATACGATGAATATCTCGGAGGTGGTTTTCGTGATTTACCAATTGTACCGCCGAATGAGCCTCCAAACAGACTCAGACGTTCAGAACCCTTGGAAGTTGCATCCATACTCCTCTTGTTTCTGCTATGTCGACTTACGAGACTTGCTTCATCGAATGACTCCCTTTTCTTTGGTCTCGGTGATGCGGTTATTGAATTTGGAGAAATTGCCTCCTTCGAGGCATTCGCGGAATCGACTTTATCCTTAGCTGAGGACCCGGACTCTGTTGAACGTCCAAAAAGTCGACGACGTCTCCCAGTTGAAGCAGCCGCCTCGCCCTACAAAACCATTCAGTTTTTGAATACAATTACATATAAAATGTACAAAACTTACCTCGCTCAAAGCGCCACGTTCGTCATGGACTGATTCGGGAGAAACTGTCACATGTGGTCGCAGGGCATTATCGCTAGGAGACAATGCTAATTGTGCTGGTCGATGCTTCTGGATTGAAAGATTAGATACGCTTAATACCCATCAAACAGATAAAACTCGCCTGATCTTGCCCATTTATAATGGCGGTCGGCATACCAAGGCCAAGGCCAACAATGGCAGCCTTTTCGATGGAAGAGGCAATACCGTTTTCGTCTGAACCTGCGCCCTTGACGCTCATGCCAGCGCTCGAAAAAGGGTCAGAAGCTCGTCGAGAGCCACCCATGACCGCCTGCATCATTGTGCTGTCCCCGGATTGCGGTGGGCTTTCCGGACTCATCAGCGAGCCAAGACCAGCAGAGCCCGGAGGGCCCATGGCACCCATATACATAGGACTATTGAGAGAATGCTGAGTAGAGCTTGTGTGAGAGTGAGAATAAGAATACGATTGTAAGGAGAGTGATTGTGATTGCGACTGCGAGTGCGTTGGTGCTGTCTGGTGTTCAGAATAAACGATAGATGGTGGACGGCGAAGTTCAGCTATAGCATTCGCAATTCGCATACGTTTGCCGAAAGCTTGAATGCCAATTTCAGTCTTGAGAAGGTTGATGTCGAGTTCGAGTAAAACGTCGCCAGAGATTTCTTGTTCTACGATCAAAGTAGCATATACTTCAGTGAAACGCCTAGTAGGATAATTGGACTGGATACAAACCAACAAATTTGTCGACCACGTCGTTGCCGAAACCTTTCGACGTCAGCCACTCGACGACTTCGTCAACGCTCCACTCAGATGGATGAGGCTTCTTTTGAGGGCTGCTGGCAACATTTGTAGCCTCTGACGATGTCTGGAGTGACGCTAAAGGAGCCGACATCTTTCCAGAAGAAGCCAAACTGCTATGTTTGGACGTAGGTTGACCACCAGCAGATGGTATGGGAGATGCTGCTTTAGTGGGGGCTTCGTGAACCTCACGGACCACACTAGGTGTGGGAGTAGCTTGGGATATTGCGTTATTGGGTGAAACAGACAACGGAATCGCAGCAGCGTCAATAGCTACAACAGGAACAGGTGCCAAGATTCGATTCGGATTAGTAGGCGAAAGTGAAGCACGACGAGGTGTGGGAGAAGCTGTCCCGTTCATGGCTGGGGACCTTGATTTCTTTGGCGATGCGAACGAAGTCTTCTCGACGGTAGCAGTCGCCAAACCAGATTCGTCTGGATTAGAAGGCAAGATATCCTCGGAAGGCAGGATAACGGAAGAGGTCTCGTTAGAACCCACTCTGTGATGGACACCAGCACTCTTACGACCCTCTTCATCATCTTCCTCTTCCTCGGGTATATGAGGATGGTCGCGGGAGAAATGTAAATGGTGGCGGCGATGGAAGGCGTCGTCGTCCTCTTCGGCTTCACTTTCGTCACTCATCTCAACTTCGATCGGAGGAACCCCTGCGCGCATAGGGGTACTACTCTCCGCCTCGGCAGCAGCAGCAGCTTCCACGACTTTACGTGCCTGTTCTGCGAGTTTATGACGAGCATTCCGGTGATAATCTACCCCTTCCTCTCCAATGTCTGTGTCACGATCCGTCTCGTTATCGGTGTCGAGTTCACGGTCTGTGGTGTCGCCGTCTCGAGTGCTGGCAAAACTGAAGCTACGTGCACCATCACGGTCATTTCGACCCAGTTGTTCTATAGCTTTCTGAACGTCTGTCATGGTCGCTTTCATCACCTCACCGTCATTGCCACCCGAGCCCGACTGACCGGGAGGAACTTCCGATTGAGCATCAGCATCTTTTTCGTTAGTGGGAGAGGTTTCTTGCTCTTCTTTAAGGGGGTGAAGAGTGTCGGATGTCAAGGAAGAGACGATAGGATGAGCAGAGGAGGTGGGTGGCTGAACTGGGGTGGATATAGCTGGTGCTGCTGGGGTAGTGTAACTTTGAGGAAAGAGGCCTACTTTCCCCGCCAAATTGCGACCCTTGAAATAGTAGAAAAGGCGTAAGTATAACATACGAATTCTTTGTTATTCCGTAGTAGTGATAGTCAAGTAAAGAAGACTTTGATTGAGTGTATAGAAAGCACAGCAGGTACACTCTCAACAGGAGGTGACCATGCTTTCAGGGTATGCTATGCGGCGACAAATGCTCACCTGCCACCACCCATCGTTGTAGAGATCATCCTTCTCGACAACTTCTATGGGCTGTCCAGCTCGGAACGATATTTCATCTTCGTGCTCCGGCTGAAAGTCATGGAGAGCATAGACGTATTCAGGCATTATTGGCTGTTTTGTTTCTTGTGTGTTGACAGGTCAGAGTACACCGAGCCACGTTATGCTAGCCCCTCTAAGGCAAACACGCCCAAGCCTCGAGGTGGAAGAACGGCGCTATGGGGTTTACTGATATGCTGGTGCGCTGAAAGATGCCCGTCCGCGCTCCTTGGCCTTTTGTATGAGAATGAGCGAGCGAAGAAAAGCTTGGGCTTTGCTCGTGACCGAACTCTGGAGATTAAAATTCTCAGGTGGTCGAGGACAGATTCCACAGCAAGAGCGGAAAAAGGAGCCGGCTGGTTATCGGTTGCAATTATTACCACTGTGTCGTACGAGCCGGCTCTTGCCGAGCCTAAAAGCTACTACTACGTATACTGTGATCACTAGTAGGGTCATTACTGTCAAGTAGAACATGACCACAGATTATCTTCTACATTACGATGTCAAGACGAGGCACTGTAATATAGCAGTAGATATGTTAAAGGGGGGACAACCTAAAGTTTACAGCAAGCTTAGCTATAACGAGGATGATGATCCAGAAGAAAGCCCAATCAGATCGGCTCCGTAAATATTGACTTCCTCCAGTCTAGCGTTGTAGTGATTGACTTAGGGAAGGTCTGCTGAAGACTGTCCTGTTATTCATGGGCGCTCAGCCGTGACGCAGAGAACAGCCTCCATCATTCGATGCGTACCTTGCTGCGGTCATCACTGCTTCTCAGCGGGCAAGGCGGCTCTGGCATAGATGCTTGCGATAGCAGGAGGAAGTGATAGATCGCACAATTTTTGCCCGCAGTACCGTCTGTCGTATTTCTTTACTCCTGGATCTGCCATAGTCTTCAGTCCAATGGAGCATACGTATAGCAGGGTGGGGAGGAAGGGTCTTGTAGGGCAAATGAGGCTCAGCGCACGCATTACGGTGGAGTCAAGGACACGTATGGCCTTTGCGCGCGAATGCCATTGTCTGGAGTGAGCACATGCTGGACAAGGTACGTATTTTCCATGTTCAGTTCTAAGGAATGGCCATCATAGGCTCTACATAGATGTAGTATGTGAAGTGATCCGATAGCCGGGAATGCTAGGTTGAACATACCAACGTCATTTCAGCCGAAATGTGGGATATTTCCCAAAGGTCTGCAGGCACATAATATTCACGGTGCTAAGCCACATATGGTCCCCCAAAGAATGTTCGCGAGGCAGGTCCTTTGAAGGCTTTATGCGTCTGGGTCAACTTTGCAAGTGGGGCATCGAGCATACATGGATTCAGGACGATTTTCGCACACATGTACATCGAACTCCGAGAATAAAATCAAGAGGACATCCAGTATTTGAGAACGATGTATTTTTCGGCATGTTTTTGATATCTACATGGAGTGTTAAAGACTCATCAAATAGCGGAAGTTGGTCAGACTTACTCCAATTGACAAATAAATTTGACGTTCAAATGGACCTCGCAGTTCAGATTAATGTCGTTCATTCGGTTCCATCCTACTAACAGTGGATTGTAAGTTCGCGTGGGGCATCGTAACAGCCAGTTCGACCAGTTGGACTCGGAATATTAGACTGGTTCAGACAAATCGCAGTATCTGTTGGCCTGCGATGGTAGACAACGCAATCCTAAGTAACTCGAAAATATTAGTAATCATCATCATAAGACCAACCCTCACTCACAGGCTAAATTCCTCAGGCTTTAGACTCGACACAGATGAAGAAATGGTCAAAACCCAGTTTTGAGGTGGCTGTGTTCTATAACGCACCCCCAAGTTTAAACACTGTTAAGTTCATGTTTGTATGCATGTTTGGCCCCTCCTCCGCATTACAACATATTGGGAGGAGTTAGCTTTACAACATAAAAAAGATCATATGGATATACGAAGATATATTAGAATGTACTAGTGACCGAAGGTTTGCCACAATTGCACTCCGAAGCAATAAATCCTACAGTTTATTGGCTCTCTTCAAGGCATCCGCGGGGTGGAACACGGACAGAGACAAGAACTCTCGATACCTAGACCTTTTCGTCGGCTTAATACCGAATCATGGATTGGGAGTCAGAGGCCATGAGAGTAACCTCTTGCAACGGATGTGTCTGAATCAATCGACCAGGGATTGTGAAGAGTTGCATGGCGCCAAAGTAGTGATTTTTATGCTCCAAGGTGATCTGGATCAATCTTGCCCAAAAGAATCACCTAAAATAGTCCCTAGGCTACACAACAATTTCCGGGAATGGAATACATAGCTCGAAGATGTCGGTCATGGTCATGCGCCTCAGTGACTTGCCCGAGGGAGATCGTCTTCAAGTGGGGCAAGATATCAAAGTCGGCGATAGGGCTGAATGCACATATTAACAGTAAGGACAGCGGTGAATCTGGTATGAATCTTTGTGATTTTGCTTCTTGATAGTTTTCCTGGGCGCTGGAAGGAAGTCAAGATGGAGCCAGGATATATACGGCTCAAACAAAACTTCGAGGGTGGTGGGACTCCTGCTGTAGAGTCCGGCCACGACGCTGTCCTCAGTATTTCCGGCGGGACCTTTACTAGGGACGATGGTATGAGAGACAAAAGATCACATAATTCCGCTATTCATGCATCACAGGTAATCAGATAACCTTGATACAAGCATATCCATTAATAGCTCGATCCTTTTCAGAGCATCATAGGACTCACCGCACGGTCCAAACGGGATGCATGGCTAAAGGCAAAGTGATCAGATATCGATATAGGTACCAGTGGACTACACACTGGCACTCAAAGCTTCGGTGTTGTCATATATGGACCTCGGCCTAACGACCGTCACAGTACTAGTAAGAGCACTTTCAAGCCACTTGACCTTGTAATTGATACTATTTGGTTTGTGGCGTCTCACTCAGCGTTGTTAGTAGATCAGAAATTGCTCTCTTTCCGAGTCACCTTGTCTTTTGTAGCACTCTTTTACTCATTTCCGTATTTCAGCGCTTCAGCTTCATCTCTGTTCATTTCTGCATCTGGATGGCGGCACGTTGTTTTTCTGATATCAAACAAGCATAAATGTTTCCATCCCATGCTCATCGAATTATACTATGGGCAACGGTAGGTATCTTTGAATCCTCTTGACTGAATAACTCATTCCTCAATTCAACAGGCTTTCTATCGTATCTTTGTGTTTATACGATCGGATTGAATTATGCCAACATATGAGATGCTTTCGGCGATTACTCCTCGCACCTGATATATTCATTTGAATTTCAGGTGTTCACAGCACTTGCAAGCATTTAAAACACTGAAACGCGGATAGCAGAACGAAACTTACAATTGAACACACAGGGACGATCCACTGTGTCGGATATATACTCTACATCTCAGACCGACACGGAAAACGCTCCAACATGATGAGCTTGGCTTTCAGGGTCCTGTCGGCCCCCGCCCACAGGCACCGGAAACGAACTGGCTTAGACACTCAACCTCGGTGAAGGCAAATTTGTCAACAGAATAGCAAGAGAGTTATGTGACTATATGCGTAACACCGTCATTTGTGCTTTATCGACTTCTATCACGCTCTCTCTTTGCAATGCGCCAAGGAGATATCCAGGTGTTTGGTGCGCTGTTTCACCACAACTTGCACCTTATCACGCTTGTCATTTACGTCCGCGCCAGCCTCATTTCCTTATCCTGACAATGTGCAGGCCAGATAGCTCGTAAAGGCATATATCCGGGGTGGTTGCGTGGCAGTTTGTCCACGTACTCCTTGGTATATCTTTCAGACTGTAGTCGACCAGCGGCACGCAGTCTATGGTTGCTCAAAATTTCCGACCCCTCGGTAGACTCCTCAAACCTCATGGTATCGCGGTGCATGAGAACTCATTCGCACAATCTTCGCACGAGCCCCACCACCGGAGATAGTCACTTGTGACCGCATCTCCGACCTCTCGAGATGTCATGTCTCGGTATTCAGTCTCTTGCGCAATGGCCCTTACATGATGCACTGGGTTTATATTCTGATAATTTCCGTTCAAAGAGGAGACTTGATTCTGATATGTAATTATGAGAAATAGAGTCCAGGATTATATGTAAGTTATGATTATACAACAGGTATACAAAGATGCTAAGCCCTCCACAGCGTTCCTGATTCCCCATATCCTCTACCACCATTTAGATTCTTCAGTGTACCTAGCCCAGCAAGCTCATCCACCACCTGTGATCCGGGGGCGGTATTGTGATTAGATCGCACCCAAGTTTCATATCTTTGATGCCCACTGGGCATTGAGCCCTTCGCGTTGCTATGGCTCAGATACACTTCACTCGAACCTATCAACAACATATACTCATTAGCTGCATGTGACTGCCAGGCGCCTCCCACCATAGCTTACGCAGTTGTGACGGAATACTACTCTGTAGGAGAGGAGAAGTCAGTGGTGTGCAGACGTTAACCAAGTACATTGGTGTTACCTGCGCATTTGATGCCTGTCCCCGTGTGCTCAACGGCATACGAAGTGGGGGTAATGGTGCAGTGGGGAGACGTGGCGAGGAAGGTGGTGCTTTGAAAGACATGGCTGGTATTAGATGGATATGGGTTCCAATAGATGGGGGTTTATATAGTGGTCTGCACGAGTCATCAAGAGGAACGAATTAGAACCTTAAGAAGGGAACCAACCAAGGAGTTCTGAGCACTCTTGGTGGAACGAGCCAAGTTTCATCGTGTCAGTGACATGAAGACCTCTCGGACACTCGGATGATGCTCGTAAATTTGTCTCAATCGGTAGATATACTGCCCAGCGATGATTGACAGATGTCAGATGTTGAATGCTGGCCGACCCGCCAACTGCTTTACGGCCATCTTTGGACTTTTAAACCAGGTAACCGGGTTTGACTTACCAAATATATAGGACTGTTCTACCAATAGCTGAGATAAGGTTCATTACAGGTTTTCCTCTCGTTTCTGTCAATACCGACTTGTGAAGACGGGTTTGTGGCTGTAAACAAGCATGTTGCAGGCTGCGGTTCGTAAACGTAATCAGATGAGTGGCTATGACCCAGATAACCCGTTTCTGATTACTTTCAGGTGTATACAATTACTATCTCAGGAAAGTACAATGTCCAGGCTTGCGCTGTTTAATCCGCCACGGATAGCATCTATTTCTGTCTGGCACTCCTCGGTCACGACTCGTTCCCCTGTCTTTTCTCTCGTGTTCTCTGTTTCCATCATTGGCCACATAATGTTAGAACTTGTTCTACTCCATGCCAGTGATCGCCGCACCTACCGCTTGCTTGCTGTGTCTGCTGCTGGTCAGCGTGGATGTTCGATATTCATAGTTTTTCCCCCAGGGCAGTACTAAACAACAGGATGTACCTTCTCTTTCAAGTTCCGATGCAAGTGCAGTTTAGACTTTGCGTGCAACTTACTTATTTTGATTCTAGCATTACTGTCAACCTGTGTTGTGCTTGAGACTTGTTCGAGCGTATCATTAGCTGCGCATTCTTATCCCCATCTCGTTCTTTACCGATGGCAGGCTGTTGTACCTTCACGCGAGCAGGGCGAATCCATCTAGTCTACATCACCCGCATCTCTTATCAGCCACACTCTTCATCTCAGCACTCCTTCCGCATCGGTACCATTATACCTGTCCATTCCCTGCCGCTGGCGTTTTGACGCTCTGCATCAAAACCTTTTAGTCAGCGGTGGGAGAGTCTTATGGATGCCTCGTGGCATGGCCAATTTCATCTGTCCAATGGCCTCTGTCGGCACAGCTACAATTAAGATCCCTCTTTTAGTCTGTGCTCTACTTGTCGAAATTCATATAGAAAATGACTGACTGTTCCCTACAGTGCCTCCAGGAGGAAGGTTCGATACTATGATGTATTTCATTCCCAGCCGCCCAACATGGTGGGAATTGGTATAGAGCGCTCAAGGCGGATATGGGAGTACAGAGATATCATCCGGCGCTTGTTCTGTACTCCCATCATGGGAGTAAAGAACAAACACCGGATGCCATCTTTCCCCCCGCAGTAGATCCTGCTCTCTGCAAAACAACAGAATCACGAGAATAGCGTGATAGTTCCGTAGCATACTACGGAACCCAAGGACGACTCGTCGATAACTTGACTATCGTAATCGTGTCAAACAGGATCTAAGCTATCTACTGCCACATAGGATGGTGGCAGGCCGGTCCCGTTGCGGTCTGTCACTCTGATGCTTTGTGTTTCTTGGCGTCGAATTTCCGAGTTTCATAGTATATGACTCTTAGTCAGGGTGAGTTGGCTGCAGTGACAGCTGTATGTGACACCAATACTGATTGGGACTTTTATCAGCTATCTGCTTTGGCTCCCCGGCTCCCTGAAGCTCCTGCCGCTGTTATCCGGTTTTCAATTACTTATAGTACTATTATTATTGGTACTGTTTGGAAAGGGTCTCGCGGGGGCATTGTCATCTATATGTCATCGGTCTCCAACCAGTGATTATCTATCGCGGTCGTTTGGTCATTTACATTCTGGATTGTGCGTAACCTGATCTTCTCTGCAGAATTTCAACTCATATCTCCTCTTCCATTTTGGCCCCGCCCATGTTCACCCATTGTAATCTAACATAGCTTGGCACGCATGAAGTGTTTAACCCACCACATGTGCTGCCCAGTCAATTTGTATTTCTGAGCTATGTCACTTTGGCGCTGGGTTTCCTTCCCCGCTTTCTCAATCAATCATTGCGTTTCTGTTCAGCGTAATGTCATACACCTACCATCACTAGCACTCACTCTGCCTCGCGTTCAACCTTGACTTAATCAGTGCTTCCAGGTGCCGACATAGTTTGTAACGAAATAGTTTGTAACGAATGCCTTGTGTCAGTGATATTCATAGTATCCTTGACGCCATGGCCACCACATTTGCATATCAACATTTGCATAGTTAGTTAGTACTGCTAGTATCGGGCTCTTGGTTTCCGTTCTTTGTTGCTGACCGGTTCCTGCTCAGGTGGCAATAGGTGTAACCTAATGGTTTCTCATCAAATAGAACAATCAATTCGCGCAGACCCAGAGCTATTCCCACCATTCGTCCTTCGCTGTTTATATAGCTATGCGTCGGGTTGAAGCAAGTCCGACTCGGACCCGATTGTGGTTATTGTCTGTGATGATTCACAGAATCGGTATTGTTACAGGATGAACCATGATGCCGTGCGGAAGTCTATTGGGCGCTGGCTACTGTTCGATGGCCATTCTTTCCCTGGACACTTATCTCTACGCGTCGAAATCTTGGTTCCGAACTTAGTTCTGCTGATCATCGTGATCCTGACAAGGAAACGATGAACTTGCGAGTATTGGCTGCGTATCGCAGCATGAAGCCATCAGATGTAGTGTCACCTAAGCGCAGCAAGAAGATGCACAAAGCACAAACTCTTGAACGAGCGCATGGCATATGGGTGCTGCGTATGCCCACAACTTGAAAAGCCCTGATATCAATAGGCTGCGCATAGAAGATTTGTGAATAGTACCGTTTTGCTTATATATAGCACGACAGGCAATGGTGAGTACTACTTCCAAAACATATGCTTTGTCCTACTGGTAAAAATGTACTACTGATAACATATCCCAAAGTCACAGGAAACTTCTCGTTCATGGACTGGTTGACCCGTACATAGCACTTTGACTTTACGACGGGTATTACGGGACGGGGTATACTGCGGCTGGGTACAAAATCTTAGATGTCAAGACAAGGACAACCACGACAGGAGGCAAACGTTCAGACATCTCTTGTTTTAGCCTCCTCCGCATCCTCCCCCTCCTCCCCCTCCTCCACCCCCTCCTCCGCATCCACCACCACCACCCCCTCCTCCGCATCCTCCTCCTCCTCCTGCACCACCACCACCACATGCCCCCCCACTGCCTCCACAGGCAGCTCCACCTCCGCCACCCGCACAGGCACCCGAACCCCCTGATGCGCATCCACCTGCACCCTGTTATCAAGATCATAAGATTGGTCAAGAGGCCATGATCCCTCAAACTTCGTAAAACTCACAATAGCACAACCCCCAGCACCAATATCCCCTCCCATCACTGTACTACTCGCCGTCCCCACACAACCTCCCGCATAGTAGAAAAAGAGCGGCACAGGATATAGGAACGCCAGCTCGTGATTCGTATTACGTGTAAACCTCCCTTGGGAATCCCGCTGGCGTCTTACTACCGCTTTATGCTCCCTGCGTCTTCGTGCTGCGTAACTCCCGTCGGTGAGATGGAATGGGAAGACAGCATTGTGGTCGCTCGGGTGGGTACCTGCGAGTGCGGCTGGATCGGGGGGTGGTACGAGCAAAGTGTTGGGGTGGACTGAGATTTGCAGAAGTCGCTTGAGTTTTTGGCCAATGGTATCGCCTGGGAGAGGGCATCCGCAGTGCATGTAAGGTACACCATAACGATTCTAGGAGTAAGTAGGTTTTGAACACTGCAGCGCAAAATCGATGGGTGGAAGGCTTACCTGCCACGCGCGACAGGTCACATCAAAAGAGGTCGCTAGATGGTCTTCTTCAACTTTGTCATCGCTGGAAGACAATGGTCGATTTTAACATGGACTACTCCACATCAACGTCTGGGTGTTGCAAAAACTCACTGGTCGATGTATCGTCCAATGTACTTCAAGCATTCTCTCTGATACCGTGTCGCCATTAGTTGGTGACTGTGCCATGCGAGATCAATATCCAGCGTAGGCACGAAGAATGAAGCTGGAGAGCTGAACATCAAATTCAGGAATCTACATTCAATGATGTGTGAGATTCTGCGCTATCAAAAGTTTGAAACATGTAAAACGTACGCATGATATCTGGCAACACTATGGTGCAGGACTGCCTTGTCTGCTTCGTTGTCGAAGTAGGAAGGTTTGGTCCATTGGAGGTCGTACATCTTCTTAACGAAACTTCCTTGGCGGAGAACCTATATAGACCCAAATTTGTTCCGATGACAATGTCGATGTTGAAAAACTTACAGCTCCAACGAGATCAATTGAAAATATTCGGTCATCTGTGTAAGCGTGAAGAATCCGCGTCCATCTATTGTCTTAATTATCAGCACGATCCCAGCGAGGCGAGGCGAGAAGATTGAAACTCACAGTCTGCGACTTTGTATTGTAGTAGAGGTGCGTATTTTGAGCAGTTCCATAGAATATTGAACATTATCCATTATGGAGTGTTCCCAATCCGAAGTACGCTGGAGTCCGGCAGTAGCGCTGATGAGAACCCTCTTCTTGATTGATTCTGCGCGTGCGGTATCGGACTTTTTCGTTGGGGTGTGCAGCGATCCACTTTAAATAGAAAAGTCAGAATTGCTTAGTATCTGGTATCGGAAGCCCGAGCTTGGATAAAGATGATACGTACGCCAAGTAGGTATCTGGAGCCTCTGATTCTACAAGATTCCTTACAAACTTGTGAAGGCCCAGGTTCTCTTTGGTGATTTTAAACGAGCATCTACAATATATGCGAAACTTATGCTGGGCATAGCCATGTCCGTCAGCATCCATGAACGCTGTGCTCAAATCAGCTCTCTCGTGAAATCACAGTTGTGAATGGACCTTACGTGCTGAGAATATGTAACCACAATGTGGACATTCGATGGGCTTGTGAGAAAGAGTCACGACGGCGTCCAACGGGTCATATGGAGTCAAAGTTCGGGCCTGCCATGCTCGCACACGACCGGGGGTTGGATTAGTGGATACGAGCAAATAAGGATCAGCCTGATGGTATAATCAGAGTCCGTAGTGAACAAAGACGTAAATAGGAACTTACGAGAGACGTGAAGAAGATGTCGCTGAATTTAGCCAGGCATTTGAGCCGGGATATCCGGGCTGTGTCTTCTGCATACCAGCTTGGTTGGCCGATATCAGAGAGAAGGCTACAAATAGAAAATCCAAAGATCAAAACACTCACCAAGGATTAAGGAGATAAGCGTGCCACACCATTACAACATCAATAGGCGGCAAGGTGTCACGAATAGAATCTTCGCTCGTTAACGTCAGACACCAACGCTCGAAACTTATACCACGGCGTCAGATTCAGTCAAGAGAAACACAAAAGTTTATTGCTGAACACACACCGCTCGACCGCCAGTGAGACAAACCATCCCCATCTCCGTTCAGCATCCATCTCCCTCGTGATGCTCGGAAAACGAGTATCACTTCCATCCTCGACCGAGAGCCGCAGCGCATAAAAAGCGTTCAACAGTCGCAGGTGACCCTTCAAGTGACTTGGCCGGACGAAGAGGTAGGTCCTTATACCCGCTATCGTCCATGTGGATGGTAATGAGTATGGGGAGCCAGGAGCGAGGGCGTTTGCCTGGTCATCTGCTGGGGTATAAGGCGGTGGCAAGTCAAAGGTAGACTCTTTCATGACGACTGTAAAGTGGATTCGGAGTGAAGGGTTGCGTCGATAGCCCGGTTGCTTATAGGTGAGGTACCTACTTTTATTCTTGTAACGCTCTATGGCCGAAACTCTGACGGCGTCTATCATTAGTATGGCAATGCTGTAGCTGTCATGGCAGTGTGCCACTAACCTTCTGTACGGCTTTTCTCCACAAAACAAGCCCTAAAGTCGTTTGCTCCGAGCCATCAAGAAATACTGCCTACCAGCTGGGTGACGATAGTATAAGGGGACGTTCGAAATCAGAAATTCATGATATAAGAGACGTGTACAGCTTCCTGCCGCACAGCCTTGCAGAGTGCGTACTGCGAGGCTTTACCATGTGATAGTAATTTATATGACATACATACGTCCGCTACAGCCTCGGGGAGTCGTCACCTGTAATGAATGCGAACTGTGGATAAAGGATAGATAGCGTGTGCATACGTACGTACGTTGTGACGAAGGAAAACTGGCTACAATCTATCGAATGGTGTCCCTACAACCGCTGTCCACATTTTCTGTTAATGCCTTGCGATGGTTGCCTATCCATCCCGTCAGTTGCCTGCAGATTAGATTCGGTGTACTTACAAAATTCCGACTGCATATATGCGCGCACAGCTCTTGCGATTGCGAGTGTAGATTAGAGACCACCTCAGTGGAAAATCGAAGGGGCTTCAAGTATTCCTTATCGGATTCAGGTCGCTTGGCGCCAGGCCGATCAAGATAATGATACAAAAGGCGTCGAAAGGCGTTGAAGGCACTGGCATTTACTTCGTAAGTTGCCCTAGACGGATTGTCAGTCGCTTTTCACACGACGCACACACCTTAACTGGACAGCACTTGCAGCATTGGGTAATCCGAAGGATGTAGTTGGCATACATCTGTTAACCGTTATAAATTGGAAGCGAGTTCGTTAGTGTTGTACCTATATCAGCTGAGAACGCGTTGCATTCTCAGACGACATGAGTACGAGACTGTCGATATCGCCTTGTTCGAAGTTTGAAGAGCTTCAGGGATACGAGTTTCGGCATATCGGCGATACGCACATCGACTGTATAGTTTACGTAACCCAATAGCCATATATAAACGACCCTCTTTGTTCAGGAAAGCCTTAACGCAAAAATCCACAGGTCAGTTCGTTGTTAATGTTTTGATCGTTCATTGTACTCATCGTTTCTGCATAGCCTATCAAAGCATCTCGACGATGACTCGCCCGCCTGCTTGCAGGACTGGAGTGGATCGAGGACCTTGAGACCGTCATATTAGGCTGGAGAATCAGAAGACCATTCGTGGTTGTGAACGATGGGACTTGGGTGCGGCGCATCCGTGCTTTTAGATGGGAGCTCAGCAATGGGATCCCAGCGGTTGACCCTTCGTGGTCGCCGTTTGGGTTGTGTCGCAATGTCCCGTTGTACATTCATTTTCGTGTTTTGTAGTATTTGAGAATATTGATTGATTTTCATCGTTCAAAGAGTAATGTTTGCGAGCGGTGTCTTAATTTTGAAGTGAAAATTTGTGAATCATGATTTGGAGTAAAAGTTAATCCCAAAAACTTTCTCATCACCCTCTAAGTACGCTGTGATGCTTATTACTTCCTGTCGTTGATATACGTTGATATGTTATGGTACAGGTCAAGACGATGCTGTTGTGAGGACATGAAATCTGAACGTATCAGAGCATGTACAAAGATATCTGAACTGATGAGGAATTCAATATGTACTACAAGAACCCAAAAACTAAATATTAATGGCGATGGACCCATAGTGTAACAACAAACCACTGCAATAATAGCTCAAGTCGTCTTTCCTTTCCCCTTTCCTTTCCCCTTCCCCTTCTTCCCAACACGCATCAAAAGCCTCCTTGCCCTACGATATTCTTCATCCTCCTCGCTCGAATCCTCCCAAACGTCCTTTTCCTCGGACGTTCGCCCATCACGTGTCTCCCCGCCTTTCTCACCATTGCCATTGGGCCCCCACGGTGCATATCGCCCACCCTTCCCAGCTTTCTCATCGTCATCGTCATCATCTTCGTCATCCAATGCAGGTGGAGTAGGCGAAAACGTAGGCTGCAGGGACACGCGCACGCTCTTCCTTCGCGGAAGCTGGGTCTCGGTTGAAGTCGATGCGGTCGATGCTGTACCTTCATGGTCGTGCGGGGGCGGCGGGGGCGGCACATCATTAGCATCTTCAAAGCTCTCCCGTCCCGTGGCATAAGACGAGATCGAGTTGGTGTCAGAATCAGCCACTTTCGTACGTGACGCCGATATTTGTGGTGGTGGACCTCCGTTTGCAACCTGTCTCTCCGGTGTCCTCCCGCGACGTTGTTCTCCAGGCTCCTCCTGAGCACTCCTTCTGTGTATTATTTGGTCAGGTACAGGTGAAGGCGTACGGCTGGGGTTCTTCAACGCAGAACGTAAAGGTGATTTTGCAGGCCTCGATGCGCCGCGGATAATACTGGATGTTCCTGGCGTCAGTAATTGGCCATTCGATGCAGCTGAAATAGGCTGAGGATGCTGCAATGGTGGAGGTTCAGTACTGGATGCTGGAATGACAGATCCTGGTGCACGAGGAATATCCATTATTGGTGCCTTTGAGGACCCATTTCCATTGACCATGTTATCCTTGACATCTAGTCCAGTAGACCTGTTCACAGGGACACCAGGCGAGGGAGCTTTGGGCACTTCCAGTTTAACCCCGGACGAATTCTGAGGTCGACTCGCGCCAGCTGCAGTCCTCAATACGTTTGAGGGTGGGACACCATAGCTAGCACTCCATCCTTCTCTGTTCTGACGTGTGACGTTCTCCACTATGCTCATCAGGCTCGTGTCCTTGGAACTACCGTTGGCTGACAGGTACTGATTAGTGTGGGTAGAACCAGATTTTTGCTTTTGCTTGCCTTTCCCTCTGGGGGTTGGTGTCGAACCAGACTCTGAAAGAGCCTTGTTCGCACGTGGTGTTGGAGAACCATATGTATCAGACGATGCGCGACGAGGGGTGGTATCCTTCCCAGTACTAGTATCCCAAATCCTTTCGTGGTCATTCGCACTAACCATAATCGTGTCCGTCGTGGACCTTCTCTGGCGTGCTTTAGTAGATGACGGATTTGACATGGGCGGGGCAGACATGATGCTCCCACGCGAAAGGGACGATGAGCGCGACAGCGAGGTTTCCCCAGCAGGAGGTTGATATGTCTTTCCATGCGGTACAGGAGAAACCGAACGCACCAGCGCAGGCCGCATAGCTGATTTCTCCGTATCGGTCTGCGACTTCTTCCTCGTTATAACCGGCACCACTGTCTCATCGACGTGTTCAACTTCACCGTCTGTGGCAGCTTGCCCATTTCCTCGTCCTTTCCCTTTCCCGTTCGCACCGCCACTTTTTCTGCGTTTAACAGTTCCACGAGGTGTCGATGGACTAGGATTATCACTCTCCCACCCAGGCCTCACCGGAGTAGGTGTGGTAGGTGATCGACCTCGTCCTTTCCTCAACTTTCCACCGCCACCCACTGTAGGCGGAGAACTAGAGGTAGACAGACGGGTGACAAGCGCTGGCCTTGTTACAGGCTCACGTTCCGAATCAGAGCTGTCGCCGCCGTCTTTACGATTAGCTTTCAAATTGGCGTCCGTGCGTGTTGCCCATTTTCCTTTGCCCTTCTTCCGCCCTATGCCAAAAGGGACTTCAGGTTCTGGGATATCTGCCTTGTCTTTCTCCTTGTGAGTTGATTTGAATAAACCACGAATAGATCCAAATATTCCAATTGACGAGGCCTTACGCTCTCGCTGCTTGCCTTGCGCACTACCCCATGTATGAGAGCCTTTGATTTCTCCTATAGAAGCATGTTCAATATTCTTGTCAAAGCTCAATCAGAAAGCAAATTTCCGACCTTCGCCTGATGATCCTCTTGTGCGCGCGAAAGGTTGATTTTCGACGACCGCAATTGGGCCCTGTTCCTCTTCGCTGCTATCGTCTCTCCTACCTCCGTCTCTTGCAAACGAAAATGAAGGTCCAGAACTAAACTGCTCTAGTGGGCTGTCCTCCTCCTCTTCCTCAGTGATTCTTCTAGACAAGGGCCTCCGTTTCTGTGTACTTCGCCTCCGTCGAGTTCCAGCACTGCCACCTTGCCCCGAGTCTCCACTGAGATCGAGGGTGGTTCCTTCCCTATGTGGTGTAGCATGGATAGAAGCCGACGGAGAAGAAACGCCAGTTGGCATAGCCAGTTCTGAAATAGCGTGAGCGGCTGGAATATTTAACGTCACCTCTCGCTGTTCATCATTTTCCTGGTTTTCCGTATAGTGCTGCGGCTCTTGTTGATGGCGCCTCTCACCTTCACGACCGGTATCATGATCATCCTCGTGCATTTGTTGAGAAACGCTTTGAGATGGTGTGAGAGAGGAAATGTCGGACGCGTACGAGGTCTGGGTGGGATTTGGTGGGAGAGCGGGTAATGGGAGAGGCTTGTTTTGGTCTGGCTGGAAGGAAGGAGACGGAGATGCGGATGATGGAAATGGCGTTGAAAAAGGCTGATGAGAATGAGCTGGATAAAATTTCGATTAGTACAATAATGTAAACATGTAACTGAAAGCTAGAGAAAGCAGTACGACGACAAAAACCAGACAAGAGCATTCGCCGAGATGAAAGTTCGGCCGCATCAAAATAAACCAGACTCACCGTGCCCATTGCCCGTATCACCTCCCTCCGTCCTTCCCATCAAATCTAGTAATCGCAAGCCTTCCTTGCCCATCTCGCCCCACACCCAACCGCAATCTAAAAGCGCTTTGCACCTAGCGCCCAATCCCTCGCGCACAACCTCAACCCGCTTTGTTTCTAACTCTTGTTCCTTAGCTGCGAGATGAGCTTCGCATGCTTGTAGTTCTACCTGTGCTTGTGATAGCTTCGTGTTTGTCGCGCCAGGAAGGGAGGAAGAAGAGGGTAGAGAGGACATGGAGCCTGAAGACGAGATTGCATTGAGATTCGAGGAATTTGAAGGGTCGCGTGGGTGTCTATTGGACTTGGATGATGCCTTGATGAGGCGTGTCACGCTATAGGGAAGTGACTAGTGAATAAGTAGCATAGATGAAACAAAACGAAAAACGACTTGCAGAATCTCGCGATCACGCAATACAGCTCCTACATCCTCTTCCAGATCTTTCAAGCCAGCCAGTTCTTCACGCCATCTCTCAACAGCTTGTGTATACCGATGTAAAGCGTCATCTGAGCTCGCGAGGACCTCGACAAGGGCTGTAAGTGTCTGCGAGGGCGATACTGACGACTGATGAGAACCGGACGATGGTGAGGCTATGGCATATGCAGAAAGAGACGTAAGAGCCGCATGAGAAAGCGGGAAGAGAGCGAAGAGGTGTTTAATGTAGTCTTTTTCGTGATGGATAAGGTTGGTTAAGAGACGCGAGTCGGGTGGGCGGTGGACCATATGTTGAGCTCACCGCGCAGGGTGGCGTGAACGTGTGTGTGCGATGGAGTGGACGACGACGAAAGGGCGTTGCTCGCTGTAGAAGACGATGAGGGAGAGGAGGAAAAGTGAGGAGAGCGGGTTGTGCCTCAGGATGTCATTTCCGAGTCCGATCTCTGCACGGCTAGTTATGTAAACAGTGCAGGACCCGAATTGGGTAATCAAGTTGGATGAAAGTGGAGCCTCGTCATATCCTCGCGGCACCACAGCCAAAACGTACTTGCACTGGTCTAATCGCACGATAAAATACAGATATTCATTCAAAAACCATGAGGATAACGGCGTACATAGAACGTGCCGGGAAACATAGCAATTGACCTGGCTAGAACGTGTTTTCTCGAGCAGACATTGGCAGACGCCATCTTGGCGATTGTATTTCCGAGTCGACCGCAAAACCTCGGATGAACCATTAATATCAAGGTATTTAATGCAGTTCAGATCAATAACTAGCAGCACGGTTTTTAAAACACGAGTTCTGATGAGAGAAAGGCATGGTAGAACAGACGTCATCAGATAAAATGAGCTTCAAGAAGACCTCGCTGTTCGCGCCTTACAATCAAACTGAGAGATTCCATGGATCCAATAATTTATCACCAGTATAACTTAGAATATTACAACAGACCAACACGAGAGAAGATATTGACATATGAACCATCGCGGAGCTCTGCCGTCTTTTTCAACTTCGACGCCACTCCGTCCCATCCTGAGAGCGGTAACAGCCTCTTACTTCCTCTTGGGGATGTTGGAGGTGGTGCCAGGGCAGAGGGTGAGGGTGAGGGCAGGGTTGCCGCAAGTGAAGTCAACGTTGTCAGCAGGGGTGTAGCCAGCTAAAGACCAGTGGTCAGATCACTTGATACAGCACTCGGGAAAGAAGAATAACTAACCAGCGCCATCGTTGTCGGGGAAAGCGTAGGCGTTGGTGCAAGTGTTGTAGTAGAAGGGGCTGTTGGGGCCAGGGCCAGCGTTGTTGGTGCATCCTCCTCCACTAGCGGGGAGAGCACCACCGCTGCAGGCCGACGAAGACGAGCAGCAGGGGGAGAAGCAGGTACCGGATCCCGGTCCAGGGACGGGCTAATAATGTTATGGTCAGTAACTTTGAATATGCGTGCGCGGAAATATAAACTTACGCATCCAGAGGAGATGGTGCAAGCGTAAGCGTCACAGGTGGTGTCAGCGGAGGAGATCTCCATTCCGACGTTGTAACCGTAGATCAAAGAAATGTCGTAGGTCACGCTTCCTGGAACAGCGTACTGTAGAGAGGTTGTCAGAGAAGTCGAGGAGTGAGGTACAATCTGAGACTTACGAAGTTGAACTCAGCCCTGGAGTAGGGAGTAGTACCGTCCCAAGTGGGGCCACCAGTGGTGCAAGTTAAACCGTCGCTCGAGCAACCAGTACCTGTGAGATTATTAGTGAGATCCCAGCCCAAACACACAAAGTCAAGTAAGAGCTACATACCGACGTTGACGGCACCGTCCCAGTTGGTGCTGATGCCCAAGTCAGAGCTGGCACCGGCAGCAACGACAACATTGTTGTCAATGGTACCGAAGCTGGTCTGAGTGAAGATGAAGACATCCTCAGTACACTTGTTGATGAGGTTCAACGACTGGGCGTTGGCCGCAGTGGCGAGAGCAGCAACAGCGAGGAGAGAGAGAGCAGCCATTGGTATGATTGTTCGTGAGAGGTTCTGATGTAGAATGAGGACTTTGGGACGTGATATGGCGAGCTTTTATACTGTATTCTGCTCTACGCTTTGGTGTGCATTGCACGGCGGACTCTGGGGATTCTGGGGTTGCCCATGGCAGCCAGTAGAGAGGAAAGATGCAGTGCACATGTCTGTGCCCCGCTTGTCGGCCTGATCGTTCTCTGTAACCTGGTAAAAATAAACACTTCGATAGCGAGAAATATTGATGGTCCAAACGCAATGAGACTGATACATTCGAGAGTGGAGTAAAAAGGCGGTTGGGTGATACGGTAACTGAGATTCTGCTCCACCCCACATACGCTCCAAAGACATCACGTGCGGATAATCTGAGCTTAGTCATCGACGATGCTCTGTGTCCGATCACAAATCACGCGTCAAAGCACAAGCCAGTGGAGCAGTCCAGCGTCGCGAGCAGGAACACTGCAGGAAGTGCCAGGAACATGTTAAAATCTGTATTCGATGCCGTAGACACATCCTCTTCCAATTTGACAAGTTTCTCATGAATCTATTCTATTTTTGCATCACTGTAAGCTAAAAATGAGGGTGCAAACTTCAACGGATCAATACGTGATGCCCATCCAGCTAGCTTTCAAAAGTTAGCTGAAATGAAATGAACACTCACAATGGTTGAAAGCCTATAGTATGTTGGTCTCGATCGAAAGTCGACTCTCGAGAGTCGTCGTGGAGCTCGAGGAGACTCAAGGAAACTTGGCAGAGTGATCGTGTCTCTCAACGTCATAACGCCAAACGCTCGCTAAGCCCCGGTGCATTTATTGTAACCGGCCGTGCAACTGTCGGATCAACAACACTAGCACTGTAATCTGTTGGTAAGTCATGGCGGCATCATTTGAGACTCTATTTCTGAGCTACTTTCCAGCCAATGCCAGCTCACAATGTCAATGCCAGAATATGTCATGCGTGATCATCATGGCATGAGCCGCAAAGAACCTCGTTACACGGCGTTATTTTCCGATGAGTTGCGCACGACGCACCGCGAATCATTCGACTCGGACTATCGAATTATCCAGTGTGATTGCTGATGTGACTGGCGTATATTGTACATGTCTGGAACGCAGTCAACATACGAGGCGGACGAATAGGACAAAAGCAATCAAGAAAGTGAAGGTGATAAGGAATATAGCAGCGACACGGGCCTAGAAAGCCTTTAGAAGCGGTACAGAAGTCAGTTTACATGTTAGGCTACAATGAGACAACGGAAACGATGGAATCAACCCGAGATATGCGGTGAACAACCGCCACGCATGACATACGGAACACTAAACATCGATGGTATCTCAACTCATTTATCTTCCACTGAATCCATCTGTAGCAAACGGTCATTAGCACTGAATATTCCGACTTTGCGCAGATTTACTAACCACGGTCACTTTCTCCCTGATTTCGGGGTATATCCTCCGCTGTCTATTGAAATGACTTCACCAAGAGTTAGAGTATGCATCTGATGATAAAGCCTTATCGTATTATCATTATCAAACTTACTTGATCAACCAGTCCATCGTGTCTTTACCAGCTTTTTTGCCTCTGAGCTGGATTACCTCCTCCACACGTTCGAGAAGATCCCTAGATAGAGAGTCGACAAAGCTGATCGCACTGACACCGTCCTCAGGAATCCACAAGGCCCGAAGGACAAAAGCATCGGTGTACCTTGGATCCCTTAGTGACAGTGCGTCTGTGGTGCGTCGACAGTGAATTGCGGCCATACCGACAGTATCACCGACGACTGAAAGAGGTAAAGTGTATGTGCGCACGAGATGGACAAACTTGGGATGTTTTGTCACACCAGGCAAACTCGAAGAAGCACGCGCACGAGGAGTTTTGTAACCCGGTCGTGCTGGCGCTACATCGTCATAATGATCGTCTGAGGTGATAGGTACCAGGCGAGCTACAAGCATGACGCAGAACTTGTCTGCATTTTCAGGGTGGTTTGTAAGGTCCAAGGCAGCGACAAGGACGGGTACAAGAGAAGATGATATGGTTTTGTCTCCACGAAGGTGCTCGACGAATTTAATCAGAGGGTGACGTTGTAGGACAGGCTTTCCATTTTGTATGAATAGGCAGGATGTCTTATGTGATGGCCTGTAACGACTTTGTCAGTGTTGCACATATAGGAACGAAGCACCATTCAGAAAAAGACCTCACCAATGTGCTTTTTGACACTAAACGTGGAATATCAGCGATCCCGACGAGGGAGTAGCACAAAGTTGGCATACTTTCTTAGAGCAATAACCGACAACCTTACACTGGCCATGAGGACGCCACGATGTGGTAGGTTACAATATAAGGTACATATCCTTGAGTGGATAATGTACAGTACTCACTCCGCTACAGACTTTGTACTCATCGGGGTCTCTGAGGGCCCTACATTTTGAACATTCGAGTTTAAGAAACTTCTTGGAATCTGAGGGCATTTGGACTTGTATATGACGTCAATTATCGGCTATTCTTTTGAAGTTGCTGAGCACTACAATGTGCTATGGTATATGCTTGCTCTTTCAGATAAGATTTATGTGTGTTTTAGTGAGGGTATGGCAGAAAAAACAGACGACAAAACTTGGAAATGTGCGAGCCCTATTCATGGGCGCTCTAAAGAAGCATGGCAGACACGCTGTCTGTTCTATGGTTTGCCACAACAGGGCCATATTGGGTAACAGTCACGTGCTGTGTGACTGTGATAAGATCGAGGGTGTACTATTCCACGCATTCACAAATCACATTAGCGATCGAACCGTGACTCCGTAAAAGTTGTGGTTTGTATAAAGGATTCAAAGTGAACGTTTATCCATTCTGCACTTTAGAAATGGCACACGGACACCGCTTCCGTCTCAAAAATTGGCTTCGTGGTAGAACACGCACCTTGCGATCAATAAACATGAGCCGATAACTGTAATCGAGCCACTCCGAACTCAACTTCACAGAATGGCTTCTCATTGTGGTACATTTTCTGCTTGCTTTTCCTTTCATCTCGTGTCTAATCTTCTCTATCTTCGCACATATTCAGTCTGCATTAACGTTCGCGCTTTTGTCCCGCTTTGTCGTGGAAAGTCGCGTCCCATTATCCCGCTTTGTCGTGGACAGTCGCGTCCCATTATCTTGACGCTTTCTCAAAGCGCTCATACTATAAAACCAAAGGTGATTTCTCCCTTCAGACACCATCACTCACCGCTCATCACCGCTTCTCCACACTTCTCTCTCAATCCCATTCCATCTAATCAAAACTCATCAACACACTTACAATGTCCAACTATATCAACCCTCTCCACCCTCCCATTCCCTCCGCCGCTCACTCCTCCTACACCGCCCTAGCCAACGCCTGCCCCCAAACGCTCCCCCTTCAACCTCCCTTCGGTCCCATCCTCCCCACCGTCCGTCGCCTCCCCCAGACTCCATGGACTCCCCACTCCAAATGGAATGCCACCATGTCCCGCAGCAAACCTTCGCAGCCGATCATGTTCGACCTTTTTGGTGCACGGAGCATGGGACTCGGAGTGCCCATGCGCGAAATGTCAACTAGGAGTGCCAACGCGATCGAACAAATGATCGTAGGTGCGAGGGATAATGTAGCTGCACTGATGGCTGGCTCGGGCGGCACTCGCAAGATTCGTTTCCGCATTATGGTAAGTCTCAACCATCCACCCCATTTCTTCTTTCTTTCATGCTGACGACACCCACTCAGTGGCCTGGATACGAGCATCTCGACTTCAATCGCACCATCGAGTTGTGCACTCAGAACGGGCCCATCACACGCGGTCAGATTGTTTCGCAAATCTCGAGCATGTTTGCTCGCTTTCTTGAGGTTTGTGTTTCGCTATCGTATTCTGTAATTTATCGGATACTTATACCCTTTTCCCCACCAATCAGAGGCTGCCAAGCGAGGCTCCAGGACCACACGGTCAAGAATGGCGTACTGGACCCCCTGGAAGGGGCATCAGCTACGACCGCCTTATCCTCGTTGCTCTCTGGAACGTTTTCGAGGACACTTGGATGGCCGAAGTCCTCGTTGACGTCCGGTAAAAGCAGCACGAACGAAAAACATTTTGTATCATTGGATCATCGCATATGTTCCTTGTTCATAATTGACTCTGCAATCATCTGGCTGTATTACTAGTAACTTTCTCCTCTCTTCTTTCTTGGATTTCTTGGTGCTATCAGCATATTATTTTATCTCATGTATCCTTAATACCATATTCCAGCATCCTCATTATCCTCTAACCCACTTCGTTATATATACCCTGTAGATAATTTCCATCTATCTAATAGAATGATATTTGTTTCTTACATCTTAACTAAACTTGTCAAAGCTCCTGCAATAACTGATGTCCTCGGTGAAAAAATTCTACATATACATTCAATCATCTATAACATATAACCAAGCACAACAGAATCCGGGTACATCTAATCATTGTTTGAATGCGTTCCATGCTTCATTGAGTGCTCCAAACACGCCATTCGCGATCATCCTTTGCTCTAGCGTAGTATTATTGACATTAAGCTATGCACGCATCAGCAACGAGTCGATCAATTAGTTATCAGTAGAACTCACCTTATCGGGATGTAGCTTCGCAATAGCCTTGGTATACCTAATCTTAACCTGTGACGGACTGACAAGATCTGCCATTCCAACCTTCTGCCACCCTAGCTCGGGCCACAGCACATTGTCTAGGCTGGCCACAAGAGCCCTTATGTTCGTCTCTTTGCCTCCTTTCCAAGCCAGTAAACGACCATCAACGCTGTCCTTCAACTCATGTCTAGCTTGATCTTCAGCATCCGCTGCATCGTTAGCTTCCCTCAGCTTGTTAAGAGCTTGTGACGGTGGCGACGGACGCCTACTCAGTGCAGGTGGTTTTCGCTGCACAGGTGGTGGACGAGGCTTGGGTGGCGCTGAAGAAGCACCTGCTTCAGAACTAGCGCTTGCCATCTTCCGACACCTCCCAGCTCCCCTTACAGCCTCATTTCGTACATTAGCAGCAGCCCATTCAGCCCCAGCTACAGACTCCCAGTCCTTCTGCGCCAGCTCCCACTTTTCTCGACCTTCATAAGCCTCAGCGCGTCGCTTCCAGGCCTTCACGAGGCCGTCAGCGAGATCTGCCCCTGAACCATCTTCCTCCCGCACAACTTTCGCCTCTCGAGCGGGATGATACGATACGCCGATGATCTTGATGACAGCGGAACAGTCGTCGACAGCAGCCGTGTGATTTCCTGTTTTCAGGCGGGTCAAGGCTCGGTTGTTGTACAGTGGAACAAGCAAGAGATGCGAGTGAGGAAGGGCAGCAATGGCGGCAGAGTAAGCAATTTCTGCATCGGCATACTGCCCAAGTTTATATTTCTCCGTTCCGGTTAATTTATGTTTGTTAGATGCGGTGATAGCAGAGAGAGATGCTGAGACGGTCTGCCTCTGTACAAGTTGGATGGGAGAAGGTGCTCGAGCAGGAACTGAGGATGGACCAGACTGCACGATTTCAGCTTTGGGTCGGCCACGACGGAAAGGTGACTTGTACGCGACGGGAGCGTCTACCGACAGCGACAGTAGATCATTTTCTTTGGGCTGTGGCTGGCGGCTAGGCTCAACATTCGGTCTTCTCGATGGTTTCGGCGGCAGAACATCAGCAGAAGCACCCTCGCGATCTCTTCTCCTAGAATCATCATCATCATCATCATCATCTCTAAATGAAGCTTCCTGCATCCACCGAGGTCTCCCATCTTGCGCCTGAGGTGAACTGGCACCTTTCGCCGCAGCCGCTCGTTCTTCGTACAGCTTCTGTGCTTTCTCTTTACCGTCTTTCCAGAGGGCATTGGCGCGATTGAATAAGCTTATCCCGATTTCGTTCGCTTGTGCAATTAGTTTATCAGCTTGTTCTTTGAGGTCACCATCTTGTTGCTGGGACTCGGAGGGCGATGAAGTTTCACGAGGACGCTGGGCATGTGCTTGAGGCCGAGTCCGAGCACCTTGACGTCGTCGCGACTCAGAAGAATGATCTATATCGCGCTCGCGACCTGGGACTGGGCGTCGATTCGAAGGCGGTTCTGAACCTGCACCATTAGATAACAGTGTTTCCAAGGCAGCCTGGACATCCAGTCCAGTGTCAGTAGCGGCGAGGGCGACGCGCGCTTGTTGCGGAGAAAAACCCATCTCTACTATTTGGCCAATAATGTGAGGTGGCGGAGAGACAGGCCTGGAGGATTGGCCAGATGTAAGGGGACGGGGAGAAGGCGTCGCTCTGTTAGAGTGGTCCTGGCATCCTCGTCGATTAGTTGGTAGCGCCACGAGCAATAGTGTCACAACAACATACATGCGAATATATATTTTTTGCCACTTTATCGATGGGTTTGCTTAGGTCACCCAAGATGTCATCTCCATGGTCTGAATCATTATCTAGCAACCCATCTTCTCTGTTACCAAAGTCGAAATCACCAGGAGAGTCCGAACGTGAAAGAAATTTGTGTGCGGGGGCTTGCAAGGGAGACACAGACTCGGAGGTAAAATCATCTATATCCCATATAGACTGGGATGGTTGACTGCGGGTAGGAGGTTTCGTAGTGGGCTGGGGTGAAGACAAACCACCAAGATCCCAGTCGTCGTTATGAACGGGTGTGGCTATCAGAGAAGGTTTAGTATCGGCCTTCGGCGCAGATGAAAACCCCAAGTCCCAGTCATCTTCTAGACTGCTGCCAGAAATCGCCAGCGATGGCTGTTTATTTGACATGGACTGACCGAGCGAATCAATTCCAGCCCAGGTTGATGAATGGGATTGTCTTTGGCTTTGGGCTGCATTGATAGTCCGTTGATACTGCTGCGACTTCGCTCTCTCGACCATTGCAGCGCGTTCAGCGATAGTCATATTCGCACCACCATTTCCCAGCCCTTTACCCAATGACCCCGACAACAACCCACTGAAAGCATCGCCATTGCTCTTGCTTGCGTTTGTAGCCTGCGTTGCCTGTACTGATCTATTACTTTGGGCTGGGCTGGAGACTGCGGGAGACTGTATTCGAGAAGAAGGCTGAGAACCGGATGAAGCTAGCAAAGAAAAGACATCGTTTTGAGGGCGGCGAGGGTTGGTATTTTGTGGAGATATAGCGCCAAGTTTTTGCGGCTGGGTTGGTTTTGTAGGCGCAGATGAGTTCCAAAGGTCAGCGAAAGAATCAGACATAACTAGTGAAACCGTGTCGACTAGCTATTCGAGACGACGATCCTGAGTGTTGATAGTCACGGTAAGCAACTAGATATTTACTATGGAATGTAGAGCATAAGATGCGCCAAAGATAAAGGAACCGCTGCAAGGTAGAGGTTAGAAAGAAAATGCCTGAAGTTGTTGTGAATCCTTCGTAACAAGCAATACCGCAGCAGAGGACAAGACCGCAATAAATTTGAGTGAGCAAAACGAAGCTAGTTTGGACCGCACTGATACTCAGGTTAGGGTTCCGCCTTTCAGACAGACTAAGACTTGGAGTTGGATTCGTTACCATGGCCATTCCCCATATTCTATCCACCTATCCTCACTCTACACAAGCCGTTGGAACAGCCATAATAATGGTGTCTTTATGATCTGATCTGATCCTTTCATTTCGCCACGCAAGCAAGTCGAGAGGCTCTTAATGGAGGATATTCATTCTATAGCCTCACAACGATAATAACCAGACCAAAGCAAGGTCAAGAGATCTGTCCTAGGAGTTGTGCCACTCGAGGGACGCGGAATATGACGAGGTGCCCATGACCTGATTCAGAGTGCAGTTGGCAACAAATTGCGCGTTCTGGGGCGAAGAAAGCATGGTCGCCGACATTCGGGTTGGCACTGTCGGGCTGAGGAGTAGCCCTTGGGCTGTTGCTGTGCTCTGTCCTCGCCACCAAAGTACGGCGTTAGTGAAGTGTCAAAACACAAGTTATTTACTTGTGGCACTATCGTTGTTGAACGTTGGTTGAATTGCCGTGCTATTGCAGGACTATCTGATATCGAACACCATACTAATGTAGCAGTTATTATTTGCTTGGCTGAAGTGGACTGCATAGACTTGGAGAATAGAGGATGAAGGACAAGTATTAGAATACTGATTAGGTGGTTAGGTAAGTTTCTCCCCAGTATTTTATCTTGTCTGAGACTCACCATATCTTAATTTTCATAGTGTTGATGTCACTCAGAATTGACTGGGTATCGTATATCGATTGGTCTTCTCGTCGATGGACGCAAGCGCTAAACGTCATTCGACTCCCATACATATCAGCGATACGTCCCACTCCATGTACAGTCCTGTCGTGTAGTTAGCTCCGTAGTTTACGTCTACATGAGGTATCCTCCGGCACACCTCCTTCCCACTCCAAGACACAAGAGATGCAGAATTGCTACCTTCACCGGAGGAAGAATCCCAAATTTAAAAATGACCAGTGAAATGGAGCCTTTTGACGGCGACTGCGTCAAAACACTACTTCTGCTAGGTAAGTGAGTTGTGGTATCGTGTATTGAGTCCAGCGCGTTGAGATTAGCCATTTATTTGACAGGACGCCTCCCCTGTATCAACTTAACTTGCAATTGTATCGTATGCTGAATGGTTAAGAAGCTTTGAATCCACAACCCGAGATTCGCAGAATGCTATAAGGAGTCTACATTCCATCAATCATCAGGCCAGGCCAGAACAACAGCCTGGTAGAGTCACGCTATCTGTTCTTCTACTTGATAGCAGACAGTTGACAGCGCCATGGAAACTACGCATTCCGGAACTTACCGGTCCCTTAGGTGAATGAACACAGCACTTGCTGGATTTGGCCATCCTAAGCCTCCAGTCACCACTTCACTGCCGAGTCGTTGTAGCTTCTTTCCCCGCCGTCCGCAATGTTCCACCAAAGCCATAATCCAGGTTGTACCAACCAAGCCGAAAGAAACATCAGCAAGTGTGCGAGTCCGGTGTCTTCACGTCACACCTAGATCAGACCTTTACGCCAAGAGAAGAGATAACGAGCTGTGGCCATGTGATGTCCGAATGTCTAGGGGAATTACAGTATGTCTTTCTATAGAAACTTAATCATATTCATTCCATAGAGATATCTGATCCAGATACATGTAAGATACATGTACAAAGTTCTGGCTGCGTATATCAATGCAGATTCAAAAGTTTTATGGCATTCTACAAGCTGTCACGGTCCTTCTCCCAACTGGCCCAATGGTCGGCATCTACATCTGTCGTCTTTGGGACCATTCAATAACGCTCGAAAACCTTTCCTCCGATCATCATTGGGTTCGAGACCCGACCATTGCATATTCCACGATTACACACAAATGTTTACACGGTCAGGAGGGCGGCCATCATTCGTAACATTGGATCATTGGATAAAATGTCTTTACATTCACGTCACCTTTCTTAACTGGCCGTTGCATTGCTGCAAGCAGGAACAGGTGAGGCTGTTTTGTCTGTCAATGTCAGTAAATGCGAGATCAAAGGACTCTGGAAGGGTACAGCTATCTTATCCTATCACTGACATTTCCAACAACTACTGTCACATTGCAAGCAAGAGCGCCGTTCTTTACCACTAGCCTGCGCCACCTAGCGGAACCCTGAGGTAAGTTCTGATTAGTGTCACGATGGATTCTAGATGGACATACACTTCAGCTTCAAATTCTATCACCACACATATTCGCTCTCAAGTTACGCCCATGTCTTTCCTCCCAAGGATGGAATCCGGAAATATATATATATAGGCAAGGTTTCGTCGAACTTTTTGACACCCATCTTGACGTTTACATCCTTTCCGAGTACAGAAGAACATGCATTTCCAAGTCACTAAACTCGAAGACTGGGCTCAGTCCGATGAATACCACAACTCCTTTCTAATTCGCGAGGACGCGACGCTGGAACACGCTCTCCAGACCAGTGTCCAGAATGATTTACCGGACAGGGCTGTAACGGCCGCCCAGGGAAAGTACTTGAAGCTCCTCATACAGTCGCTGGGAGCTAAGAGGATACTGGAAGTGGGGACTCTTGGGGGGTGAGTCAACCACATATTTCTACTTGAACTGTCACTCACGATATCTGCATGCGCAGATACTCCACAATATGGCTCGCTCAAGGACTGCCTGACGATGGGGAACTCATTACTCTTGAGCTGTCGGAGAAATTTGCGCAGGTATGTACCTGCATATAATTAATAATGGCAAAAGTCATATCGATAACTTACTGTCGCACCAATTGCGCTAGGTGGCGCAGGAAAACATTGACCACGCTGCCCTTTCTTCCAAAGTGAAAATTGTCATCGGAGATGCTACTCAGACTATGAAAGAATTAGGCCCTGCGGAGTCCTTTGATCTCGCGTTCATAGACGCTGATAAACCGAACAACCTTACCTATTTCCAGGAATCTAAACGCCTTGTTAAGAAGGGTGGAGTCATCGTAAGTCAATTATCCTTTGTATTGACTGGTGTCGATTCTGAGAGCAAAAATTTCACGGCGTTCAGATCGTTGATAATGTCGTTCGCAACGGAAAAGTTGCGGACCCGACTTACTCAGATGAGCCCGTAGAAGGCATCCGAAAATTGCTGAAGAATCTTAAAGGCGACACAAGCGTTGATGCTACCACTATTGGGACAGTCGGAGAGAAGGGCTATGATGGCTTTTTATACGCCATAAACCTTTGAACCTGCATTATCACCTATAGCTAAAATATCAATCTTGTACGTGTATCTGGATTGGGTATCACTATAAATTAGGATTATGGGCTTGCTGGCAAGTTGCTGTCATAGAAATACAAATGCAAGTTGAGCCGTTGCTTCAGATAATTTTCGAGTTTAATGAGGCAAATATGATCAGGCCTACATCTGCGGAAAAGTGCCCCGCCAAAACTGTTATTAGAGCTCTGAGCAGCTTTTTGCGCTCGGCTAACATCGGACTTGACTGCAGATGTAGGGGGGTATATACACCTCAGCTAGCACTTCTTGGTGTCAATGGTCTAAAATGAAGGATCCCAAAGGTTGCATTGGTTATTTCACTTAGGTTCACTCCCATGGTTTTTAATAAATCTAAGTGAAACTCAGCCGCTGCCCAAGAGGCTATATAAATGACTTTATTATTTACCTAAGTGAAACTACAATAGATGTTAGTTTAAGGTGATCTCTAATAAATGTAATGTAACATACCTCAGCCGCTGCCCAAGAGGCTAATAGAAACAACTGAGGTATTCCTATACTAAACCCCCTACTACTTATAGTTGGAGGTGCTACTCACTACAGTATAATGACTCCTAGGAGTACAATTGTGCTCCTAGGAGAACAATGGTGACTCCATGGAGAACAATGGCTGCTTTAGCAGAGACTGGGTTTATCCGGTTTTGTCACTCCCACTCAAGTGCAACCGTAGTCCCATAGCTTTAGAGAATTTCCAGTGTTTTTCGTGAGTGAGGGGTTTAGTGAGAATGTCGGCAACCATATCTCCTGTAGGAACATATCTGATTACTGCCTCTCCCTTTGATACTAAGTCATCTTGGATAAAATGATATTTCCGTTGAATATGCTGACAAATTATGACATTTGTTTATAGTATGAGAAAAGATGCATTGGCCAGGGCTTGAACCTGGGACTCCAGCTTTCATGGTCTGGTGCTTTACCAACTAAGCTACCAAGGCGTACTTGGAAAGCATACTGATTGGTTGCATGCCCAGAAGGTCCAGAATCACTGTACACGGGTGCGGATCCCATTATGTTGTGATAGCCTCCCTCACCCGTGATAGAGTGATGACGGATTACATAATAGTAATGGCACTAACATGGATTACATCTCATAACTATAGTGGGGAAAAATTTCTCCGGGTTGCTACTGGAGAGGAGTTAAACTCCTCTCCAGTAACAACCTGGAGAACTTTTTCCCGACGTAGCTTTGAGATGATCCGGAGTTTCCATATCTGAAAATTGTTGGGTCCAGTGAGAACTGGACATGCGGATGTATCGCGTGCTGTGGTCATGGTTCCGAGGTTGCCGTTTCAAATAAGAATTATTTCCTGCGTAGCTTTTGCGCACCAGGGCTCATAACCTAATAAACCTATGTGAAACTCAGCCGCTGCCCAAGAGGCTATAGAAATGACTATATTATTTACCTATGTGAAACTACAATGGATGTTAGGTGATCTCTAATAAATGTAATGTAACATACCTCAGCCGCTGCCCAAGAGGCTATAGAAACGACTATATTATTTACCTATGTGAAACTACAATGGATGTTAGTTTAAGGTGATGTCTAATAAATGTAATGTAACATACCTCAGCCGCTGCCCAAGAGGCTATAGAAACAACTGAGGTATTTCTATACTAAACCCCCTACTACTTATAGTCGGAGGTGCTACTCGCTACAGTATAATGACTCCTAGGAGTACAATTGTGCTCCTAGGAGAACAATGGTTACTCCATGGAGTGGTGGCTATGCTCCATGGAGAACAATGGCTGCTTCGGCAGAGACCGGGTTTATCCGGTTTTGTCATATGCACGGAACTGCAGATCTCATGTAAGAATGATAGCTGCTTGATTGTCACAGTGCAATGTTGTAGGTCCATTTTGAGCATGTCCAATTTCTTCAAAAAATGTCCGAAGCCATGCAAGGTGTTGTCCAGCATTGCTCAATCCAATGTACTCTGACTCCGTGGAGGATAAAGCTACCATACTTTGTCTTTTGCTTGCCCAGGAGATTGCTCCTCGGATGGTGATAAAAACAAAGCCTGATGTTGATTGAGACGTGTCTGGGTCTCCAGACCAATCTGCATCCGAATATCCATAGAAATCCATGTCCATGGAGACATCTGTGCCATCATAACGTAGTTCCATGTCCCTGGTTGCTTTCAGATATTGGAGGACACATTTTGCAGCTTCCCAGTGATGGCTTCTTGGAGCTGAGCTATGTCTGCTTAGTATTCCAACAGCGTAGGCAATGTCTGGGTGGGTTCTGAGCATGACATACATGAGGGAGCCTACAATTGAGAGGTATGACACTTGACGCTGTCATGCACCAACGTTGATTGGTAGCATGGACAGGTGTCAATAACAAAGCAAATATTCAAAAAGACTCACCTTTGCGCCACACAGGCACAGTGCCACGTGGAATAGCAATCCAGTTGCGCTCACCTTTGCTTTCCATTCGGTACTTTCCGTGTTTCGGCATTTCGGCAAATTTTCGTGTCGCCACTGGCTACACATTGCATTGCGCCCTCACCTTCATTGTTTCCCTTACTCCCCTTCCTTTGCCTAGCCCCACTATGGGCCCCTTCCTCTCCTTTTTATTCTCACCTGACGGTCGTTTCTGGATCCCCATTCTAATCCACCTCTTCGTCACCTCCAGCCTCCTCCTCCTCATCTTCTTTGCACCCCCACCATTTCTGATGTCACCACTTCCTATCCACTTCCGTCGCCGATCCGTCGACTACCACATGCCACTGCTGATATCAGCAAAGCCCCAGCGGCCGGTCCAAATAGGGCAACAGGTCCATCTTCATGATGTTGATCTGCCATCATATACCATCAAAACGTTGGTCGCTCATCTTGCCTGGTTGGAGCGTGGGTGGGTAGTTTTTGAGCTGGAGAAGGTTCATCCCCTTGCGTCGCCCATGTTCATTGCTCCCATTCACTTGGGTACACTTATCTTTTGTCCATCGTCTTCGCTACAGCTACACCTATCACACGCTGCCTGGGACTCACTTGTTCCAAATTGGAACTACTCCTCTCCCTCCCTCGTTTGATCAGGTGGTCCAACACAACCAGTCCATTGGTAAGGCCATGAAACTGTTGGATTTGGACTAGGTGGTGGACCGGTGGCTCCAGTTTCTTTTTTTTCAGCAGAACATTCATTTACAGTGCAATTATTTTTGATTTTTGAATCATTTTTATGGACACATATTTTTTAGAATGCCTGACTGACAATAAAGGAACTGTGTTGATACTGATAGTGTTTTGCCTTGCCCTTTTTTTACTGTATCTTCCCATGACATCATGATTTTCCTGCTCTCTTTTTGCTATTGGACTTTACTTTATGGCTGTACAAACCTGTGACATTACTCACAGCATTCATTGTTCTATCCCTTTCTTTTCCTTTTTTTGACAATCTTATCCTGTACTACCTACGCAGGATTCATCAGCGTACATTCCTTCCTTCATGTTCTTTCTCAATCTTTTTGCACAACTATACTGTGCATAGCCTACTTTTCTTTTACTATATAAACCCCTGTATTCTACCTTGTAAAAAAAAACAACAAGAACTTGAATCCAGACTTCTTCTCTAAATCTCAAGTTCACTACTCTGCTACTTGTGATCCAGTGTGGTCACAACACTTTGTTAGAATATACTCTGACATACCAATACTCCATAGGATAATACCTCTGATTTGTAAGCCAGCCCAGTATGCAGCAGCTATTCTGTGTAAGACGTCCGTGGTTGCATGTCATGTTTAAGGTCCTACATTGTATAACCTTGGCCATATAGCTCAATTGGTAGAGCAGCTGGCATGTATCCAGAAGGTTCCAGGTTCAATCCCTGGTCTGGTCATTATCCAATTTTATCACCCACTGCTACCACTGTTAACTGCTGTCATCGTCACTTGTCACTTTTTGAAAGTAATTGTCATCGCTTTCGATTAGAGTCCTTCTGAGCACTACAGTCTGTGCGTCAGGAGCCTGCTATCACTGGGAACTTTGTCACCTCGTCACTTTGTCATTCTCAAACCTAATTTGTGCTACGATTAGCAAGGTAGTGCTTGTCTATACTCGCCACAAAGCCCCTATCTTCTACATTCCAACTATCCCTCCTCCTCAAAACCCACACCCATACATCTCTGGGTTTTACTTTGAAGGATCGTTATACATACCACCCCACGAACAACCAGAGCACCCACTGTTCTAGGAGGCAAAGCCCATAAACAAGTTCCGTGGAATCTGGGAGGATTGTGTGTTAGTTTGTTTTGTGTGTGGTTTTCTAACAATTGTTCTCATCATCGACACCGTACGCTTAACGCGGGTGGCTGTATCACGCACAAATGTTCTTTTGTTGTCGAGTATCAAGGACACAGAGAACAAGTCATCGCCGAAGCTACCCAACTAGGAAAGATTAATTTAATCTTGGGCTGGACCTGGCTATTTAAACACAATCCTGAGATCGACTGGCAGACAGGGGTTGTCACATTGTCACGTTGTCCTCAGGAATGTAAGAACTTGGGTAAACCAAGTCGCGTCCGTCAAACTGAGCGCCTTGAGAAGATAAACGCTGGTCACGTTTATGAGCTCCAATCTTTAGAAAAGATTGACGACGACGACGATGAGGTAAAACCCGAGGAAGAGATTAAGAGGCTGGTACCTCCCAAGTACCGTGACTTCTGGAAAGTCTTTTCAAAACATAAGTCAGAGCGCTTCCCAGAGGCTAAGCCTTGGGACCATGCTATAGATTTGAAGGACACCTTCAAACTGAGAAAACATCAGACCTTCCAAAAGCCCTATGACGTCCCCAGTGTTCTTCATTCCTAAAAAGGATGGTAAAAAGTGTATGATTATGGACTATCATTACTTAAAATCTTGACAAAAATGGATCTCAGATGGGGGTACAATAATGTACGCATCAAAGAAGAAGATGCTTGGAAGGCCGCTGTCATACATGAAAAATGTTTCATGTATGGACATGGCATTCCACGACATATTGTACCCCGCAGAAAGTGTGAGGAATTGATTTTTCTTATCGCATTCCCGTCATGTCGTGGTTAGCAGACTCGATCCCCGTCACTCCTCTTGCCCTTGGACTAGAGATTACAGCAGGTGTCTTATTACTTTTATCCTTTTTCTTCTTATTCTCTATTCACACTTACGTCCTATTGTACCTACGACGAGGTAGACTTGTTGTCGACCCTCGAGAAGATATCCAGATGACATAGCCACGATCCAGTGCTATGTCTGGGAATACTTCGGAGGAATATTGATAAGCGAAGAAGGTTGTGAGTCAGCGCCTTCTCATGGGCTTACTGATACAGCCAATCGCACATCCCTTACCAATACGTTTTCTCATACAATTAGTAAAAATGATAGATCGGACCACCTTCTCCCTTTTTCTTATTGGTTAGCTAGCTGATCAGACCACTTTCTCAGTTTTTCCCTTTCTCAGTCTGACCATTGCCATTCACTATATAAAGAAGTACATACTCGATGTATTGTTCTCTAGTTCAATATTAGTTTGGATTTGCGCTCATACTGATACTCTTCATTCTCATACCCTGATTCACCGCCTTCCAGCAAGGACTTGACCAGGCATTGTGCTTTGTTATATAGCTTTGTATTTGTTGCCTGACAGAAAGTACCTCATCTTAAAGCACACATTCCAAAGTACTATGTCACAAAGTTTTATATTTTGATGACCGCTAGTTCTGGAGATATGAGCCAAACAAGAATGCTTGTATCACACTTACTGTCAGCCACTGGCAGCCACACTGAAATCTGACCATATGGCTTGCACATGGTCAGTTTCTGAAAAAGGGAAAGTGAATTTCCCATGACATAATCTGCCTTTTTCTCAACAACCACTTCACCAATCACTCTGGTTTTTGGGGAGTAGGTAATACTTTTACGCCCCTATTAGTCTGGATACTTTTGGAGGGCTTCTAAATAAGGAAATTCTCCAAAATTCTTGTTTTACTGTGGAGAAGGCTGAATTGGCATTTGTTTCTTATAAATAGAACACTGTGCCTGACTGAGTCAAATTGCTTTTCTATTCTTAGTCTCAAAAAGACCACTCTAGAATCATCTAGATTCCCAATAGATGATTCTGGCCTTTTGAATTTCCATTAGATATTTTGGTACTACCATTTGTAATTACCAACTAGGAAGGAGCCCCTATAGCCAAAAGGTATATAAGGAGGCCAACTTTCCACCCAATAAAAAAAAAAGCTTTTACTTACAAGCAGTCCCCACATAAATGGACAACCACTCAGAAGTCAACTAGCTTTTGCCTAGGAAGCATACAAGAGGTATTGCCCACCCTAGGAAGCTTAGTCATCAAGTCAAATCTGTCACAGATAACAGTAGTCCAAGTGTGATTACAGTCTGTGATTGTTTATTATTTGCCACAAGTAGCTCTAGTATTCTATAGTCTATCTCAAACTTATATCAGTCATCTATTGATCTGGTGTAAGCTCATCTGCAGTCAGTCACTGAAGTATAGTCAAGTATTGCTTCACCCTTCTATTGACCATCAGTGTATCATAGCTTGTCCTTTATCAAGTGTAGGACACTATTATCTTTATCCTATTAGCCTCTCAACAAGTGAGGACTATCATTGTCACACCTAGTGTTGGCTATATCTTGAAGCTAGTCATGTAACACTTCAAACTCACACGTACCCTCACACTTCTATTCACATACTACCACTTGTCCTTTATATCACCAAGGACATATCTACCATTGTCATATTAGTCTTCCAGAGCACAAGGACTATCGACAGACTCACAACAAAAGGGATAATTAACTTCCACCCCATGAATGAACTAGGTTATTACCCGTTGTCCAGCTTAGGTTGTAAACTTCCGGTAACCCTAGGATAAAGAAGCTTTGGTAGCTATCCCATACCAAACACTTTATCAACAAGACACCGTGTTCATGTGCCACCGAGGATCCTTCGAGCCCCTCATGCCAACGGCATCAAAGATGACAACAAAGGCGTAACCCTGATTGACCAATCAAGGGTTGCCAATGTTAGAATCAGGCAGGATTCTGATCTTCTGGAAGTCTTCAAGAAAGACGTCTCTTCAGAAGAGAAGGCGCGCCTTGATGGCAATGAGAACTATTTATGGGAAGACGGGCTCTTCCATTTTCAAGACAAGGTCTATGTGCCTGAGTCCGCAAGGATCAAGGCAATAGATAGACATCATGACACTCTAGTGGCTGGGCACCCTGGATGGCAACGAACAATGGAGTTGATCTCCAGAAACTACATGTGGCCTGGCATGGTCAAAGACATACAGGAATACGTAAAATCCTGTCTAAGATGTGCCATGGTTAAAAACTCACATAAACCGCCGGCCGGGAAACTTATGCCAAATCCGATACCAGCTGGTCCCTGGCAAGATATATTGGTTGACTTCACGACAGATCTACCTGAGTCAAACGGGTACGATTCAGTAATGGTGGTAGTAGATTGCTTCTCCAAAGAAGTAGTATGTATTCCCACCAATAAAACTATTACCGCCGCTGGCACAGCAGATTTATTTAAAGATTTTGTATGGTCTATCCACGGACTGCCAGAAACGGTTATCTCCAATAAGGGACTGCAATTTGCTAGTGAGTTTACAAAAGAGTTATGTCGGATGCTGGGCATCAAACCCAAGTTATCAACGGTGTTCCATCCGCAAACTGATGGACAAACGGAGAGACTCAACCAGGAGTTGAAACAGTATCTCCGGATATTTATTAATGACAGACAGACAGATTGGGCCAAGTGGCTAACAATAGCCCAGTTCTCATATAATATTAAACAGTTGTCGGCTACGGGAGGGGCACCATTAGAGGTAATGAGATTGTACCTCCCAAGAATGGATGTACAACCTGGCAAAAGCAAGAACAAGGCTGCTGGGAACATGGTCAAGGACATGAAGTCTGTCTTAAACGAAACGCGCAAGGCGCTATTCAAAACTGCAGAGCAGATGAAAGACAGGGCAGAGTGTAGACGCTCTAAGGCTCCTGACTACAAGGTTGGTGACGTGGTCTGGTTAGACACCAACCACTTAAAATTAAAAGACCGGCAGTCTAGAAAACTGATTGAAAAGTGGATTGGCCCTTACCGGATTAAGGAAGTCAAACCAAATGCAGTGGAGCTGGAACTCCCAAAACGGATGAGGGAAGTACCCACGGTCAATATTAGCCATGTGAAACCTTATAAAGGACTGCTGCCGGGACAGCACGTGGACCGGCCTGGACCGGTTGTAGTCACCCAGGAAGGTGAAGAAGAGTTTGAAGTCGAACGAGTGGTGGATGCATGCTTGAAGCGTGGAAAATTAGAAGTCCTAGTCCTATGGAAGGGCTATGGAGACGAGGACAGAACATGGGAACCGGAAGCCCATCTGGACAATTCCCGCAACGCTGTTTGCAAATTTTATTCTAAGAATCCCTCGGCTCCTAGGAAGCTTAGAGGCATGGATTCGAAACTTTTTAATTCCCTTTTTCAACCTATGCCCAAAAATCTAACTACTACCTCTGGTACTTGGTCTCGCCTGGAAGTCGAGCCTTAGAGGGGGTAGTGTTACAATAACACATTTTCGGACCTTTAATTTTCATTCTCCTCTTTAAACCTTTTACTGTAGTTTTCTCACATTGTGCCATGTGGCACTTTCCCTTTTGTTCAAACTCCTCTTTCTCGCGCTACGCTGCCCTTCTTCTTATTTTAGCTACAAGTCTCTCACGCAGTGGAGCTGGTCACACGGGCTGCGTCCTCTGACATCATCAGCCACTGCTTTATCAACTGTATAGTACAACATGTACAAACAACCGGGTAACCACTCCCTCATCATTATCTCTACAGTTGGTTCTAATTGTGCGCCAGAGTAACAAACTCTTGGTTATTACACATGTACAAATAACCCTGTAGTAGTATATATACCCTAATAGATCAAGGAGACTCCTCAGCGAGTCCTCTTGTTGTATACCCACAACTAACTCGGTCCTACCTAAGGGGTAACCACTCCCTCATCACTACCTTTATAGTTTGTTCTAGTTGTGCACCAGATTAACTAACTCTTGGTTGTTACAGAAAGCCATCTTGAAGTATGTGAGGGGACTGATTGTACCAGGAAACTTCCAACATAGGAGATACCTGTTGGGCCCTACTTGGACGAAGAACAAATTCTCGAGACAGCTGTCTGCCAACATGGGCCCACAGTGAAGGTAGTGGTCAGACAGTTTTATTTCTACTCCAATAACACTGTTAATAATATGACACATGCACAATTGAACAAGTCCTGCAATATACCCACCAGACTCAGTATGATCATATATGTATGCCATTCAGAGCGCAATCTCTTTGACAGTCCAATAAGATACCAAAATCTGGGACGAAGCGACGGTTAAAGAAACATCGTAAAGGTTGGTTAGCGTTGGTTAGGAGATTGATGTCGAGGTTAACTGCAACAACTAATAGGGGATGAGTCAGGGACTTTCCTGGGTGCTCCCAGAATAGCCCAGGGACCTTCCTGGCTATTTTTCCGGCCCGCCGGGGGCAAAGACCTTCCTTCCTATGACCGATTTTTCTATACTGTCATTAACCGTCAGTTCGAATGGGGGGGGGGCTATTCAGACATTTTCAAGATACGACAATTCTGCTGCCTAAATGGCTAAATTTGTAACGACCAAGAGTTAGTTACTCTGGTGCACACAGAACACACTATAAGGAAGATGATGAGGGAGTGGTTACTCCTTAGGTAGGACCGAGTTAGTTGTGGGTATACAACAAGAGGACTCGCTGAGGAGTCTCCTTGATCTATTGGGGTTTATATACTACTACAGGGTTGTTTGTACATGTGTACTATACAGTTGATAGATACAGTGGCTGATGATGTCATGGGGCCTAGCCCGTATGATCAGCTCCACTGTGTGAGAGAGTTGTGTCCAAAATAAGAAGAAAGGCAACGCGGCGCGAGAAAGGGGAAGTGCCGCGTGGCACCATGTGTGAAAGCTATAGTACAAGGTTAAAGCGGAGAAATAAAAGTAAAGGGAAGGTCCAAAAA